AATTTAAACGGAAATTAGCAAATTGGACAAAATCGGCTAACGAGCTTAAGGTAAGATTGAGTAATCGAAAAAGAATACGGTAAAATTAACAACGCATGTCAACCTTTGAGTAGATCAGCCAATTTTTCCGAAAACCTGCATGCATACAACTTAAGGTTAATTGACATTATGGACAAACTCAGGCCTCCATTAATCCACTCTTTATTATTGGGCTAAGAAGAGAAGCAAAGTTCCCATTTGGGCTATGTTATGATTTCATCTTGGGATAAGGAAAGTTTGAGAGTTTGTATGTCTATAGGATGGCCCGAAAGAAAACTAAGGATGTAATATGTCTCAAAAAAAATTGTGCAAATTGAATTTTGAGATTTCTATTAAAAATTAATGATATAAATCTCAAAACTCAATATCTACTAGGGAAGGATTTTATAGAGACATCCTGCTTTAGATTTGCTTAAGATTAATTTTTTAGAGAGATTAATTAGTTTAATTTTTTTTTTATATATTTGCAAAGAAATGTAATATAAGTTTTACTCTCTCTGTTTCAATGTTAGTGCTTAATTTGTTCAAGGATCAGATAATACTTCTTTTCTTTCTATTTTTATAATTTCAAAAGTTCGGTCTCAAAGCCAATTAGGCAATTAGCCATGCTTGGCATGTGTTTCGAATATTTTTAGTTTTTGTTTTGATCAATGATCTAAACAGCGGCCAAAATGTCAATGTCTATAGTCGTTTTGTTTTTCTGTCTTCTTTCACTTGGTAAGATTAATTTGATTAGTAAGTTATTTGGATTCCTTTATAAATGATAAACAATTCTTGCGTACAAGTATTCATTGTATTTTTTTTTAATTTTTTTTAATATATTGAATTGTTTTTAATTGCTGCAATGTACCAAAAGTTAATCTACGCGAAAGCAACGTCCAATGTGCTACTTGGCGCACAAATCCCTTTTACCCTATTAAAGCAGAAAAAAAGATATTGATGTGGCAATTTCTTATTAAAATGTTTTGACTCTAAATGCACTATATTGCATAAACCATTCTGCCACGTCACCCATTTTAAAAATAAAAAATATATTTACAATATTAACGAAGAAATCAGATGGTCATGTTCATTCAAATTTTGAATTTGACAGCGAATGAAACTTTCCTTCTTCATTTATTTAGGACTTTCGAAAAAATTAATTTTCGGTCAATCAATTATCTTCATCAAAAACTAAATTCATTCCTAATCAGTTTTGATTATTTACATATCAATTTATTAGGTGGGAGGACGCCCCGGACATTTACCCAGGGCAAGAATCTAGTTATTCTTAAGATCACATCTTGTAACATCTGACAACGTAACACTGGTAGTCTTTCATAGAAACAATATAGTATTGATATTTTACACAATATTTTGTCTTTCATAAAGTCATGTACTATAACTCGTGTTGAGTATATATAACTTTTTTACACAATGAAAAAATAACAAGAACATAAATATCTCATGCTTGGGATATTCCACATTTGTATAAAAATAAAAAAAAAGAATTCAGTGTAAATTTGATATATCTCCGTTGCGAAAAAAAATTAAATTTATTAAAAACTAAATTTCATTCCTTGCACTAACTTCAAAAAATTTCCATAGAATCTCAAAAACCATTTTGGTTCCCTCCTCGCTGTATAAAGCGCCCAAATTTGAACCTTTTTCTTTTTATTTATTTTTTTGGTGCAACCAAATTTGAACCTTAATTTAATGATATTGGCAATTCGTTCATTGAGATACACATTTCGTACGTACTTATGTATGTACAACTACTAGTTTTACAAATTCCTCGAACTTGAGAAGGGGGAAATCTCAATAAGACAGATTATAATTAAGTATAGATTAAACAACATAATCAATTCAGATTAATCACACACTTCAAAAATTCCAAGGAAAGAATATAATCAACTTAATCAAACACCTAGTTTGAATAGGAGTTGGAAGCATCTTAGGAGTAATTAATAATTTTTTTAAGTATAAGTTTTTAGGAATTCACGTTAACAGCTTGGCTTTTGCATGAAACCAGGCTTCCTCTTCGCTCTCCAAATCAATGCAAAAGAATGGTCCCCTACAAACCCCCACTGAAAAACACACACAAAGATATGATTAATTAACCCTAATTCTCTGCAAATTCAATATTTGACAGGAAGGGGTTTCAATGTTTAACAATTTTTTTCTACTTATTGGCTTTGTCATCTTTCAAATTTCAATTTCTACGCTTAGTTATTTCTTCGTTCCAAAATATATATTATTTATTGTATTGTTTACAATTACAGTGAGCACATATACAATATGATCGTACTTGTTTAATTCGTTAGGATAAGCGAAGATGAACCCTCATTTCATAATAAAAGTTTCAAATTGAACAAAATGTCACACTAAATTCGCTTACGCAGAAATATTTGTTTGGTCACGAGAAGATTGTAATTAATATTGAGGTCTATATTTCCAATTTCAACCGGAAAAATCTTGTTTTTTTTTTTTCTTTTTTTTGAAAAAGACACTTAGAGAACTACTTAGTTCCTGATCCATTATCAACTTGTCTTTTTCACGTGTACTACATATTTGAGTCGTGTTTTAATTATGGTTTGAGCTCTAAATTTAGGTTCAAGTTCAACCCTCTTATGAGTTTCGCTTGTTATTGGGAAAAAAGGGGAAAAAAAAATCAACCCTCTTATAATTACTCTGCATAATCAATGGTAATTACTGGCAGCCTATAGAGGGGGTCTAGAGAATGTCCATGAGAGGGCTTATTTATCTATACTACAGAACAGGACCAAAAGGCCATCCTAATCTTAACTTATTTTAGCTTATAAAACCCAATATTCACTCTAAAATCGTTTTAATAGCTTTAATTAATATTGTAACTAACTAGTACTACTTTCAACATTTTTAATAGAAATTAGAACACAATCCATGCATATAGCTAGGAAATTGAATTTTTTATTGTGTGACATTATTTATAGTAGACATGTCTTTTTATTGTTAATACTTATATCCTTACAAATTAGTGAAGCGAATTCTAACTAGTAAGTGGCTTTCCAAAAAAAAAAAAATAGTGAGTGTCAATGTGGGTGTTTAACATTTCAAATATTTAATTAATGAAAAGTATAACACCAAAATTATAAACAAAGATCTTTTACTCTTATAAGCATTGTGCAATCTTATTAGATCAAGGTCATGCTAATTTGTATTACCTTTCAACTGGTATAATAAATATGACAATTATTTTGAGACGGATAAGTATAGTGTATACCATTTTGTTTGTTACTACTAGGTATTAGCTATGACTGGTCTAACTTTGTTTAAAAAAGATTGGCCAAGATGAATTTATTATTGAATGTTACAGTGGCATATATAATGTTTGTAAGCACAGGACATTATGATTGTGTCCAACTTGATTACAGCAGATAATCATCTTTTAAATGTGGTTAATATATAGTGTCTCTTGGACTATTGCTTGTGATGTCTATGAACCCTTCCAAAATAGAGAGATTAGGCAGTGATTTTGTAGCTATAGGTTCCACTAAACAAGTAGTAATTAAATCCAAGTATGATGATGATCTACTGCCTAATTTGATTAGCTGTCTTAAATAATTAACAGCCCTGGGGAGAGATATCATATCTACTACCACTTGGCTAAATAACATTTTAAACTGACAGAAAAACCCATCCCCATATCTGAAAAATAACACAAGAACCCATGCAAGATTCAGCAAGAACATTAAAGTTTTCACAAGGGCAGAGTTGCCAAGGAAGATGCTATATATATAATCTATAATATGATCAGTTAGATTTATAGATGTGTTTGATTAAGGTAAAGATAAAAAAAAAAAAAGAAAACAGTGGCAGATTAGCATATATACAGTCACATGGAATCAAATTAGGCTAGTCATGTGGCCACATGCCTAGGCCTTCTCCCATGTTATTATGATCGCTCTTAATCAGGGTCAAAAAGACCCTAAAGCTCATCTTTCTTTGACTCAGAAACTTTAGGAATGTGTTTTGCAATTTCTGGATTAGTTTGCATTAGAAAATCCTCAAAACAAATCCCTTTACTATCAATCAAAAAATGATGTTGTTGGTCAGATTAGCATATTCACGCCTCCAAAATGCAATGACAAAATACCCTATCAAATGAAATAAGAAGGGAATTTTAAAGTTAAAATCACTTAATTTATAGATAAAGATTTGATCTTTGATCTAAACTAACAAAACCCTTATGTTAGCTAAACCAAATTCTATTGGTAGGATGGCTAAATGAACTTCCCCATTGGTTTTAGCTTAAGACAAAAATATGCTTATTTTTACTAAGGATAATTGCTAGATTTGGAGTGTACTAACCACTACACTGCAGAAAAAAGACTTCTGTCCTTCAATAATAACTGAAGAAATTTCTGTTTGGTGAAGAATTAAAAACCTAAAAAATGCATGGCAAATTAGAGCTGTATATATATAATCTTTTTGTCAGTTGTTCAGTGTACTTCATTTTCACTGAGTTTGTGATCTGGCTGCATTAAAGATCCATAATAAAAGGCTCACACAGAACAGTAACTAGTCATTGCAGAGAAAACTGAGAAAAAGGGGTTTTGTCTTTTAGCTTCCATGTGCTTGTTCCAATATTGTAAACACTGTATAGCTAAATTGTTTCAATTTAACCAGACCAGGCTGTTTTAATATTATCACCGTCCAAGCATTTTACCAGCAAATAGCAAACAAGAGAACTCTTGATTAGTTAGTTTATACTCAGTTCTTCCGTCCCAAAAATATTGTCCTGTTTGTTACACTAGGAGACATTGAGACTAAGTTTTTGCCAAACAAATCTCTCTTTTAGTTTCATTTCCTCTTTATAAAGCACTTGACTCGTCCAAGTTCAGAACACAAGTACACATCTAAGTATCTCCATTTTTCTGGTTTTTCTCTCAAGTCTTCCTTCCTTCCAACAACCAGAACCAGAAAACAGACATTACATCAAAATGGGATCTTTAGAAACCATTCAGGTTTCTTCTAGGTCCAACATGGAGCAAACTTCAGGTCCAAGGATCTCTTTCTCTGCTGAGTTTCTCGATGAATCAAACTTCATCACCATTAGTCCGAAAGCTCATGCAGAGAAAGAGCTAGAAAAAGAGAAAGGGAAAGACAAGGAAAAAGTAAATAAAGGAGAATTTGAGTTTCTGTCAAGCAAGACAAACAGTCACGATGCAATGATCACTGCTGATGAGCTCTTCTTTGAAGGTAAATTACTCCCATTTTGGCAAATCCACCATGCAGAAAAACTGAACAAGATTAGCCTCAAAACAGAACAAGCTGAAGAGGGAAAGAATGAAGCAGTAGAGTTGAACAATAAGGAGGAGCCAAGGATTAGCTGGTTTCTTGATGATGATCCATCTCCAAGGCCACCTAAATGCACTGTTTTGTGGAAAGAGTTACTGAGGTTGAAAAAGCAGCGTGCTTCGTCTCTGTCACTAACGCCATCTTCGTCTACTTCTTCCTCTTCTTCCTCCTCCTCAAATTCTCTTACCGACTTGCCGCCAATCGAGGAAGGCAAAGAAAGAGTAACAAACAGAGAAAAGCATATAAAGAGGATCAAGAAAGGGCTGGAAAGGACAAGATCAGCCAGCATGAGAATTAGGCCTATGGTTAATGTGCCTATTTGTACTCAAGCGAAAAATGCTTCACTTCCTCCTATGTTTTCCATCAGGAAAGGAAGAATAGAGAGGTAAACAAAAGGAAAGTAGAGGATCCATTTCTCTTGGTGACTTGTAGTATATGTTCAATATTTTTTTGTTTGTCCAAAATTTCTTCTGTCATCTCACTTTCCTATGTAATTTAGACTAAAGTTCACCTTCCAAGTGCATCTCTTTTATTATCTCCTAAGATGCTGACTTAAATAATGTGCACTGCTATGTTACATTATTCATCTTTTTTTTTCATATGTCTTGAGTAAGAACTAGTTTCCCCCTGATGTAGTGAAAGCAAATATTCATTCTTCTTTTAGCTTTTGTTTAATTGATTACTCTTCCCTTCTGGTATATGCTTTCTTCAATTCATTTAGTAAGTTCCCATGGCAGTTTTCTTGTCAATCAGCCCCAGCTAGAAACATCATTACATTCTTGAAAACGAAAGAGATTGTAATGGTCCAGAGATGAAGTTGTTAAAAATTAAGAGATGATGGAGAATCTTTGAACACCGACAACAACTCCTAGTAAACAAAATTTAGAAACACTGGTCACTCAAGGGAAAATTTTCGGTTCCAGATGTGCACTTTTCATCGACTTCCATATAAATGGAGATAACTATATTTTCACGTATACATTCCACACATTTCAATACTCAAATAGCGAGAAAAAATCTCGCATCAACCATTAAGTTCATTACAAGTAGAAGAATTTCCTTTATAACGCAGGTGGCCTCAAAAATGGATTCCCATAATAATACCTGATAAAGCGAAAGAAACTTCAACCTAATCAAATGCACTACAAGCAGTAACTAGATAAATGATATCAAACAAATATAGAAGCCAATCTTTAGTTATCTAAGGTCCATCCCAGGCTTCCACAACAAGGTTGCTCCAGTACGTTTCCAGTCATTGTTATTTTGCAAGAAGCTGATTATAATATACCAGAGTAGTGAGAAACAAACTATCAGCTGTGTTCTATCATAAACAAGTCTAAATAACTTGATGCCTTCATCAAACTCAATTAACATGGTAGATGAACAGAGAGACGCACAATTTCACAACATAATTATCTCAAGAGATTCTCTGATCCATTTGCTCATTATAGCACATGGCTTCCTAGCTGGCTTGAATATGTTATCGAGTTCAGTTCTCCTAGCACGAGGAACAAGTACACTGGATAAGGCTGTAATACTTCATGCTAGTAGTTTGAGTGCCAACCATAACACTTCAATTCAACGGTCAAACTTCCACATTACAGCCTCTTATTCGAATATTTAATAAGAACCAGCAATAATAAAGCAGAATGTTTTCTTAAATACTACAGCAAATAAGATCATTCTTTGTCCATAAGGTTCTGAAAGTCTTATTAAAGACAAAAGCTGAATCACACTTGAACTGTCTAGAGTATTTGGTATACTTTCATTAGAAGAATGTAAGAATCCCAACAATCTCAACGTTAGCAAGGCACCAGAATTACGCTTAATGCAGACAACTAGAAACTGTACCGGCTAGGCCGCTAGAAAAGACAATGTAACAACTTGCAAAATCAACTATATTAACCCAGTTCAACAGATAAATCAAGATTTGCATATGCATTCTAAAGAATGTAAATGTTCTTCTTTCGCTGCTATTGTGCACAAAAAATCTTACCTATGTACAGCATCAACTTTATGATATCTACAAGCATGTCATGGGGTATCTTACTGAGCCATTCCAGAATTGATCATGTACAAGTACCTTACTGAGGCATTCTAGAATCCATCATATACAATTCTTATGAGTTTTCCAGCTTCTTTCGTGGAATGTGGACAGGTATCTGGCCAAGCAATCACCATTGCTGTAATCAAGGTTTTGTTCAGAAGTTATAATTTGTAACAAACCATCAGATCCTTAGTTAAATAGATACTTCTCCTTTCATGAGTTATAGCACAGGAAAAGTTATAATTTATCAAGTTCACCAGTAATCACCACAAGAGCAGTTATTGTCCTTGAAACGATGAAACTGGCTGTTATCCCTCACTATAATTTCTCTGCCAATGATCCCCGATATGAACTTCATAGCACTGTGACAATCAACACAAACCCTTAAGTTTTTGTTTATCCTAATGGGAAGTTGAGGAGGAAGGGTAATGAGCCCAAATGCGAGCGCAATCTTTTCACTGTGGTAACCGATTTCTGATTCTTTTTCTTCCGCTTCTAAATCATAAAGCGCAACTTCTGTATTAGGAACATAACCGGCCGCTTTCATATCTCTCCTTAACTTGTCCAGAATTGCATGAATCTCATGATAACACTCATGAGATGTATCCTTTGCTCGGAACACATGTATTGAGTTCTTTGCATAGATCCAACTATATCCAGTCCCCTTCTTGTTGTGACCTATACCCTTCATCAGTGCCTTCCTCGCACATGTCGCCTCTTCCCACCTTTCTGCAGCTGCTAAGGTATTTGACAGTAAAATGTGATTGCCAAAGTCTGCAGGATCAAGTTCAAACAAACTTTCAGCCGCAATCCTTCCCAGATCAGGTCGCTTATAAACTTTACAAGCACCTAAAAGCGCTCCCCAAATCGATATGGTCGGACAAATTGGCATATTCTTAATAAACTCATAAGCACGATCAACCAACCCGGCTCTCCCCAACATGTCCACAACACAAGCATAGTGCTCTACCCCTGGTTCAAATCCATATTTACCTTTGTTCATCGACTCAAATATGTCCATCCCCACGTCCACTTTCCCACCCCGGCTGCATGCTGTCAACACGCAGACAAGTGTCACATGATTAGGCATTAACATATTCATCACATTCTCCTTTTTCTTATTAACCCCAGTCATCATCCTCTCAAACAACAGCAACGCCGTATCGGCATACCCTTGATGGGCATACCCTCCAATCAACGCATTCCACACAAACAAATTCCTTTCTTTCATGTCATAAAATGCTCGCTCACAGTCCTCTATGCTCCCACATTTAGCATACATGTCCACCAATGCACTCCCGACTACAACATTCTTTTCCACAAACGCCGCCTTCATGGCCACACCATGAGCCATTCTTCCAAACTCGATCACCGCCAGCCCTGCACAAGCGCTAAGAACACTTGAAATGAGAAAATCAGTTACTCCAACGTTCCCTTTCATGACTCCATGAAAAAGTTCCCACGCCTTCTCCTCCATGTCGTTCTGCTTGTAAACAGCCACCATGGAACCCCAAGACACACTATTCTTTTCGTTTATCCCATCAAAAATCATCTTGGCAAGCTTAACTTCCTTGCACTTACCATAAAAGTCAATCAACCCAATCGATACAGCAACCTCCCCATCGTAACCATATCGAATCATAAACGAATGAAGCTGCTGTCCTAGCTTTAAATTTAAGCAGTCTGCACAAGCATTCAGCAATGCACAGAAAGTAACAGAGTCCGGAACCACAATTGGCCGCAATGGATCCCCCTCTCCACTTCTTCCACCGCGTAGAAGCTCAACAAACCTCCCAACAGCCTCGTAGACATGACCATTTAGCACTGCATTACAAATCAAAGCATTCCAAGTTGCGATATTTCTGTGAGGCATTTGATCAAACAAGTCATACGCATCTTTGTGCAAGTCAGTCTTGAAGTACATATCCAGAGCACTGGAAGCAACATAAACATCACCGTCGAAATTCAGCTTGACCGCTGAACCGTGAAGCTGCCGGCCAAGGAATGCGGCATTGAGAGAAGCGGCAGCTTTAAAGAGGCAGGGGAAAGTGAAGTCATTGGGGAGGACATTATCGCGGCGGCGCATATCGGAGAAGTGGCGGAGAGCGGCGATGAGATGGCCGTTTTGGACGCATCCCGAGATTAAGGAGGTCCAGGTGACGACGGAGCGGGAAGCAGAAGGGGTAAGCCGGAGGAGGAGGATTTCGGCTGAGTCAAGCTGATTAAGTTTTGAGTACATATTAATCAGGTGGTTAACAAGGAAAGGAGAGATTTTTCGCTGAGTTCGGATGACCTTGGCGTGGATGGCTCGGCCCAATCGGAGAGAGGATTGAGTTGAACTTGACACCGCTGAGCTGAGTAAAGCGCCGAGCGCGGCGGCGGAGGCGGCGGTGGCGGCGGTGGCAGCCATAAAAGTGTCATTTGATTAAACAGAAAGAAGAAGAAGTAGACCAAAATGAAAGGGTCTGTTTTTTTCTTCTCTCACTTTATTTACTGAATTTATATTCAAGGGTTAAGTCACCTTCTTTTCTATTAGTGTTCCTCCCCCCACAGAAAGGCAGAAAGGAAGATTACTGAATTTACAAAACTGCAACTGAAGCTTATATATGTAGTACTCCTCCTCTGGTCCTTTGTTATAATAAGGCATATTTATTTATGATAAGTTTCATCTGTTACGTATTTTCAATTGAGAAAAAAAATTTTAAAAATATATTAAGCAGAATCTAAAACAAATTAAAATGTCTTATACAAGGATATGAGAGTTTCATCTGGTACGTCTTTTCGATCGAGAAAAAGAAAATTTTAAAAATATAGTAAGCGAAATCTAAAACAAATTAAATTAAAACGTCTTATACAAAGATATGAGAAAATAAATACATTACAAAGGATAAAAGTAAAGTTTTTGAATGGAGAAGATGAATAGGCGGCGGATTGATGAACCCAATTCCAAAAATCCTCTTCAATTTCTGCATTCTCCATCATTATCATCATCTGCTGTTAGCACTGAAAATCCCCGTGGATTATAAAGTCTCACATTGCAGAATTCTTTTTGATGACTTTTGCTGTTTGCATCAACTTTTCTCACTAGTGAAAAGGTAATTAATAATTTTGTACGATCTCTGTTTTAAAATAAAGCTATTACTCTAGTTTGGATTTCTTTCTTAAAATTTTGTATTAAAAGCAAATTTTAAACCGGAAACTATTTTGAGATGGGGGATTATTATTTTCTGAAGTATTCCTTCCGTCCCATAATTATTGTACAGTTTGGATTTTCATTTCTGGTTCAAATTGTACTAATAGTGAAATTTCAAACTGAACAATATTTTTAGGACGGAGTGAGTAACATAAATACATTATTAATCATTTTGGGAGGGAAAAGAACACAAATAATGCTGAAGATTACGGAATTTACAAAACTACCACTGAAGCTTTTATATGTATTTTTCGGGAATGGATAAAGTCAAGTTCTTTTTTTTTTTTTTTCCTTGGATGAAGAAGATGACTATGGCGGTATTGGGTGGCGGATTGCTGAACCCAATTCCAAAATCCTCCTCATTTTTTGTATCTTCTTCTTCTTCTCCTTCTTCATCATCATCGGCTGTTATTTCTTTCAACCGCCGGCCAACGCCACCGATTCCTTGTTATTCTAATTCTTTTATTACTAATGGAGTTGGTGAAGGAAGAAGAAGATTTGTGAGGTTTTCTGTCCCCAATTTCTCCTCCACCATTGCTTATTGTTTTCAAAGAAGAACAGTCGGAGGAGGGTTTTTTCCTGCGGCCTTCTCCTCCACCACCACCGGTGTGAGAAATGCAAATACAGATACTGCTACTCCGGCCAAGCAACAGCAGGGAGAAGAAGTTCAAGAGAATGAGGAAGAGGAGGATGAGGAGGTGAAGTTGAAGAAGATTAAAGAAGCTGCGAATTCGCTGGATATTAGGGTTGGGAAAATCCTGGTTGCTTATAAGCATCCTGAGGCTGATTCCCTTTATGTGGAAGAGGTGGATGTGGGTGAACCTGAACCCAGAATCATCTGCAGCGGCTTAGTCAATTACATTCCCATTAACGATCTCCAGGTCCCATTTTCCCCCACAATTTCCATTTCTGCATATTTTTGACGTTTCAGTAAATTTAGGATTTTGGCTTTTCTTGCATCATATGAAGGGAAAAGGGTTGTAAAGGCTTCGAAGTTGCATCATTTCTTATGTATGCATTTTCTAGTTGTGCCATTATTGCTTGATGATGATTAGAATTGAAACAATGAGCTACTTTGTGGTTGGTCTGATTTTTTGTGAGGAAAGCTTAGGAATTTCCTTTTGCGTAGAAGGGTTGCTTATTTCCAACTATACAGTCCAGCAAGCTAGCTTGAAATGCTTTTTAGTCTGCTTGCGTAGTGGCTTTGGCTTGAACTGCATATCCGGTAATATAGTTTTGTCTGCCAGTCATCGAGAATGAGGCGTAGGTTGGTTTTGGGAAGGGGCATCATTTTCATTGCAACACAGAATGGTATAAACATACAGTATTTGCGTTATGGATCTTCAAGGAGACAAGGTTATGAATTAACATTTTCATGTGCAGCACCGGTATGTGGTGGTTCTTGCTAATCTCAAACCAAGGAATATGCGCGGTGTGAGGTCGTATGGAATGCTGATGGCAGCTTCTGATGCAGAGCATGAGAATGTGGAGCTTCTAGTGCCTCCTGAAAACTCAGTTCCTGGTGAGAGAATATGGTTTGGTTCAGAGGATGAGAAGGAGACTCTGCTCGAAGCCGCATCACCCAACCAGGTCATTATTCTCTTTGAAACTGCACATTTCTTTTCTTCTTTTTTTCTCTTGTCTGTGTGCATGGTGGCCCATAAAAATTCGGTTTTGAGACCTGCACTTCAATTGAAGATATGATCGAGGAATTGGTGCAGGCATTTATATTAACTTTTAGGCATGTCAGTATAGGAGGGTCTGATAATTTGTAACCCTTGGCACATAGGCTGCTGGAATGAGGAGTTGCAAGTAGAGTAAATCCAACACTTCCTCATTCCTCTTCAAATACTGGATAACATGTCTCAAATATGATGCTCTGATTCTACATCAATAGTCGCCTTTCTTATTTTTCTGCTACATACTTTGGCTCCCTCTGTAGAACTTAAGCTTATTCCATGTTTTAGGACCGCTAAACCTTTTATGCCGTTATTCAACCACCTGCAGGTCCAGAAGAAAAAGATATGGGAGTTGGTTCAACCTCATTTAAAGACAGACGAATCCTGTATAGCTGGACTTGGATTAGAGACCATGCGAACAGCTGGAGGTGTAGTGGTCACCAAATCTCTGAAGAATGCTCGAATATCATGAGCCTGATGTGCTTACAGGATTGCTTGAATCTCAAACTTGCACTAGGATCCTGCCACCACTATTTTTCTGATCCATACGTTAGTCGGCAAGTCATTGATTTTGCTTGTAAATCTGGAGGATTTTTCTTCCCAATTGAGAGGGTTTAGTAATTAGATAGACAGGTGCCACAATTGATTTAAATTGTAAGCCTGCAACAATTCTCCTTTTTGAGGTTTTAAAGACTAGAAACTTGGAACTTGAGACTGATTATGGTTTGTAGGCTGGCAGTGTGTAGTCCAATTAAGCATCAAATCAGAAGATCGCGGTTGTTCTGTCTCGATGACTGATGTAGTGAAGCACATTCATGTGTTGCCTAAGTTGATTAGTCTTTAGTTTTGTTATCTGTCTCTTGTGAACTTGCCACAGTTGTGTTTAATTCTATATAATGGTAGGATTTGAAGTGCCACAGTTGAACCCATTGTTTATTATTATTATTATTTTTTAATTTTTTTGGGTACAAGGAAAGAGGTTTATGGCCGGAAAAAAAATCAAAACCATCACATTCCAGAAAGTCGAAAATTTTCTAACTTCATGACAATAAAAGTAAATTTGTACAGTTGAAAATCGGCAGAATCACTATTAACAATAGCTTTAAAACAGTGGTCACTCAAAAAATTTTCCATTCCTGATGTGCAGTTTTCATCTCCTTTTAATACGAATGGACATTAATTAATTGGTGTCACAAGAGAAAAATGAATGACAGCAACATGTACAATCATTTGAATGAACAAATATTGGTTCTTGATGTGGGGGAATGGTAAGTGGAGGTGGTCGAATGATGGCCATTCTTACCCCCAATTCTCCAGTATGGTGAGTCAAAATCTGTATAAACAGTTAGTAGATGTATTTGCTTGGGTTTATGAAGCCGGTGGCGACAAAAATGGATTCCCAGAATACCTGATAAAGCAGTAAAACAAATGTGATAAATTGATTGAACATGCTTATCAGGACTCCCATATATTATGATATGAAACATAGAGGCCAATCATACCTAAGGTCCACTCCAGGTTTCCCAACAAGATTGCTTGGTACAGTTCCGGTCAGATTGTTGTTTTGCAAGAAGCTGATACATGGAATAAGGCAGAAGTTAGCAAAAACAGATGAATATGTCAGACGGATCAGTAACTATATTGTCTAGACAACTTGATGTCCTCATCAAATTCAATTAACATGGCAGATGAGATCAATTGGGATCAAGCAATCCCCAATTGCACCCCTAATCGGGGTCATATATTCTGTCCCCTTGCTGACATGCCCCGCTTGAAAATTTTATCTAATTCGTGGTTTGAACAAGATGAATATAGAAGGTTAACATTTAACACGACGAACAATTACATTCAGATAAGACCCCTCTACTTTATATTACTAGTTTAAGCGGTAACATAATCAATACCCAAATAAACAGTAACACGTCAATCTAGGGTCCAACTTCCACATTACAACCTCATAAAAACCAGAGCCAACTAAATGGTTATGTTTCATGAAATACTACTGGGGATAAAAAAGATCAATTTCCTTGGAACCTAAGCTTCAGAAATTCTTAACATCAAAAGATGAAATCACAATTGGGCTACGACGAGTTTGGTTACATTTTGAGAAGCATCTTCAAGTTATCCTGACCTTGTCAACATTAGCCAGGCACCAAAGTGACACTTAATTACATTGTCTGACACAGACTTCCACACAAGTAATAGCAATTGCTAATCAACTACATTAACCCAGTCCAACAGATAACAAAAGAATTTTATATGCGTATAACTGTATGCACTTCAACACATGCGGAATACACAATAAAATCACAGAAGTGAATGACTGAAAGTAATCAGATAAACTGTGCAAATTGAGGTAAGGAGTATAGAACTCACATTTCACGCAAATTGGCAAGGTTTCCAAGGGATGGGGAAATCTCGCCACCGAGCTTATTGTCTTCCAAATGCCTGTAAAGAGATATACTGCATCTATCAGAGGTAGTAGAGAGACAAAGCAATAAAAATCTTCGAGCAATTAAATTGTAAACAGAGGTTCCACGTTGCTGATTAGACAAAAACTTCAAGATTCCAAGTGTTACTAAATATCCTAAAAATTTTCACTTTTGTCTTAGACAAATAATGCGCTTCCTTATATGTTTGTCAGTGTTTGAACTAGTCCTGAAGAATACAAGGAAAGTAACTGCACATAATGTGACTCACAAAGTATTCAATCGCTTCAGTGAAGAAAGATCGGCTATAGATCCTGTCAAACTGTTGTTTCCAAGCCATCTGTCAATAGTGAAAAATAATTAGTACACTTGATAAGTTTCTCAGCCTAAACATTTAAAGTATCAATCACTTACATGGCGGACAATGCAGTTAAATTGGCTATGCCTGGTGAAATAGATCCCGAAAGTCCCATGCTGGTAAGGTTTCTGTTGACAAGAATATATCAGAACTATGAAGTGTGGTTTAGAAATAGGCAAGTAAAGCAAATGATATTATGCTGTCACCATAATGCTTAACATTTTGAACTCACAAGGTAATGATGCGTGGTCGTGGCCCTTCTGAACATGTAACTCCTGTCCAAGAGTACTGACGAGGTAAACATGGATCTCCATTCCAATCAACTGGAGGGTTCTGGAAACTTGCCTTAACTTTTTCGATGGAAATCACTGCAGAAAGCTAAATATTGCTCAATGTACAGGGGGTAGAAGTTCATTCTTCTTAAGGAAAAAAGAGAAAAACTACCACTCCTCTCCAGTGTTAGCTAAGGTCGAAGAGTCCTACTCCTATTCAATTCAAAAGTTCAGTCGGAAACATTACTGCATAACTCTCCCTTTATAGAAACATGTGGCTAACAATGTTCATGATGAATGCATCAAAATTCAAAACCAGACTTTTTTGAACGAACAAAGGGGAGTAAGTCAACTTCACTTTAATAAGCTTGAGGAAGTAATCCGAATCTGATGTCTCATTAGCTGAGAATAAATGAGAAAAGATTCATTCATTGTTTAAAAAACTGTAAAGTAAGAAGGCTAACCATCTCTTGTAAGAGTTGTTCCATTAAGCTTCAGAATTTCAAAAGCCTCTCCTGCATTGATTAAAGGACCAAGAGTAGAGCCAGCTACTGGGGTTAACGTTATGTTTGTTACACCAGCAAGAGGCCACTGGTTTGTGAATACAGCAACACCTGCTTGATCCACAGTAAGATTCGAGTAATAGGCAACACCATTTACAGTGATATCAAACACTCTGGGCCCCCCTGTAGAATTCGGATTGTCTGCGAAGTAAAGAGCAAGGTAATACAATGATTTTGGAAGAGATACCGGAGGCCATAGTAACACCATAGGTTCTGGTTGACTGATCTCCAAATCAGTTTGAAATACTTGAAGTGGGGGAAGATTCCAGAAACCAGATACATCGACATTTCTAGTAGAGGTTGTAGTAGAATTATCTTCTCCAAGAGGGAGCCAACATCGGTCAAATTCATCATCAGGATATCTGGCACATCAAAATCCCATGGTTGTTATAAAATGCAAAAATGAGCCTCCTTTTCATCTAGTTAAGGGAATCAACGAAAGCAATGGAAGCTAAAAACATAAAAATATAATCTAACCACCCACAACAATAATGGAGAAGAAAAAAAAAGTCAAAACGCTACTTAGATAGGATTGATCAAAGGGCTGAACATGAACCTGCAGATATAGAAAAGGCCTAAAAAACAGCATCTTTTTCCGTAACTGAGAAAGTATTACATTAAAGAAAGGAAAAAAGCACATCGGTCCAAAAACTTTAACTCAGGCAGTATGGAAAAAGTGCTGCTTGGCTGATTAAATACCCAACAAATATTTGATCATTATAAGTTTTTATCCACAATAGGATTCTCAATTGACACTTCCAATATCAGTTATCAGACTACGATCCAAGCTTGAAAAATAGCGCCAAGTTAACAACTTTATGCTTTAAGGAGAATAGAAATGTAGCAACATACCTTATGATAGGTCCTTGGTATCCAAAACTGTGCCTTGCAACTAATTTTAGAGCGTTAGTCCCAAAATCAGTGGCATTGTACAATGAATTTGCCAGGAGTATAACCTCTAATGCAGATATAAAAGGGTCTGAATCAGTATAAGTATTAGCAGCCAAACACACACTAATACTCTTCCCAGCAGCTGCGAAAATTCCCTCATAATATGAAGCATTCCCATTAGAATAATCCGCAGTTGTATTCACAATACTCCAGAAAGTCCCATCAACCATTTGATCAAACACTGGAGGGTTATTGTTCCCATTTACTCCACCATAAAAATAAGTTGTCCTGATCAAGTATCTCCCTGTTCTGAAAGCAGGAATTACATAGCAGAATTTCTTGAAAAGATTGTTTTCAAGGGGAAATGTACGAACAGTTGACAGAGTTGGGTTTTGAAACTGAGTTAAAAGAACCTTTGGTGTGCCTCCAGAAACGTAATCCTGGTCTGGATTCCATCCAAGACCATTGATCACTGATGGGATTGTTGCACCACAATCAAGCAAATAACCTGAACCCAAATAAAAACCAAAAACAAAAAAACAAAAAAAAAACAAAAACCCATAAAAATCAAAACTTTCTCCGTAATTCACAAAATTAAAAGAAACCCAAGTTTTCCATTTACCTCTGAGTGATTGAGAGAGGGACAAAGAAGGAAACCAAAAGAGGAAAAATAGACAAATTGGGGGAAAAGGGATTTTCATGGCGAATGGAAATTGATGTTTTTAGAGGAGGGATACATGAAAAACCCTCCCCAAAAAGAGAAAGGGATTTCCTTTGTTATTCGTTTCTTGCTTTGTTGGATTGATTGATGGAATTGGGAGATGGGGGAAGTTGAGGAAATTTATTGTTATTTTCTTTTTCTTTTTTTTAATTTTTACAACTAGATTTTGAATGAGTCGTTTGGTTGAGGTAAACAAGAAAAGAATACTACAAGAAAGAGATACAGAGAGAGAAGGTGAAGTTGTTGAAGAGAAAAGAATATATGTTTTCACATTCAAAATTGAGTTGTTGAAGATGGAAGAAGTGGAGATCAACTAAGAAATTCTGGTAAAATAACTGGGTCCTCTTTGCTTCCCTGAATTTGAATTGAATACAAAATCAAATGAATTGATTGAATGACGCGGGGAAGGGAAAAGAAAAGGAAGGAAGGAAGGAAGTCAAGACTGAGTCTTGCCCCGGAGGACGGCAGCATCAATAAAGTCAGCTGCTTTCCATTTCATTTTGTTCTGTTTTTGGTTAGTCTGTTTTACGTTGTTTTTCTCTTTTTTGGAGAGTTTTGTCCGAAAGTTCGGTAACGTTTGGCATTTGGCAATCTGGGAGCGGTTTTTTTTTCCCGCTAATTTAGAGATCCATTACAGTGTGGTGTACAAACTACATATATTGTGTATAACCAGTTGACCATTGTAACCAAAGTGTAGTTATTTCATAAATCTTCTGATTAACAAATAGTACATCAACAAGTTTCATCCATGTATAAACTAGCTAGGAATCTGAGTCATGCCCTGATGGTTAGGACGTTATACCTTTAACTGTGAGGTTGAGGGTTCGATTTTTACCGTGAGGTTGAAGCAGGTAGTTGACCAATAGTTAGCTTATGTCCAAACAAAAAGTGCCGTTTAAACAAAAAATATAAAAAAAAACTTTAGTCAAATTTCACTATCTTGTTTCGTTTCAATAAAGTAACACGAGACCGAAAGAATACATAACAAGGAGCCATTTTTGTTTTGAACATCGTCACTGGAAGGTGGTAATAACTTTATATAATTTCGCAATAGGTATTTTTTTTCCATAGATCAAAACTAGTTGCAGTTAGCTAATTTGTAATTTCAGATGTACTAATCATTGCCCTCATTATTGATACATGGTTCATTCTTTCTCCCCATGGGTCCTAATTATCTCAAGATATTAATGACCAGGAAAAGACCTTTCTTTTCATGCTAATAAAGACTTGTACTTGATAAACGCAAGAAAGAAGAAACCGAAATTGGCCAACACTTAACTGGTCAGAAATGGCTGCTCAAAGCTCCAAATCCAATCACATCTATGAGTTTTGAGTCAACTTGTCAACACACTTGTGACTTGTCTTTCAAAATTATAGCTCAAAAAAATATCCCACACTGGAAAAAACACACAGTCACACACTGCCACTGGAATACATTGTGAATGATCTTGAATTCTTGATTAGTATTTTTATGGCTTCCGAATCCAAAGAAGTAGAGACTGATTTATCACCATTCATCAAGGTCTACAAAGATGGAACTGTGGAGAGAATCTATAACCCGCCATATGTTCCTCCATCGCTTGATCCAATCACCAATGTCTCCTCAAAGGACATCACCATTTCATCACATGTTTCTGCAAGACTGTACCTTCCAGAAATCACCAATCCAAGCAGCAAAAAGATCCCAATTTTAGTCTATTTCCATGGTGGTGGCCTTTGCCTGGATTCAGCCTTTGCCTCTGTCCATCATTCTTATCTTAATCTATTGGTCTCCAAGGCTAAAGCATTGACAATCTCTGTTGAATATAGGCTTGCACCAGAACACTCTTTACCTGCAGCTTATGAAGATTCTTGGGCTGCCCTTCAATGGATTGCATCAAATTTTGTTGAGGATTCTGAAATTGATGGTATAAAAGAGCCATGGCTGATCAAACATGGTGATTTTGATAAGGTTTATTTAGGGGGTGATAGTGCTGGAGGGAATATTGTGCATAATATGGCTATGAGAGCAGGGGTTGAGAGCTTAATTGGTGGGGTGAAAATCTTTGGTGCATTTCTATCTTTTCCATATCTTCTGGATCCAAAAACTCAGAAAGGAAGTGATGAAGAAACTATGTTCAACAAGATGTGGATGTTGGTTTATCCTTCTGCTCCAGGTGGGATTAATAATCCATTTGTCAATCCATTTGCTGATGATGCCCCTAAACTGTCTGAAATTGGGTGTCAAAAGGTGCTTGTTTGCACTGCTGAGAAAGATGCCCTGAGAGAAAACAGTCTTCATTATGTTGAAGAATTGAAGAAAAGTGATTGGAATGGTGAAGTTGAGCTGATTGATGTTGAAGGTGAGAATCATTGCTTTCATGCCCGTCAACCCGATTCAGAGAAAGGTCAGAGCGTTTTTAACAGTTTGGCTTCCTTCGTACAGGGCTAAAATCTTTAGTTTACTAGTTTATGCCGTTGTTCTATGGATGTTATGATTTTTCAGTAAAAAATGTGCATTATGCTCAAGAATATGCAGTAACATACTGTAATACACGTACATTTTGAAAAATAAAAAATTGAGTGGAATAATGTCTTAGCTTACAAGATTTTAATTTTGTGCTTCCCATGCTTACCATTTGTGTCAATATATTAAGAAGTTGTTATTGACAAAGGCCAATATTGTATGCCAAACCAAAAAAAAAAAAAAAAGGTATTAGTACTGGTTCTCAGAGCCATAATTTTAGTGAGAGGATTTGTTACACTTACTCCTATAAGCTAATGAGACCAATATTCAAAGATGCGATCTTCCATTACTATATTATACATAAATGATGTGCTACTGAATCTGTTATAGCTTGAATGAGCTTCTCAGCTCGGAAACTCCAAACTGAAACACACACAGTCACACACTAGAGGCGTTGACTAATCTCTCAATCACCATCATGGCTTCTGATGAATCCAAAGAAGTGGAGATTGATTTATCTCCATTCATCAAGCTCTACAAAGATGGCACTGTGGAGAGAATCTATTGCCCCTTATATGTTCCTCCATCTCTTGATGATCCCATCACAAATGTTTCTTCAAAGGACATCACAATTTCATCAGAAGTTTCAGCAAGACTTTACCTTCCAAAAATCACTGATCCCATGATCAGCACCAACAAGCTCCCAATTTTAGTCTACTTCCATGGTGGTGGCTTCTGCCTGGATTCAGCCTTCGGCTCCCTCCAACATTCTTATTTAAATCTACTGATCTCCAAGGCCAATACAATAGCGATTTCGGTTGAGTACAGACTTGCACCAGAACACCCTTTACCTGCAGCTTATGAAGATTGTTGGGTTGCCCTTCAATGGGTTGCCTCAAATTTTGTTGATGATTCTGGAATGGATGGTAAAAAGGAGCCATGGTTGATCAACTATGGTGATTTTGATAAGGTTTACTTAGGGGGTGATAGTGCTGGTGGGAACATTGTGCATAATATGGCTATGAGGGCAGGGGTTGAGAGGTTAATTGGTGGGGTGAAAATCTTTGCTTTGGTTTTGTCATTTCCACATTTTTGCGATTCGCAAACGAATGAAGAAAGTAGGGAATACAAAATATGGAAGCTGGTTAATCCTTCTGCTTCTGCTGTTGGTGTTAACAATCCTTTGATCAACCCCTTTACTGCTGATGCATCAGACCTATCAAAGATTGGATGTAAAAAGGTGTTTGTTTGCTGTGGTGAGAAAGATGAACTGAGAAATATCAATCTGCGTTATGCTGAGGCATTGAAGAAAAGTGATTGGAAAGGTGAATTGGAGTTGGTTGATGTTGAAGGTGAGGGTCATTGTTTTCAGGTCTTTGATCCTAACTCTGAGAAAGCACAAAGTTTGATAACTAGTATAGCTTCCTTCATAAAGGGTTGATCTTGTTTAATATATTTTCATTTGCACAAGGTATTTTGTTTTAAGGGTTGATCTTGTTTACTGAATCTGGTCTAATTTTTCATTTTTAATGTCTTCTTGTTGGGTTACTGAGCTCTTGAACTAAAGACCAACCATTTTGTGCATATCACTGTTCTTCAAACATGTTCAGTGAAATTTTCAAGAGATCTTTATTACCAAGAGCCCATTTTGTATGAAATAAAATATGTAATCTTATGCTAACCCATCAAGATGTAGCAATTTAGGCCCATCTGGGGTGTCATTTCTCAAAATTTTATCCATGGTTTCATAAGCAAGTTGATACCTACCTCGTACACATCCAATCTGATGGGAATCTTTTACTGTACTTTATTAGTATAAGCTGCAGATGAGTATACTATTGGTCTATTGCTACATTAAAGAATTTGTTGTCAGAAATGGCTGCACAAGATCCAATTACATCTGTGGCTTGTGAGTTTGAGTTAAGTAAACAAAGTGAGCACATTGTCTTCCAAAAGTCATCTTGCTGTTTCTTTCTTCCACACTGCAAAAACACACAGTCACACACTGGAAAACATTGAAACATTTTGATCATTATGGGTACTGAATTCATAGAAGTAGAGACTGATTTATCACCATACCTCAAGATTTATAAAGATGGCACTGTTGAAAGACTACTTAGCTACTTATATGTTCCACCATCACTTGATGATTCCATCACTAATGTCTCCTCAAAGGATATCACCATTTCATCAGAAGTTTCAGCAAGGATTTACCTTCCCAAAATCACTGATCGCAGCAGCAAAAAGATACCAATTTTAGTGTACTTCCATGGTGGTGGATTCTGTATGGATTCAGCCTTTGCCTCTATCTACCATTCTTATCTCAATTCATTAGCATGCGGATCCAAATCTCTTGCAGTTTCAGTTGAGTACAGGCTTGCACCAGAACACCCTTTGCCTGCTGCTTATGAAGATTGCTGGACTGCCCTTCAATGGGTTGCCTCGCATTCTATTGAGGGTTCTGAAACTGATGGTAAAAAGGATCCATGGCTGTTTGATTATGGTGATTTTGATAAGGTTTATTTAGGAGGTGATAGTGCTGGTGGGAATATAGTGCATAATATGGCTATGAGGGCAGGGGTTGAGAGCTTAGTCGGTGGGATGAAAATCTGGGGTGCATTTCTAGCCTTTCCATATCTTCTGGATCCAAAAACTGAGAAAAGAAATGACATAGCAAGATTTCTGAATGCACTTTGGAAATTGGTTTATCCATCTGCTCCAGGTGGGATTAATAATCCATTTATTAATCCGTTTGCTGATGGCGCGCCTAATTTATCTACAATTGGCTGTAAAAAGGTGTTTGTTTGTACTTCTGAGATGGACACCCTGAGAGAAAATAGTCTGCATTATGTTGAAGAATTGAAGAAAAGTGATCATTGGAAAGGTGAAGTGGAGCTGGTTGATGTAGAAGGTGAGGGTCACTGTTTTCAGGTCTATGATGATCCTAATTCTAAGAAAGCTCAGAGTCTCGTAAGTAGAATAGCTTCCTTCATCAAGGACTAATCTCTTTTTCTTTTCTTCAAAAACAATTTTTCCATATTGTATTTGCTCATGCATTGTGTATTTCATCATTTTCTACATGCTTCTTCCTCCGTCCCAAAATGATTGTCCGGTTTGTTGTTGGAATGAAGGAATATTTGTTTAGTAGTTTGTGACCTCGAAGTTTCATTTCTCGTTTTCATTTTTACTGCATCAGCTAAAAGAACTGCTCAGTGAAGAGTTCATTCATGTTATTGTGTTGCATTAATTTGCAATTGTTGATGTTATTGCTACTTAGCATCATAGAAACTAAATTTAACGAAGCATTTAACTTTTTTTTGTTCATTATCTAAATGCAATTCGGATCTTTCAGCTCCAAATTTTCATTGAAGTTGTTCACGCCTTCCAACCAAGATGGTTGTTATGTTTATTTGGACATTATTCGTTCACCGTTACAAAATTGATTGTCGCAAACTGGACAATCATTTTAGGATCGTTAGTGTATGTCCAGTGGAATCATGCATCATCATATCTTTTAATCCAACTACCAAGTTCTATCTGAGCAACAGTTTCAGCAAGAAGGTTGGTTGTACCTAATAATCGAAATGTAACCATTTTTCAAAGCTGCTAGATCTATTACACCAGCAGGTCGAATCTCATCTATGAGTTTGAATAAACTTTTCCGAAACTCCAAATTTCCAACTCTGAAACACACACAGTCACACACTGGAAATACTTGATTAACAATCATCATGGCTTCTGAATCCAAAGAAGTGGAGACTGATTTATCTCCAGTTCTGAAGGTCTACAAAGACGGCACTGTGGAGAGATTCTTTACCTCTCCATATGTTCCTCCATCATTAGATGATCCCATCACTCATGTCTCCTCAAAGGACATCAGAATTTCATCAGAAGTTTCAGCAAGAATTTACCTCCCAAAGATCACTGATCCCATCTGCAAAAAGATCCCAATTTTAGTCTACTTTCATGGTGGTGGATTTTGCCTGGGATCAGCTTTCGCTCCTCTTGAGCATCGATATCTTAATCAATTAGTTTCCAAAGTTAATGCTGTGACAATCTCGGTTGAGTACAGGCTTGCACCAGAACACTCTTTGCCTGCAGCTTATGAAGATTGTTGGACTGCCCTTCAATGGGTTGCCTCAAATCTTAAGGATGATTCTGAAACTGATGGCGAAAAAGAGCCATGGCTGATTCAAAACGGTGATTTCGATAAAGTTTACCTGGGAGGTGATAGTGCTGGTGGGAATATAGTTCATCACATGATGATGAGATTGAGAGCTTAGTTGGTGGGATGAAATTCTTGGGTGCATTTTTGTTTTTTCCATATTTTCTGGATCCACAAACTGAAGAAGGAAGTTTTTTGAGTAGAGTTTGGATGTTAGCTTATCCCTCTGCTCCAGGTGGGATTAGTAATCCATTGATCAATCCTCTCAGTGACGATGCACCGGATTTATCGAGGATTGGATGTCGGAAGGTGCTTGTGTGTTGTGCAGAGAAGGATGAACTGAGAGATATAAATCTCAGATATGTTGAAGCATTGAAGGAAAGCAATTGGGAAGGTGAAGTGGAGCTGGCTGATGTAGAAGGTGAGGGTCACTGCTTTCAGTTCTTTGATCCTTGCACTGAGAAGGCACAGAGTTTGATAAGCAATGTAGCTTCCTTCATCACTGGCTAACCTTGTCTTTAACTACCTTTCCACAATGCATTTCTTAAGGTTTATAATATCATGTTTTCTTATTTTACTGTCAACTGCATATTAAGAACTGAAGAACGTTGACCGGCGAGGTAATGTTTAAGGCATTAATATTCAGAAGTTATGTTATTGCCAGTGTTTTAGTCTTCATTTTTGAAACTTAGTGAGGATGGTAATGTTTGAAAATGGTTTGTTTTGTTTTATCAATACATGGCGCAGATTGGGAAGTATTAGTATACCAAAAGCTGATGGATCACTGTATCCAGGATCCCTCAATAGAAATTTATTATTGCTTATTAATTCACCATTTGAAATGTAATTTGTTTTTTTTATTAAACCGCATCAGAGATCTGACAGGAGTCCATATCAAGATTTCCCATATTATACTGGAGAATCCCCGTCTATGGATTTCTCTCCATTTTTCGGTGTATGAAATTTATGGATTCCGGGGAGTCCATTGGGAAGTCTTGCAAAAAGATTAAGTGAATGGTGATGGAACGCAGAATTCAAATGGACATGTCGGAAAGTTCTAAGAAATACAGTGAACTATGGAAGATACCATAACAGTAAAATACTACTACTAGTATATCACTCTTTCTGTCCCGAAACGATTGTTATGTTTGTTGGCCCAGGGTGTAGATACCCCTTTTTAAACTTCGGCAAATGAAACATATCATAAACTCTGCAGATTCTGATTTATTTGCTTAATGTAAAGGAGTATAGCAAGCTTTTTTAGTCCTTGATGAAAGCACCAATCTTGCTGATCAAACTCTGTGCTTTCTCAGTACTGGCATCAAATGCTTCAAAGCAGTGATCTTCACCTTCAACATCAACCAGCTCCAACTCGCCATTCCAACCGCTTTTCTTCAACGCTTCAACATAACGCAGATTGATTCCTCTCAGAACATCTTTCTCAGCACAGCAAACAAACATCTTTTGACACCCAATCTTAGCTAAATTAGGTGCACCATCAGCAAAAGGGTTGATCAGTGGACTATTAATCCCACCTGGAGCAGAAGGATAAACAAACCTCCACACTTTATGTAGTCCATTTTCTTCCGAATCACAAAAACCAGGACAAGATAAAAATGCACCTAAAACTTTCACCCCACCAATTAGTCCTTCCTCCCCTGCTTTCATGGCCATGTTATGAACTATGTTCCCTCCAGCACTACAACCTCCTAAGCAAACTTTACCAAAATCACCATAATCGATCAGCCACGGCTCTTTTTCGCCATCGATTTCAGAACCCTTTACAGAATGTGAGGCAACCCATTGAAGGGCAGCCCAGGAATCTTCATAAGCTGCAGGCAAAGGGTGTTCAGGGGCGAGCCTGTACTGAACTGAGATAGTCACTGCATTAGCTCTGGGGACTAATTGATTGAGATATTGGTTGTCTATAAGGGAGTAAACAGATCCAGTGAAAAAACCACCACCATGGTAGTAGACTAAAATTGGGAGCTTTTTGTTAGGATCGGTGATTTTGGGAAGGTAAATTCTTGCAGAAACGTTGGATGAAATTTTGATGTCTTTTGTGGAAATATGAGTGATGGGATGATCAAGTGATGGAGGAACATATGGAGACCGAAAGAGTCTTTCCACTGTTCCATCTTTGTAGACTTTAAGGTATGGTGAAAAATCAATCTCCACTTCTTTGGATTCAGAAGCCATTACTGATGATGATGATGATGATTAATCAGGAACTGAATTTATAGATATAAACTTGTTGGAAGTGTTAGAAATGAGAAGGAAAAGATGATGACGACTACTAAACGCGTAACAGATGGATGAAACTCAAGCTTGAAGGCGCCTTATTTGACCTTTTTCAGAAAGGTTGAAAAATTGACTTGTGAGTTGACTGATCATCACCATAACTGAACATCCTAATTAAGCATTTCGTTTTTGTGCCCTTTTGGTTTTGTTGTCTGAACTGATCTAAAGCTATAATCGTAATATGAAAAACCAAATTAGGGTGGTACATCAATCTGCCTTTCACTTCTAATTTAATGATATGTAAGTTTGTTTTATGGCCAGACAGAAAAATGTATACTAAAACAGAAACACATTCACAAGAAGAAGAAGAACAGGAATAAACTAGAGTACGGCTTTTGGAATAGTAATCAAAGACGAATTAAAAGAAAAAAACAAAATTAAAACAGAAAGTTAGTGACATTAAAGTCTAAAGTCTGAGTGTTGTACAGATGGGCACATGCGAGGAAGAGGTGGTTGGAGTGCACAGAAGTTTGGTTATGGCGATTCGGGAGCTATTACGGAGAGGATAGGATGTCGAGGTGAAGCATATATATCGGGAGTCGAATTTTGCTGCAGATTTCTTAGCTACTCTTGCGGGTTCTAGCTTTGGCGGATTGATGAGGTTAGATGATCCACCAGATACTTTAAAACCATGACTTTAACATGATATAGTTGATGTCTCTTACCAACGAGCTATAATGCTCTAGTTTATCGGGCATATGTCTCCTTTATTTGTACCAAAAAAAAAAGTCTAAAGAAGCTTGCTAAAAAAAAAAAACTATTTGACCTTAATGAACATCTGGACTACTAGCCCGTGAAAATAGTAACCCAAATATAATTCTTTTCAAAACCTTTTGACAAACACATTTGCAAGTTTAATTTTGTGATGTCCTCGTTCTTTAACAGATGTGAAAATTTGCGTATCAAACTTGATGTTGTATCTTATTTTTCACTTTGTTGGGTAAACATGAACATGATCCAAAAGAAAATATAAAATTATTGTGAAACCATTAAGCTTTCCAATATTCAGTTTATCGATATTAAAGAAAAAGTCACAATTCCTTATTCATTGTTGAAAATGTTCACGTCGACTTTCTTGTCCACTTAGAGAAGTAGACGAGAAGGTCGACGAAATTCAACTGCATTGTTTTATTTCAGTTTTACAATTTTTTTAAATATTTTTTTTAATGATAGTATAGTAGATTATCGCTTTGAAATCCCATGAACAAGGTGAAATTAGACGTCGACAAAAATTAACACCATGCACTTTTCTACTTCGTCGTCTCTTTTTGATAATCCGAATAAGAACTAGAATGCGACCCAAAAGAAATAAAAGTTTTTGTTTTATAAAGACTTTTGTAGCTTTCAAATATTTTATGATTGATCTGTATCAATACAAAAGAAAGAAAGTCATTACATATTGTTGAAATTGATTGCGTCAACTTTTTCGTTCACTCAGAAAAGCAGACGCGAAAGACGACGGAATCCCAAAATTCATTGTTTTGTTTTATTTTCACAATTCTTTTGATGGTTATATAGCAAGTTATTGCTTTGACATTCCATGAGTCATACAGACCTCAAAGAGACATATTGAAGATTCTGATAAATGCAGTAAACTCTACGTATGTAGAAGATGTAACACCATGATGGCAATATTATATTTCAAAAAAAAAAACACTAGTAAGTTACTTCCCGTCCCAAAATGATTGTCTTGTTTGTTGACGAATGAAGTGGATACTGGATAACCTTCCTGAATTTGGCAAACTAAGATACATATATACTACAACTCTGCAACTTCTGATTTTATTGCTTTATAGATAGGAGTATAACAAGATTGATTAGCCCTTGATGAAAGAACCAATCTTGCTGATCAGACTCTGTGCTTTCTCAGTAAAAGGATCAAATGCCTCAAAGCAGTGATCTTCTCCTTCAACATCAACCAGCTCTAATTCACCATTCCAGCCACTTTTCTTCAATGCATCAACATAACGCAAATTGATATCTCTCAGCTCATCTTTCTCAGTACAGCAAACAAAAATCTTCTGACACCCAATCTTAGCTAAGTTAGGATCAGCAAAAGGATTGATCAGTGGACTATTAATCCCACCTGGAGCAGAAGGATAAACAAAGCTCCAAACTCTATATAGTTCATTTTCTTTATCGCTTCCTTTCGCGGTTTTCGAATCGCAGAAACCAGGACAAGACATGAATGCACCCAGGATTTTCACCCCACCAATTAGTCCTTCCTCCCCCGCTTTCATGGCCGTGTTATGAACATTATTCGCCCCAGCACTAAAACCCCCCAAGAAAACTTTACCAAAATCGCCATAATCCATCAGCCACGTCTCTTTTCCGCCTTCGATTTCAGAATCCACGACAGAATGTGAGGCAACCCATTGAAGGGCAGCCCAGGAATCTTCATAAGCTGCTGGCAAAAGGTGTTCAGGGGCGAGCCTATACTCAACCGAAACCGTCAGCGCATTAGATTTGGAGACTATTTGACTGACATATTGGTGGTCCATAAGGGAGAAAGCAGATCCGAAAAATCCACCACCATGGATGTAGACTAAAATGGGGAGCTTTTTGTTAGGATCAGTGATTTTGGGAAGGTAAATTCTTGCAGAAACATTTGATGAAATTTTGATGTCTTTTGTGGAAATGCGAGTGATGGGATCATCAAGTGATGGAGGAACATATGGAGACTTAATGAGTCTTTCCACTGTGCCATCTTTGTAGACTTTAAGGTATGGAGGAAAATCAAGCTCCACTTCTTTGGATTCAGAAGCCATGATGATGAAGATTAATCAAGAACTGAACTTATACAAGCAGATATAAACTTGTTGGAAATGGAAAAAGTAAAAGGCGTTGACTACTAAACGCGTAAATGGTGGATGAAATTCAAGCTTTGCAAGCGCCTGATTTGACCCTCTTCTGTTTTTTGAAGGGAATTTTAGAAAGGTTTACAGAACTAAACAGCGTAATTAAAACGTTCTTTTTCCCAGTTTGGTTTTTGTTTTCTAAACTCTATATAATCATAATATCCAAAAAAAAACTAAATTAGAGTGATACATCCATGGATAGTAACAATCTGTCTTTAAGGCCTAATTCAACCATAACCATGTTTTTGTCTACAGAAAAAAGAAACTGAGGTCTACTGATGATAGTCAATAATAGTATTGTTTTCAACCGTACATCACAAATAGTAATATAATTCTTCTCAAAACCTGGTAAATGACATGGATATGTATAAGTTTTTAAGATTCCGATGAGACTAATTAATTGTGTTCCCTGATTAAGTGAATGATGATGAACATGCATATATATTTCCAAACTTACAATACAATTTGTCTTTGATACATAGACACGGAACTCAAAGGGACAGTAAACTCTATAGAAGATGTAACGCCATGAAGGTAATATTATATTCCAATAAAAGACTAGTACGATACTTAATCTCGTCCCAAAATAATTGTCTTGTTTGTTGGCGGAGAAAGCGGATATTAAATCTCTTTCTTCAACTCTGGCAAAGATATATCTACCATGTACTCTGCGACTTCTGATTTTATTTCTGTATGTATAGGAGTAGGAGTATGACAAGATTAATTAGCCCTTGATAAAAGAAGCTATCTTGCTGATCAGATTCTGTGCTTTCTCAGTAGAAGGATCAAATGCTTCAAAGCAGTGATCTTCACCTTCAACATCAACCAGCTCCAGTTCACCATTCCAACCGCTTTTCTTCAATGCTTCAACATAACTCAGATCAACATCTCTCAGCTCATCTTTCTCAGCACAAGAAACAAAGATCTTTTGACACCCAATCTTAGCTAAATTAGGCACACCATCAGCAAAAGGGTTGATCAGTGGATTATTAGTCCCGCCTGGAGCAGAAGGATAAACAAACCCCCACAATCTAGCGGATCCAAAATCGCTTTCTTTCGTGATTTTCGAATCACAAAAACAAGGACAAGACATAAATGCACCTAAAATTTTCACCCCACCAATTAGTCCTTCCTCCCCTGCTTTCATAGCCATGTTATGAACTATATTCCCCCCAGCACTACCACCTCCTAGGTACACTCTACTAAAATCACCATAGTTGATCAGCCATGGCTCTTTTTCGCTATCGATTTCAGAGCCCTTTACAGAATGTGAGGCAACCCATTGAAGGGCAGCCCAGGAATCTTCATAAGCTGCAGGCAATGGGTGTTCAGGGGCAAGCCTATACTCAACGGAGACTGTCAACGCATTAGCTCTAGGGACTAATTGATTGAGATATTGGTAGTCGAAAAGGGAGAGAGCAGATTCCAGACAAAATGCACCACCATGGTAGTAGACTAAAACTGGGAGCTTTTTGTTAGGATCAGTGATTTTGGGAAGGTAAATTCTTGCAGAAACGTTGGATGAAATTTTGATGTCTTTTGTGGAAATATGAGTGATGGGATCATCAAGTGATGGAGGAACATATGGAGAGCCAAAGAATCTTTCTACAGTGCCATCTTTGTAGACTTTAAGGTATGGAGAAAAATCAATCTGCACTTCTTTGGATTCAGAAGCCATGATGATGATTATGATGATCAGGATTATTAAAAACAGAGATTATACAAGTAAATATATACTTGTTGGAAATGGAAAATGAGATGGAAAAGATAATCACGACAGTTAAAGATAACAGATGGAAAAGATGCAGCTTTGATTAATCTTTGGCAACTCCAATAGGAAGTGACAATTCAAAAAAGAAACTTCTCTAGCTAAAAGGAAATTTCAGAAAGGTTGAATTTTGAAAGAGTCTACACTGATTTTCACAGATCATCACCTACAGTGAACAGCCTATTTTCCTCTGGCTGGTGATATTGCCAGAGTAAAAATTAGCCTCCAGAGCAATATTGTACATTTTGGATAAAAATATTCTTATTAAAATTCCACCACACCTGCTCACCAATTAGTCCCTCAGAGTCAAGTCATGACTCACGACCCTCCCTGCCCATGCTTCACCGTCGATTACCCATCCGTAAACCCTAGCACCTTTTAATCATAAACTTCAAATTCTTCTTCTTCTTTTTTTCCCCCTTTCCTCCAATTATAAAATTATTCAAGGTTTTATTGATCATGGCGTCTTATTCCTACAAAAACCTAGTGTGGTTCTTATTTCAGAATCGAGTTATTGACTAGGATCTTTGGTGAAAAAAACAAACTTTTAAACTCTTGATTGAGTTTGATTGGGTTTGTTGTTCACAAATAATTAGGTTTGTGAAAAAAGAGTAGGGGAAATAAGAAATCTAATAGAAGCCCAGACATACAAGGGGGAAGGAGTATGACTAATTTGATGGCAAACTAGGGAATAGATCAATTTCTCTTTTCCATCTCCCCGTCCCCGATGACTTTTTCTTCACCTCTATTGGCACCTGTTCTCTAACTATTCATGTGCCCTCCCTTCAAAGAAGGATTTTTGCCAAAGAAGTTTTCAGGATTCAATAATCTGGAAAGATGTCACAAAATACTAATAAAAACATTCATAATTGCTCTGATTTTTTTTTTCTTTGTTTCTTTGGGTTTTCATGATATAATTTGTTCTTGATGTGATGGTGTTTTAGGAATGTTGACTCTATTTGCATTTTGATAGTCATGGATTTGTGCCGAAAAGAATGTATAGTTTGGTTGGTTATGTCACATAGACTTCTAGCTTGAAACAAGTAGCAAGGATTGTTAGTAGTGAAGAAATTCTCATGGTGACTAAGGCACATAGACTTCTAGCTTGAAACAAATAGCAAGGATTGTTAGTAGTACAGAAATTCTCATGGTGACTAAAGGGTAATCTGGGAAACAAAAATATAAATTGCTCTGGAGGCTAATTTTTGCCTGGCAATATCTCTAGCCTTTTCCTCTTGTTTTAACATTATTATTACTATTTACTTGATGTTAGACCCGTCCGATGGACGGGGAGCACATATACATAGATATTACTACACAAACAAATCAAAAAAAAATGTTAATATTTGTATAGATTTTTGTATTTTTATAAAATGAATTAATTGAAAAATATAAAACACAAACATTGACAACACTTTACCAAACAAATACACAGGTAATTTATTTAACGCAAAAAAGATTGTTAAGAAATTAAAAAAAAATGAACTTTGAATTAAATAATTATATATTTTGTAATATTTCTTGGTAGACTATATTGGTAGTCTGGGATGGAAAGGTTGGCTAGGGTGGTTAAGAGATTATGATAAGGAATTTTTTTTTTTTTTGAAAAGGTTTATGATAAGGAATGGTTACTACAAAAACAACAACCCTAACTTGTTGTAGAGGCCATCCAATTTTTTCATAAGAAAAATAAAAAAAAAAGGTTGGATATGTGGACCTTTTTCTAAAAATTTGGATTTCAAAACATTAAAAAAGAAGAATAAAGAATAGTCATAATTGAAGCATTTTAATATTTTTATTCTTTGCCAGAGCCATTCTTAGCCCCACTACATCAACCCATCACCATAGTATTTTAAGTGAATTCCATATTTAAAGCTAAATTATAGAAGTTTCAGGTTGGCCTAATTTCTTTAATTATTTTAATAAATTATTAATATAAAATTCTTTTTCAATTGCGTTTTTTTAGGAGGAAGAGATCCGTCCATTGGATTTGTAGGTATTTAGTCGAATCAATATAGAGTTTGAATTTTTTCAGTTGCGTTTTTTTTTTTTTTGGTTTTCATTAATTTATTTTGTGCATTTTTATATCTAGAAAATTAAGAAAATGCCACATAGAATAAAATCCTATGTGGCATGTGCTCCTTGACTTTAGATTCTTCTATCTGATTTTTGCCTTAGTATAGTGTATAGATAGATAGATAGATTTTTTCTTGTAATTAATAGGAATAATACATCAATCAATGGACAATACAATTAGGAGATCTAATCACAGATGGTGTGTACCATAAGGTTAATCTAAGTTAGAACGTGGAGCCATCTCCAGTCATAGAAAAAATATATACTTGTTCTCTGTCAAAACAATTTTCACGATAAATGTGATCATCATATTTTGAGAGAAATGGAATACAAAACAAAACAATGTTACGTATGAAACCACATTTCCTAGAAAGTTGCTACTAATTTCTCTTTATTCAAATGTGTTGATTAAGGGACAAATAGAAAGAATTAAGGGGGAATTGCACACAGTTAGTACTGTTGATCATATTAATGAAGCTTACTAAACATAATAATTGGTCTTAATAAACATGGGCATTAGGTAATCATCAATGAGGAACAGTGGAACACAAACAAAACTGAAATACCTGAAAAATGCATTTATTCGTAACCTTATAGCTGCTATTTTTTTTAAAAAAAATAAATTTATATATATATATATATATTTCAGATTGAATTGCTCCAACAATTTTTTGAAATGATCCTGAACCCCAAAAATAAGTGAACAAAGAAAATACCCCCGAAGTCTAATTATAATAATCCATTTTCTTGAGCTGAATGGGACGGAGGGAGTAATAAAAAATAAAGATATATTATGGAATTCATGTTTACATTCTTTTCATCTCTTCTATTATTCACCTGTATTATTTTTCTATTTTTGAGGTCAAGAAAAAAATCAGTCATTCAGTTATCTCTTTTTAGAGCATTAGGAAAATCATCATATCACAAACATCTGCGATCCATTTTGAAAGCAATTTGTGGCGAATTTTTTATACACTTTCCGAAGCAAACAGCAGAAATTTTAACTTCCGCAAATAATCATTCACCCCCTTCTTTTTCCCCTTTAAAATGGATGCAAACAGGTGTTTGTCCGCGGAAGTGAGAAAAATTGAGGCATTGAAGAAAAGTGATTGTAAATGTGAATTGGAGCTGGTTGTTGATGCAGAAGGCCTTTCAACATTTAACTGTTTGGCTTCCTTCATCATCAAGGGCTAACCTATTTTACTGTGGTTACATGTAAATGTTCTTGTACTTAATGTATATTTCCAATTTAAAATCCAATGTAGCTTGGACCCAAAAAGAATATATTTTTAATGAGTCATGAGGTTCAAACATATTTTTGATGATGCTATAATCTGCTAAAGAATTGCAGTATGTACAAGAACTAAAGTAAAAATTACAAATTTCTGACTCTTTGTAGAAATTATTGGATCGACTTGTTTATTTGCCAACAGTTATGAGAGAAAGGTTTACGAAAAAAGTTATGATTGCTAAAATCCAACGTCTCTCATGATTAATATTTCTTTCATTTTTTTTATATGTCTTTCTAGAGAAATCATCAAAACCAAGAACACATTAATTAATGTAATTAAAATAAAAAAAATATCCTTATTTATTGTCTACACAATTCATCACAAACCAATAGAAATTCATTATAAATACAATTTCATTTACTTAATTTTTATTAGAATTCATCTCGTCGTCATAATCGTCGATGTACATAGGTCGACGAAAATATCGACAATATTAGTCGAGCTAATAATGTCGACGTACAAGTCGACGATCGCTAAATTTTTTTCGTTTTTTTTTTTTTTTTGTTTTTTAATCATTTTGAGTTCTTCTTAGTACTTTTTTTTTTTGGGTGTTGTATCCAATTGACTTTTATATACTAATGTAAAATTCATTTTTATTCAGATTTTATTACAAATATAACTAGGATTACAAACTTACAAAACAAATAATGTAGCACATCAACTTAGTATTTGAAAGATTATGAACCAAAAATCCCTTAAATATTAATATTAAATTTCCTACTTCCTATTATATAATAGAGTTTTAAACAATCAATGTATGAGAACAAAAGTAAAAATTATAAATTTCTGGCTCTTTGTAGAAGAAATTATGGGGTCGACTTGTTTGTCTGCCCATCAATTATGATGGGAAGGTTCGCAAAAAAAAAGTCATGAATGATGAAATCCAATGTCTCCCATCATTAATGCTAATATAAAACTAAGAAATTCATATAATTTTTGTTAGAAATGATACTCGTCGACATTAGTTAAAGTTTGCTATGAAAATAAAACCAAAAATAAGTAAAAAATTTAAACGAGGGGTAAGGAGGTTGTTCATATATTGTTTCTTGGATTAGTGTTTTTCCGACATTCATAAAACTCAACGGAAAAATTGAATTAGCCCATATAACCGGGAGAAGATCAGATGTGGGGAGAGTAGAATTATGTTTGAGATATTGGGGGGTAAGTCCTAAAAGTTGACTTTTTTGCTCTGATTGCTGCTACTTATTGCCCTGACAATAGCCTTGGCAATTTCTTATTCTCTAGTTATATCGAATTTACAATTAATGTATTGTAACGATAATTCTCTAGATTTTAAATATTAAATTTGAGACAAATAACAACATATTAATTGTGATAACAGAAAGTGATATTGATGACTACTTAAAACAAAATACCTTGTGTAAAATGGAATGACCCTCACCTCGACATCAACAACTTCTTCAGGGGAAAGCCTATATTCAACAGAGATTGTCACTGCATCAGCTTTAGGGACTCGAAAAGCTGAGTAAGTAAGCAGATTCGAAACAAAATGCATAGACTAAAAATATTGGAAGGTTTTTGTTAAGATAAGTGATTATTGAAAGGTAAATTCTTGCAGAAACGTTTGATGAAGTTTGATGTCTTTTGTGGAAATATGGGTGATGGGATCAACTACTGATGGAGGAACAAATGGTGAGCTTAAAGAGTCATTTCACGGATCCATCTTCTGCTATACCTATATTATAATTGCGCCTGTATTATAATTGCAGAATACTTTCGAATTTTCAGTCCTTCATTTTAATTATCACATATCATTTAAATTAATTTTATTATTATATATTTTTTATCTCTTTCATTTTTTTCTATTTTAATTACCACACTAGATGCTTGTCCCGAACAAATGTCCGGGGGCGTCTGCGTTTTAAAATCGTTAAATAACAAGAATAAACAATCCGAAAAAGAATTTAATCTTTTATTATAGTATATAAGGTATATATAAAAAAATATAGAACCTTTTTCAAAAAAACAAAATATAGAACCTAAAACAATAGGAACTATTATTGGCGGCTCACGATGACATTCTGTCTCATAGCAACAGCTAAAGTATCTCCCGTCCCTCGTAAATGGATGGTGGAAAACTTGACTTCTTCAAATGGCAGAGCCATTAGTCTCGTTTTGTAAAAAAAGAAAAGAAACAAACATGAAATCACTATAAACAAACAAAAAAAAAGTAATGATATACTATTAGTATTATGTATTAAAGAAAAATAACAGTTGAAGGTCTATTTTGTACAGTCATAAAAGTTACATAGATGCATTGCACAAAGAATAAAGTGCAAATTCTGAAGTACAAAGGGATATAGTGTATCACAAGACATCAAACTTCATCAAACTTTATCATATCCGAGAATTATGATGAACCTATTCTCTTGAATTCAAGCAACCACCCTCATTAGATGCTATAAAACCAAATATGTGTAAATAATTACATATGCACCAGCAATACAGAAATTCCAAGCATGATTTCGCCAAAGATTCAAAACTCTCCCAATTAGTCAGTCATTCATCCAGGCTTTTTGATACTCTTGAAGACATTATTGACAAACTTCTTGAAATCCCCCAAACTCGAAACGGCATATATGAACTTCCATCACAATTGGAAAATCTAATTAGTCTGAAATTGAAGTTGAAATATTCAGTTACCTTAGTTACTTTACAATGATGCAGTTGGTGGACCTACTGCTGGGGCTTGTGGGCTTTCCAAAGGATCAAGCATTTGCATTATATTTTTATCTTTAGTTTTAGATCTGCAAAATTTATAAAGTTACATACAACATGTTTAGTTTGGCCCGAATATTATAATGAAGTTTCAACAACTTAAAGTTCAAAAAAATATTTTGCCAATGATTATGTATGTGTTTAAGGCAGTCTTAAAACTAACTGAAGGTAAAACCCAATAAAAAAATTGCTAAAAATGAAAACAGACTGAATTTGAGAAAAACCACTATATCTTTATCCCGGATATGTAGTTTGGATCCATCTGGCTTGGATATCTTGCAGGTTTATGTTCACAAACATAGTTGTCTCCAAGTACCGACCAATTCTTCAAAACTGAAATCAAGATTGATTTCTAATAGGCAGCCATAAAATGAGACAAATAATTATATAATCTAAGGAAAAGGCTAGACATACATCCATACGTTGATAATTTAGACAAACAAAATTTGGAATGTCCCATTAATAATTACCCCTAAAATAAATAAACAAATCTAAAATCTCCGTACATAGGAATTGGGAGTAGTACTAAATGCTCTAACAGTGATGTGGGCGAATTAAACAATAGCATAATGAGGTCTCCATAGAACAATATCAGATCAGCCTTCAGTGAGATCTATAAGGCATATACAATTTCCCAAAGGAAGATGTTATAAGTGACAGGAAAGATTTCAAGGCTCTAAAGTGATTTGCATCATATTATTTCCACTAAGAATAACATCATCCATGATTGTAAAATGTTTTCAGGGGCCACATAGAAAGTTACAAAGCAAAACGGATATTCCACCTTATTCTGAAATCAAATACCTGCTTTTCTCTTCAGAAGTGAAGAATTATAAAAGCATAAGACAGATCCTGCAAATTCAATCAGTGTTCAATTGATGAAATTATAATGGAAATTTTGAATTATAAGTCAACAATACAAAAGTTCATGTTAAATACAATCACAGACATAATGATTTAATTTGATATTATAACAGCACCTCCATCAGAAGGCTAATAAAAATGACTAAATGATTAGCTTTACCATGTTCAAGAGGAAACGCGACTGAGACAATGTTACCATGATAGAGTTTCACTTCAGAGCCACCTTTGATCAACTTTTCCCAGTTAACATCTGTCCCATTTGTGCTGCAAAAGTGGCAAACTTTCATAAACCATAAACAAATGCATCTGATAAGTTCCAAAACTAATCAAGTAAAGCAACCTGGTATCTTTTAAGACTACAAATGTTACTTGTAGCCATCAATCTTTAATTAAATACTATAGATGATATTCAATAATTATTTATTGAATGAATCTTGATATTCTGATGATTAAATTTTTCGTCAAAGTCTATAAAATATCACGTACGCGCTTACTCTCAAGTGATGCTAAATAATCAATAGCCGTTTTCACGATAGACAATTAGACATGTGCACCATTACAATTCCTTCTAAACAATACCAAAATCACTATACAATTGGGTCTACTTCTTCCTTTTCCCTTTTTGGCCATATTTACAAGTTGTTTATTGTCGAATAATGAAACGTAACGTAAGTGAAGTTGCGCAATATGGCCGACCCGAGTCAATTTGGCAGTCAGTCAAACCTGCTGGATCCCTCCATCTGCTTCTCAATCATGGCGATTTATGTCCAAAAAAATAAAAAATAAAAAATCTTATCTTTGCATGATTTTTTCTATGTCCATTTCCCATAAATACCCACCATCTTTCCTCCAAGTCTGAAACACGCACTCACACACTGGCAAAAATCATTGCAGTATCATTAATCATTTTTTCATCACCATGACTTCTTCTTCCGAATCCAAAGAGGTGGAGCTCGATTTTTCTCCATACCTCAAAGTCTACAAAGATGGCACTGTGGAAAGAATCTTCGGCTCCCCATTTGTTCCTCCATCACTTGATGATCCCATCACTAATGTCTCTTCAAAAGACATCACAATTTCATCACAAATTTCAGCAAGAATTTACCTTCCCAAACTCACTGATCCAAACAAAAAGCTCCCAGTTTTAGTCTACTACCATGGCGGCGGATTCTGCCTCGAATCGGCTTTTTCCTTCCTCCACCACCGCTATCTCAATCAAATTGTCTCCAAAGCTAATGTGGTGGCAGTTTCAGTTGAATATAGGCTTTCTCCAGAGCACCCTTTACCTGCAGCTTTTGAAGATTCCTGGGCTGCCCTTCAATGGGTTGCCTCACATTCTGTAAAGGGTTCTGAAATTAATGGTGAAAAGGAGCCATGGATTATTGATTATGGTGATTTTGATCAGGTTTATGTAGGTGGTGATAGTGCTGGTGGGAATATAGCTTATAATATGGCTGTGAAAGCAGGGGATGACAATGAGAGCTTAGTTGGTGGGGTGAAAATTCTGGGTGCGGTTTTAGCTTTTCCTTACTTTTGTGATTTGGAAACGAAGAAAGAAAGTATGGCTTACCAAATGTGGATGTTTGTTTATCCTTCTGTTCCAGGAGGGATTAACAATCCATTGATCAATCCGTTTGCTGATAGTGCACCCGATTTGTCGAAAATCGGATGCCGGAAAGTGTTTCTTTGTTGTGCTGAGAAGGATGATTTGAGAGATGCCAATCTGCATTATGTGAAGGCATTGAAGAAAAGTGGCTATGAGGGTGAAGTGGAGCTGGTTGATGTTGAAGGTGAAGATCATTGCTTTCAGGCATTTGATCCTTATACTGATAAAGCACAGAGCTTGATTAGTAAAATGGCTTCCTTCATCAGGGGCTGATTTTGGTGTTTTCCAATTCTACTTTGTTGTTTGTTTTACTAGCTGTGTGAGATCTGTTTCCATTTTTCCGATTCATAATGCAAATGAACCGAATTTCTCTGAGGAATGTTTAATTCAGTTCACATTCTCATAGATGCACCAAATCACATTCTCATAATCCAACAAAAGAAATTAATCGCACACAGAAAAAAATTAAAAAAAAAAATCGAAGAGTGCCAAACAATGTTCAAAGCTGCTGGAAATGTCACGGACTAAATACGTGTATAATTTGTGTTTTTTATAATCTTGATCATCATCATCATCAAGGGTGCTTTTGTTGTAATGTGTTTTTGTGACTAAATTATCAATTTCCATATTTTCAATTCACCAAGCAAATCATATGAAATTTCGCAGAAAGCAGAGAAATAGATCCAGTAATATTTTATACAAATATCTGCCAATGAAACAGAGTGGCCAAAACCTAATTTAGGTCAACTTTCTTGGAAGCTCTATAGCTTCAAGAATTTATTTGTCGGCTACCAGACCCTTATTCATTGCAGCTCCGAAACTCAAAGTCAAACACACACTCACACACTGGGAAATCCCATGGATTTGGAACCTAAAGAGATGGAGATTGATTTATCTCCGTTCATCAAAGTCTACAAAGATGGCACTGCAGAAAGACCCTTTGCCTCCCCAAATGTTCCTCCATCAGTTCTTGATCCTATCACCAATGTCTCCTCAAAGGACATCACCATTTCATCTGAAGTTTCTGCGAGACTTTACCTTCCCAAAATCGCTGATCCCAACACCAAAAAGATCCCAGTTTTGGTCTACTTCCATGCTGGTGGATTTTGCCGGGGATCCGCTTTCTCCCCTCTTTACCAGAATCTCCTCAATCAATTAGTTTCCAAAGCTGATATGGTGCTAATCTCAGTTGACTACAGAATTGCCCCAGAATACCCTTTACCTGCAGCTTATGAAGATTCATGGGCTGCCCTTCAATGGGTCGCCTCACATTCTGTTAAGGGTTCTGAAATTGATGGTGAAAAAGAACCATGGTTGATTGACCATGGTGATTTTGATAAGGTTTATGTAGGGGGTGATAGTGCTGGTGGGAATATAGCACATAATATGGTTATAAGAACAGGGTCTGAGAGCTTAATTGGTGGGGTGAAAATTTATGGTGCAGTTCTCTGTTTTCCATATTTTTGTGATTCGGAAACTAAGGAAGAAAGTTTGGAATATAAAATATGGAAGCTGGTTTATCCTTCTGCTCCAGGTGGTGTTAACAGTCCTTTGATCAACCCCTTTGCTGATGATGCGCCTAACTTAGGTAAGATTGAATGTCAAAAGGTGTTTGTTTGTTGTGGTGAGAAAGATGTTCTGAGAGATATCGATTTGCGGTATGTTGAGGCATTGAAGAAAAGTGGATTTGAGGGTGAATTGGAGCTGGCTGATGTCGAAGGAGAAGATCACTGCTTTCAGCTCTTTAACCCCTACACTGAAAAAGCACAGAGTCTCATAAGTAGTATGGCTTCCTTCATCAAGGGCTAATCTTGTTTTAAATTGTTGCATGATTTCATTATCACAAAGCACATGATAACAAGTTTGCTTCTTTGTTCAAGAACAATATGTGTTAGGTCCCTTTGTTGCAAGATGTTTTGTATGCCTTTTCTTTCTTCCACAAAGTTCTTTTTCTTTTCTTTTTTTTTGGTTCTTGATCCTCTAACTAGCTCTGAAAGGGGTCTCCTCAATCTTTTTAATTATTGCCAATTAATTACCGAGTAGAATCACTTGCTCATCACCAAACTGATGACCTAACTTTGAAGTAATATTGCTATGTTTGTAAGTTTTGTGTCTATTGTACTAATCAATGGTTTAGTGCTGAAGCATCTCTACCTGCTGAAAACATTATTCCTATCACTTACGTATGTGATATCGTTTTAGCTTCTAGCCATTTCAAAACTGCTTACTATTCATGCAATATATCAATATCTCAATCTGCATTATATCAATATCTCAATTTGCAATCTATGTTATGTTACCTGGACTTGGATACGGGTGTCGTATCGGGTGCGGGAATATGAGTGTTCGACTCGTCAATATTTTAAAAATCTTAAACATTTTAGGCTAAAATACCATACCGGACACTCATATCACACTAGCGTCGACACGACACGACATTTTGGTATTCTCTCAAAAAAATTAGTCCGGGTAACAGAGATTTGCATTATATCATTGTCCTCTGCATAACCCTCTGCCAATTCCAACATTGACAAAGATTCTTGGCTGATCAGCTATGATGATTTTGATGAAGTTTACCTCGTAGGTAACAGTTTTGGATCAAATATAGTACATAACATGGCTTTGCGAGCAGGGTTTGAAAGTTTAACCAGATACCTAAAGATCTTGGGTGCAATTTTATCTCATCCATTTCTTTGAAATAATTTCAGAAACTGAGGAAAGAAACAATGAAATAAGCATGGTTTCTAAAGTTTGGAAATCTGTTTTATCCTTCAGCTCCAGGTGAGATTTATGAATCCAATGATCATCAACCTGTTAGCTATTGATGCATCCTGATTATCTGGAATTGTTTTGCGGAAAATTGTTTGTTTTGGTTGCTGCAAAGGATTCTCTCAGAGAAGTTGCTGAATTTTAATGTTGATGCATTGTGAAGAAAAGTGGCTGGATAGGTGAACTTGAGTTCATAGATTTTGAAGGAGAAGATTAAATATTTGGTTTCATATATTGAACTCTGATTCTGAGAAATCAACTGGTCTGATTCACAGTTTGGCTTCCTTCACTAAGGTTTGAGCTTATTTCATGATTTCATATTTGGATTTTCAATTCTAGTACAATAATGAATCTAAACTGGACAATCATTTCAGGACCGGACCGAAAAAGAGAGAAAGTAGTTGATTGTGTGAGCCAAAATATTACCAAAAAAGCAGAGATATCAAATTTCCAACAAAGCCAAGACCAAAACCCTTGGCCTAAAAACATTAGCAACGCTTTTGCCAGATTCAAAGAAATACAGAGATAAAACATACCCAAACTAACAACAGCATCATAAACTGCAAAAAAAGCTAGCTTCTTTATGTGATAGTAACTTTGAAATCAAATCCTAACTACTTAAAAAAAGATCATAAAATCAAATCCCCTCCATAAAATGTCCTTAGGTCGCTGATTCCTTCTGGTGACGAGCTTTTTCCTTCTCTTTCACTTCACTCCCTTGGCTAGTATCAAAATCAGGGACTTTCTCATGAACATGTTTCTCTTCATCCTTTTTGGGAAGTTCTTGATTTCCTCCATAAACCCCTCCAAATCCTTCTTCATCAGACCTTGTTGCATACCCTTCACCAAAAGAAGCCATACTTTCTTCTCTTGGATGCTTCATTTGGGATTGATCCTTCTCCATATCTTCTTGATTCCCAGTTGCAGCAGTTTGCTGAAATCTAATCCCACAAGTTTTATTTCGGCTAGTAAAATTGTATGGATTTTTTGGTGAAAAAACAGGAACAGGGGATGGTGGTTTTAGTGATCTTAGCGCATTTAACATATTTTTCTTTGATCAATTCTTGCAATGACATATGAAAAAAACCCATTACTTTAACTGCACATATATATAGTGATGAAAAATGATCAAAAATAAAATATTGGAGAATGAGGAAATTAAGGTTGATGAGTCAACAACGTTTGTCGAAACCGAATTATCTGATCAACTCATGAATTCACACGTAGGGATTGAGTTCGACATGTGTCAACTGTTCTGAGTTCTTTTTTCCGTCTTGCCGCCTCTTTTACAGAATAGTTGGATTTGGACCAGAAAATAAAAAGACTTTCAAGTACAATCGTGGGCTAAGCTAAAAATTCCAAGCCCAATAAATTATATACGTATTGAAATTTCTACTTTGTGAATTAAATATGTTCTTCCCGTCGCCTTCTAAGTTGTAACATATAAAAGAACCGAAAGACGAACTGAATTGGAAATTACCCAAAAAGAGATCCGCAATTCCTTAAACCGACTTAGAAGTTACGATCATGAAAAAAACCAAATATACTTTGGATTCAGGAATCCATCCATGAGAAGAGCAAACTATAAATAGACCCATAACAGAGTCAATATTTTCACATCAACTCTCTCAAATCTTCTTTTCTGGAACAACATAATTTCAATCAAACAATGTCAACTTCTGAGTCCGCTTCTGATCCAACGAAGATGATCACGTTGGTGTCTTCCGATGGCGAGTCGTTTGAAGTGGAAGGATCTGTGGTGATGGGATCGCAGGCAATCAAGCACATGATCGAAGACGATTGCGCCAACAACGCCATCCCTTTACCAAACGTTCAAAGCAAGGAGTTGGCCCGAGCCGTTGAATATCTGAAAATCCACCGGGCCGAGGAAGGAGGGAAAGATGTGAAGAAGAAGTTTGATGACGAGTTCCTGAAAGGGATGAGCCATGGTGATCTGTTTGCCCTGATGCAGGCTGCGAACTACTTGGACATCAAAGGCTTGCTTGATCTTACTTGTCAGAAAACGGCAGACATGATCAAGGACATGAGCCCAGAAGAGGTTCGCGAGATTTTTAGCATTGAGAATGATTTCACACCCGAGGAAGAAAAAGCGATTCGCGACGAAAACGCATGGGCGTTTGATTGAGTGTAATCATTCTAGATTTTTCTAGTAGTAATTTATAGAACTTGCTTATTTCCGCGAGTTACTTATTTTGTTGTTCTAAAAGTCTTGAAGGCAAACCAGTGTCTGATTTTTTTCATCATAATTTGTGTTGACCGATAAATTTTTAGGTCATTAATTGTTTAGTTATCTTTGTTATTGTTGGTTGGTGATGTTATGCTATAAATCTGAGTTTCTATTAGTTAGAACTCAAACTGGAAGATCAAGTGCAGGCACTACAGAATCTTTGGAGGAAGCGGAAAAAGTAAAATCCCTCCAATCTTAATTATAAAGCATAAATTAACACAAAAATCAGTAACACGAATTACCACTAAAATCTGTTTAAATTTGTGTGACCCATGAACGTCATTGGAGCACATTACCATGTATGAATCTGATGTTACAGTTGACCTTACGTATATACTACTTCCTCCGTCCAAAATGATATACTCCCTCTGTCCCATAATTATTGTCCAGTTTGAGATTTCATTTTTAGTATTATTTGAACTAAAAATGAAAACCAAACTGGACAGTAATTATGGGACGGAGGGAATACATAAATACTACTTTCTCTATCCCGAAATGATTGTCCTGATTAGTAATGATAGTATCGATAATTTTTATGAGACAGAAAAAGTACGATTGTCAAGTTCAATTATACCAAAAAATGAAATGTCAAATTGGATAATTCGGACGGAGAGAGAGAGCATAATACATATACTTGGGGTGTATTATGAACGTTTTCTTCAATGGACTGATGAACAAGAATGAGAGAAGGAAAAAGCGAAAAGCCTTAGTGTGAATGAACGAAGAAAAGTGTTGAAAACAAAGGAAAGAAAGGCCCCCCAGTTATAACTTAAAACACCCCTACTTAAATCAAACTTGCCCAGACAACGTTGCGTCTCTTTAGACTTCAGTTCAGTTAGCTCGTTTTTTCTCCCATTCTCTCTTTCTCAAGTCAACCATGTCAACGTCTTCGGAGCAGAAGAAGAAGATGATCGTGTTGAAATCATCGGACGGGCAAAGATTCGAGATCGAGGAATCTGTAGCCGTACAATCCCAACTAATCAAGGGCATGATCGAGGAGGATTGTGTCGGCCATCGCGAAATCTCTCTTAAGAGAGTCAAAAGCGATATCTTGGCTAAGGTCGTTGACTATCTCAACCGCCACTATGGCAGTTGCGGAAGCGGATCAGAGTCGTCGGAGGAAGCTGCTGCTGAGGATCTAAACTCGTTTGACTCCGAATTCGTCAAAGTTGACCACCCAGTCCTCTTTGACCTGATCTTGGCTGCAAATTTCCTCGAGATCAAGAGCTTGCTCGACCTCGCCAGTGAAACTGTTGCAGAGATGATTAAAGGTAAGACTCCGCAACAAATCAGAGAGTTGTTCAACATAAAGTATGAATTCACTCCCGAGGAAGAAGAAGAGGTCAGGAGGGAAAACGCATGGGCATTTGAATGATCTGGATGTTGTTTGTTTTTAATTTTTCTAAATAAAAGAAACTTCATTGTATGTTTTTCTTTCCCCTCCTATGTATGAATGTACGGAGTTGCTGGTTTTTATGGACAACATTTTATTTTAATTTTTTTATTTGGATTTGAGATGTGATTTAAAACGTGTACTGAGTTCATTGTATCGATGATATAATAATAACGTCGAAACTTTGGCCCTCGCATATGTAGTGATTGAAAAGCAAAGGACAACGTTGAATTAAGGGGTAAATTTACAATCTTTGAAATCGCGTTTATGTTCATACGTGTATGTTGATTGGAGCAACTGTGACGGCGAAAAATTGATCCACAAACATAAAACACAAAACATAATCCGATTTAATAAGTAAGTTTGAGGAAGAATTTGATAGGAAAAATAACCTCCCGACTCGATGTACTGAGCATATCTCGTCGATTTCTAGGACTACAAATTTTTCGGAAAAATGACGAGCAATTTTCATAGCATCAAATGAAAGTACACTGGCTCCCGTGATTAAGGGTAAAATTCCCGAAGATTTTAGGAGCGAAAGAAGAAGGAAGCAATTTGAATGATCTGTTTTCATTGCAGCAACGAAGAATTAAATATAGATCATGCTCTGCAGAGTTGTAGATTTAGTGTTATAGTCCTTTAATACTCCTACATAAGAAATGATTGTGTTGTTTGGTGTAGTAAATCAGATTCGGTACTATCAAGAAGAATGTTTTTGTTCGCTGGCCAATTAAAAATGTCTTCTTTGAGGCAACGTCAACAAAAAAGTAAAAAGTACAAATAATCCGCATGATTCCAATCTAAACAACACAACAGAATGGAGTTATCTGTCCATGGTTGATGGAGAGCTATGAAGACTGCTTCAGATGTTCTTCAACGATTTCAATGCATCGATACAACACTAACTCGACCGGGTTCAAGCCACAGGAGATGTCCAATGCCAGTTGATCCTGATCCTTAGCATTTTCTGCTGCAACGCCGGTCACAAGAGTTCGAAGAGGAAGCAGCCATTCGCCGTGGACTTTCTTTAAATGCTCCTTGGAACGTACTCCTGTGTAATTAGTTTTCCCAGAAGATTCTGTGATTAGAATGAATCGGTAAAGATTGAGAGCAGACAAAACCGCATCACAGTGCTCGGGAAGAGGAGGTGGTCCTCCTCCTGGAGGCCTTAGAACCATTTCCACCAATTCAAGCACATCAGCAGTCCAAAAACACAAACAATGAGAGGATTCACTTTCTCCATTTGAGATTGACTTAGCAGCCACAGTTCTCTCGTGCATTTCTGCACGCATTTGTTCCCTCACGCAGTCTAGAAGCAATGCAATCATGGAAGAAGAGTCACTGTTCTTTATCATCGCGCTTAAAATGTCAAATCCAAGGGAAGTTGGAAGATCAGCTAGCAACTTCTTGAATGCGAGAAATGCATTCCTCCGTATCACAGCATCAGGTGCATACATAATCACCGCTTGGACAGCCTGCAGAGCTGTATAAACAGATGGCATATCTGCAGAGAACTCTGCCTCGGGATGACATGGTGTTGCCTGTGACGAATTCACTTCCATAACGCTAAGGAGGAAGTTTATGGAATGTTGCTTCAACTCCCACGGCAAATGTACACACAAGAAAACATGCTTTAACATGCCTACAGCTTCCCATCTTTTAGTCTGGCTACTTTGGAGCTCATCTTGGAGTGCAGCAATATCTCCCTCTGCAGCTGTAGCAACCTCATTCCACTTGGAACCCCATATAACTGCAAGTGATGCACCGAGCCAGATATGAGAGAAACAACCCACAAAATCATCCTGCTCATCCCCAAAGGCAGTGGTCAAAAGGTTATTGACACAATCACCCGTGATCAAACCCTCATATGTTAAACCACAGTATGGAAAGAAGTATGACAAATGTAGCACCAAAGGGAGAGAGTCCACGAGTTTTCTATGTTTTATGCCCATTGAAAGAAGGGCCAGACTCTGCAGGACAAACAGGCCTAACAAAGCGCGCAGTTTATCGCTGTCTTCCTCCCCAACTTTCAGACAAACTGTTTTAACAGAATCAGCAATGCCATTCACTCTCTGATATAATTCCACCACATCTGTAGCATCGACTTCATCATCATCTGTGCGTGCTGATATACTCTTAAGTGCATTTAAGATGACAGGAACAGCTGCTTTCACGTGCACAAATTGCCGCCGCTTTACTGAGTCAAACAATTTAGGAAATGCAGTTAACAGAGGAATGAAATAGCGTGGAACGCGAAACATCTCGCTTGGTGAACCTAATGCATCAGAAAGCACGGAAAGCATATCGCGGGGACTGCCAATATCAGCAAAAGAATCCACCATGGAAACGGCAATCTCTGAGCATCTTCGAGATGCACAACCAAACCTAGCAGCTAGTTTTAGCAACTCAAACGATAAAGCATCAATAACCACCTGGTCCAGCGAGGAAGAAGTAATGAAGCTACGAAACTCAGTGAGGATTTGAAAAGCTGTATGCTCCAAATCATCCTCCTCATCCTCATAATTCCGGCTATTCACCACTGCATCGGAGATGGAATTCAGGAAAACAGCCAGCTCCGATAGCTCTTTCTCAGATTTACCAAAATCACCAGCTTCAATTAGTTTGGAACATGATTCTAGCGTTCGGCGAATTCGAAATAGCACCTGTTCAGTATCATAATCTGTATCTGCATCCAGGGTCGCCATTGGTAGTTTGTCAGTCATCAAAAAGTCGCTTGAGATTCTCTGACGGTAATCCCTCCTCTATCAATAAAATCCAATCAGAAACTCAAATGGATGATGAAACCCAAATCAGAAACTCAATCGAAATCCTCAATGTAAAAATACTAGAAGTGTCTTAATTTCCAAAAAAAAAAAAAAACAAGTCCCTAATCCGACTTATGATAAGTCTTGAAACCCAATTGCAATTAGGGAAAGGATAAGGATACCCTTCTCAAAAGCACTATAAATAGCCCACAAGAGACATCAATAATCTCCCACGTACAGTTTCAAAACCCTAGTAGCTTTTAAGCACAGTTTCCATAACTCTCTCTCCAACCTTTCCTTTTTTTACTTCGTTCAAGCCTTTCATCAAACATGTCAACTGCATCCTCACCGAAGAAGATTATCACCCTGAGATCCTCCGACGGAGAGACGTTCCAGATCGAGGAGTCAGCGGCGTGCGTATCTCAGACGATTAAACACATGATCGAGGACGACTGCGCCGACAACGTCATCCCGCTTCCCAACGTCACGGGCCCAACTCTGGCCAGGGTCGTCACCTATCTCAACCGCCACGGCCGAGACCCCGCCGCCGGACCATCGTCCAAGGAGGAAGAAGAAGATCTGAAATCGTTCGACGCTGACTTCGGGAATGTCGACCAGGCGATTCTGTATGACCTGATGTTGGCCGGAAATTATTTGAGTATCAACGGGTTGATCGAACTGGTTGCCCAGAAAGTGGTAGACATGATCCACGGGAAGAGTCCGGAGCAAATCCGGCAGTTATTTGGCATCAAGAACGATTTCACTCCTGAAGTAGAGGCAGAGGTTCGGAGAGAAAATGCCTGGGCTTATGAAGATCCTGAAGTACCTGGAGAAACTTCTGGCTAGTTCTTTTTAGATTTTTCATAATTCTTGTTTAAATAAATCTGGATTAAATAAATTGTTAGTTTTTATTATTATTATTATTATTGTTACTGTTGTTACTGTTGCTCTTTTTCCAAGATTGATATTAGGGGGCAAGTGTAATTTCGAAGAATTTGTTACATTTGCATCCCGATTATATTAATATTAACATCTCGTTACAAAAGAAATAGTCAATTATCGAAAATCACTCCGTCAACTCGAAATCTACTTAGGTCCAGCAGTATGATAAGGCTTGCTTGTCCTAGAACTTCATAGTGATAAGTTCAATGTTTAGAAAAAAACACACTAAATGGCATAAATATCCAGTACATTGATAAGTTCAAACTGCAGACAAATTTCAGGAACTTAATACTTCCTCCATTTTTTTTATATGTCTTTCTAGAAAATTCATCAAAACTAAGAAGACATTTATTAATGTAGTTAAAATAATAAAAACACCCTTATTAATTGTACATACAACTCATTATTAACAAATAGAAATTTATTATAAATAATTTGTTTCATTTTCAATACAAGGGTAATTTTGGTAAAAAGTGGTCAAATGTGCCTCGATTTAAGAAAACGACATATATTTAAAAAAATTCATCAAATCCTAAACGACATATATTTCAAAATGGAGAAAGCATTGAAGCTAAGAAATACATTTGCAAAAAGCCGTAAAGCAGATTGGAAATTTCATTGGAAAACAGCAAAAAAGACCAAAAATAATTATCCTAACAACAGAAGGAAGAATTACTGGAACAAACGATAGAGCACAATCTGGCCTATTTCTCATCTGCCATTGATAATAGATGAGCAGGGAGATCTCTAGGATCAAAAGATCAATCTGGCACGCCTAGTATGTCATCACTTGCCATTTTGAAGGAAGGGACTTTATGCGAAAATCTGAAGATGTCGGTTCTTGGAATCACAAATGAATCTGTTTCACTCTAGCTTATTCGCGGAAATAAGCTCACGAACCCTGCCAATTTGTCCGAGTATGCAACTCGAATGTTGCCAGTGTTGTTTTCAGTTTCAAGGATTTCAACAGCCTCATACTTACAATCATAATTTGCAAATTCGTGATCTTGGATTGTAGGATCGGACGATCCTATGATCTCAGGTACCTAAATCGATCCTGAATTAATCAAACTCGAATTTTGTAGTGAAATTGGAGTGGGATCGGTTAGGATTGTACAGGATCGGTCAGGATCATAAGATCGGTCCGAGTTTACTATTCATCAATTGCAAAAAAATAATTTAGCTTATTGAGATTTTTCTTTTCTCTTACTTCTTTTGGTTCACATTAAATTGAGGCAAATATTCTTTGAGGAAACTTTTATTGCTAAGAAAAATATAGTTTAGAAAGTTTTTCTAATAAAATGAAAAAAATAATTATAAGAGAAGAGTTTTTCTTAAAAAGTTATGAAAAAATTCATATAAGAAAATTGAATTTACACAATTCTTTTTGTTTAGCTGTTAAATACTTTATGTAAAAATAATTGATACCTAATTATTAAAGCAATTAATTATATAACATGTATAATTAATTTTACTATCCTACTATTCTGATCCGATCCTATGACCCCATTTCGATTCTACGTAGGATCACGATCCTGCAAACATTGCTTCCAATTATAAAGATAATCTCGATCAGACACCCAAGTGCTAATGTTCCAGTCTTTGTAAAGTGCCCAAATCTCTCTTTAACAGGATATATGCAGTAAGGTCTAGACAAACTTCCACAAGACATTCGATGTGAGAACTTTGTGATGTCTATAGTTTGCAATTTATCGGCATCACTAACTTCCCCCGATTTTGCAGGTGCGTCTTTGAACCTTTTCCTGCATTTCTCTCTTTCTTCCGCAGTGGGAGTTGAAATCATTGAATCAAGCTTCCTAAAACACTTTTCTTGAGATTTTTTAAGTGAGTTAAGTTCCTTCCACACATCCAGATTCCTTTCTCTTGCTTTCAGTGCATGCTTTTTAGCTACAAGCTCAGCTTGCCTCGAAACCAAAAAGTTTTCCCTCATTTTAACCGCCTTACGTGTTTGTTCAAACTTTTCTCTCTTTCTTTCATTGCAGTTCCAATACTATTATGAACACTACCTTCCTTCAGACATATTTCTAGAAGTCTATTTTCATATGATCTTTGTGAAGTCTCAAAAAGCTTCCTCTCAAATTCCATCTTCTGAAAGACCGATTTCATAGCGTTCTCATGTTTCTTCATCATATCCTGAATCATCCTGACATTTTCTGGTAACATGGCAAGAAACTCCTTATCTTGGGACAAATAAGGATTTTGTTTTCTGGCCTCACCTGCAATTAGCAGTGCAGATTCTCTTTCGCAGCGCATGTGTTTGAGGTCTGCTAAATTTTTAGTCACTGATAATTGGATTGCATTCAACTGCTCCTCGCTGAATTTTAGAGCATTTACAAGTTCTTGGTTACATTTTCGAATGGAGTCCCGATTCAGCTCCACTTTCTCAGATATCTTCTTTAAAATACCCATCAAGATGTTGAATCGAAAAAGAACTGTACTTCCCTTCAAGAGAAAACCAATATATTTTGGATTGAATTCAGTCTTCACCTAATGAGACTACTACTTCTTATTGTTGCTAGTAACAGTGATTTCTTGAAGCCTGATAACAAAATGAAAATACTTGTCCGATATGTTTGTACTTGTTATCCAATTAACTAGTACTGTTTATTTAACCTAGTTTTTTTTTCTTAAAATGGTTATCCATTGCATTCATACTGATTATCTGACCGGTTTTTAAACTGATTATCCATTTCGTTCGTACTGGTTATCTAATCTTTTTTTTTTAAAAAAAAATCATTGTCTAATGTGTTAATACTGATTATCCAGTTAGTTAGCACTGCTTATCCAACCTAATTTTTCTTTTTATTATTATCTTTTGTGGAAAAGAATGCTTGTTTAATGCGTTCGTATCGATTATTCAACTGCTTGTATAGATTATTCGACCATTTTTTTTTCTATATTCTTTGCGAAAATCCTTGTCCAATTTTTTGTACTGATTATCCAACCGTTTTGTATTGGTTATCCAATCATTTTCAATGATTATCCAAACATAATTTTTTTTATTTTTTTTTCTATTGAGAAAATATATGTCCGATGTGTTCATATTGATTATCCATCTGACTTTTTGGTGATGGTTATCCAACTTTTTTTTCCTTGCTTTTTTTATGGAAATGATTGTCCAATTTTTTTGTATTGATTATCGAACTAGTCTGTTTTGCTTATCCAATTATTTTAACTGGTTATCCAGGTGGTTTGTAATGGTTATCCAATCATTTTCCCTTTTTTTTCTGAAAAAATGGTTGTCTAACGTCTTTATATTGGTTATCCAACATAAATACTTTCTTCGTTTCTGCCTGGAGTATTTTAATTTTTTATCTTTTGAAATTAATATTCAACATTGATCTTATCGAATAGATCTCGTCGAGCACTATAAATTTTATATATAATTTGTTTTGTAATTTTTACGGATTGGGAGATATAAATTTTACAGGAATATTAATATAAAATAAGTTGGTTATGCATTTTTTTAAACTGGATATCCATTTTAATTTTGCCCATCGAAATTTGATCATCTTTAAGCTCGAGAAAAATATTTGATATGGATCTTGTTGGATAGATCTCAAGGAGTACTATAAAATTTATATATAATTCATTCACAAATTCTTTATGGATTGAGAGATATGCTCGTTTAAAGAATATAGACGTTTTTTCAGAACAGAGAGAAAAAAGTAACATGACTAAACTTGAAAATTATAAGAAGATTGAGAAAAAAGTACAATAAGGACTATTAGTGCAAAAAATAGAAGTAGATGTACATTCTCCCAGGTATACTGGATACAGACTCAAAAGTACAATAAAAATTAATAGTGCAAAAAATAGGAGAGGGTATACATACTCCTGACTCTACTGGATTAAATTGTCTACATCATTATTAGTGATTTAAAACAACTAAATTATCTTACCATGCATAAATCAAAATTTTACGAGTTAAATTTAACAAAATAAAAAATTTCTGCTTTTTCTCTCGCTAAAGCTGATGTAATTTATCTGTTTACATTAATTTGGAGTTTCCTAGATAATTCCATCCATCATCATTACCAAATGAAAAAAAATACTCGTAACAATTACGTGTGTTTAGATTAGTTGAGACAATTAAATTTCATTGAAATTTTCGTCCAATTCGATGAGCCATTGTTTTTCATATTTCAATCAGATCATCAACAACACTGTCATCAAATGAATAATAGTCCACGTACGCGTAAAAAACCCGCCATTCTTTTTTTCTCAATGAGCCATAAGAAATGCCAAATTAGTTTCAAAAAAATGAGACCCCCTTTTCTCAGCGCCGTTTGAAAAAAATTTATGACTCAGTCAGGTTGATAACATTAGATTAAAATTTAATCTACTCTATCAGTCAATTCCCTCGACAAATAAAAATAATCATAGTCGGTAAAGTCTTTGAATATTTTAAATGAACATTTTTTGCAGCGGTCTTTTTAATCAACATGGAAAAAGATGGAGAGTCATATTCAATCAAGGTTAATTAGCAGCCTAAGACTTTTAATTAATTAAAAATTATAACATTGTAATCATTGATTTAGTATACTAAAAGAAAAGAAAATTGATGGTGTGTATTTCAATATATGTATGAAGGTTTTTCGTGAGGGCAACAGCAACAATTTTGACTAGTCAAAATTATTTTTAGAAAGAGATTTCTGTCTTTCTCTTGCTTTGATTTTCTAAGTTGGCATACTGTATTGAACTGACTAATATTCCACGATTTCACCCCTTAATGAATAAGTCATTAATGGCAAAGAAAACGCTAGCTTATCTTAAACAAATTTAGCTCGAAAAAAGAAAAAGTATGATCAGAGTTCTATTCGACAAAATAATACTTCCTCCGTTACAAAATGACGATTATTATGTATTGTATTATTTTAGTTCAACAAAATAGGACACGAGAGGCTATACACATTGGCCTGCTCAAACACAGAGGTATAACTTTATTTTGGTGAAGAACAATGTGTATTGAGACTTTGAATTGAAAATGGAGGGAATAGTTTATAAAAAAAAAAAAAATTGAAAGAAAGAAAATGAAGGGGATATCATCATTATTCCATCCAAAACCTGGGGGAAGTAAATGAAAATTGGCGGGAAAATGTAGACATAAATCAATGAAAGAATTTAGGCCCAATAGATATGTTGCAGGGCTCAGCCCAGTTATTTAGATTTCTAGCTACTAAAATGGGTTAAACTGTAAACTCTAGCAGCCCAGCTGACCGCAACCAAATGAGCCATCTAATGATGAGGTTTGTTTTTTCAATTTTTAATTTTTAAGGGCAATATACTTAATTTATGTAAATGAATTACATGTTCATTGAAAGGAAAAAAAAAAGAAGAAGAAGAAGAAAAGTTATTGCATAATCTATTGCATTTGCAAAATTAACTTTGTGTGACAAGAAATGAGTGTGGAAAGAGAAATAGAATTTCTAAAATTGAACATAACATTCATTACAAACTTAGATCACGTGTAATATTACGTTATACACGACAAAAATAACAGTAAAAAAAGATAAATTCAATTGTTGAAACTGAAAGTAACATTATCTTTACGATTTAATACACTGAATCATGTGTGGACTGTGATGCATTATGTACATCACGGTTAGTGATTAAAGAAAAGTAGATTATCCTACCATTAATCAAAATTTTAAATATGATTTCTTTTTTAAAAAAATCGTTGCTTTCGCCTTTGACTTTCGTTAATGGTGATGTAATTGAAAATAAAGTGGGAGAATACTTAACTTGAGCCGCAGTTGATTTAATCAGAGATACTCTGTGTTTCCTAGGTTATTTTCATCCATCATCATCACTAAACCGGTAAAAAAAAACTTACTAATCATAAATATGTAAGTAAACACAGATTTAGAATATTAGTCAGAATAGTTTAAACTCGAATACTGAATCTGTTGTAATATAGCCACCAAGGCACCAACTGTGTCATCAAAAGAATAATAGTCCACGTACGCGTAAAAACCATTGTTTTTTTTTTTCTCAATGAGCCATAAGAAGTGCCAAATTTATTAGTTTAAAAAAATTAGACCCCTTTTCTCAACTCCATTTGAAAAAAATTTACAATTATGTATTGACTCAGTCAGGTATATAACATTGAATTTTACTCTATTAGAGTCATAAAAACCACTAAAAATTGGTCAATTCTCTCAACAAAGTTTAATAAAAATAAAAATAAAAATCATAGTCGGTAAAGTCATTGTATATTTTAATCATACTTTTTGCAGCTAGCGGTCTTTTTAATTAATTATATGAAAAAGATGGAGTGTCATATTCTCCCAGGTTAACAGCACCCTAAGACTTTTAATTAATTGAAACTAAGTATAGTAAAAGAGAATTGATGGTGTGTATTTCAATAAGTCTTTCGTGAGGGCAACAGCAACAATTTGACTAAATTATTATTATTATTATTATTTTTTTTAAAAAAGATTTCTGTCTTTTTTCTAGCCTTGATTTTCTAAGTTGGCATACTGTATTGTACTGGTTAATAGTATAGTGATCCACCTCTCTATTAATCAGTCACTGATTGTGAAGAAAACGCCAGCTTATCTTAAAGAAATTTAGCCGGATAAAGAAAAAGTATGATCAGAGTTCCATTTGACAAAGTAATACTTCCTCCATACCAAAATGGTGATAATCTTCGTTATTGTAATAATTATTTTTTACTTGTATGAAAATTCTATTTTGTTTATAAACAAACTACTCCATATGTTCAAAAAATAGTTATCATGTTTGAAATTTCACTTTTGATACAATTTGTACTGAAAATAAAAATTTAAATTCAATAATTATTTTGAGATACATGACATAAATTCAGCTCTTAGTTACATTTTCATTAATTATCCAAAAAATCTCATACACAAACTATACTTTAAAAAGAAAGCCATTTACAGTATTCATATTGTGATGGGAAAAAAAAGGTGATTTTTCAATGGATAGTTTTGCTGTTAATGTCAATACTATGTACTTGTGGCCATCTAAATTTGAGTGCTGAAGCGATTTTTCAATGGATAGTTTTGCTGTTAATATGAATACTATGTACTCATAGTCATAGCCATCTAAATTTGAGTGCTGAAGCTTATAATCTACTCCATCCGTCTTAAAATTATTGTCCAATTCGGTTTTCATCTCTAGTATAAATTAAATTAAAAAATGAAAACAAAAAATAAACAATAATTTTGGAACAGAGAGAATATGTATTATCCGCAAATTTGTGAAATGAGCGTTTTGATTAGTATTTCAGAGAGATAAAAGCTGTAAGTGTGACGCTAATTTTTGCGCAATTACTAATTTATTAATACTTATATCCTTCTCTATCCTTAGATTAGCACTATAAATACAGCAAAGGTTGGAGTAGTAACACACACTCACACAGCTACAAGCAGTCAATCACCAAACCAAACCAATAACACAGGAAAATCAAAACTTTTTCAGCCTCAGTGTCTGAAAAACACTCAAAAAGAAAAAAAAATGGTACTCTGCAGCAACAAAAAAGAAGTTGCATATGAATTTCTTCCTTTCCTTAAAGTTTACAAAGATGGTTCGGTGGAAAGATTCCTAGATTCACCATTTGTTCCCCCATCTATGGAACATTCAGATTCCACCATTAATACTGATGATGATGTTGTCTCCTCCAAAGACATCAGAATCAACTCAGATGTCACAGCCAGAATTTACCTCCCAACATCAACAACAACAAAGAAGATCTCTTCCAATCAGAAGCTTCCTGTTCTTGCCTATTTCCATGGTGGTGGATTTCTGATGGAATCAGCTTTTTCTTTCCTCTGCCACCGTTATATGAATGCCCTTGTTTCCCAATCCAAAGTTATGGTCATTTCTGTTGAATATAGATTAGCCCCTGAGAACCCTCTTCCCATAGCTTATGAAGATTCATGGGCTGCTCTTCAATGGATTGCATCACATTCCATTGCTCCAAAAATTGGTGAAATTAACAATGATGATGTGATTGAAGAAAAGTATGAAGAACAATGGGTTCTCAAGTATGCAGATTTTGACAGAGTATTTGTTGGTGGAGATAGTGCTGGAGCTAATATAGCACATAATCTATCTCTAAGAGCAAGCCTTGAAGGATTTCATGGAGGAATTATGAAAATCCATGGAGTTTTGTTATGCCATCCTTATTTTCTCGGGTCGAAACCAATCGGGTCGGAGTCGGGTTCCCATGGCATGAACATGTTGAATCATAAGACATGGGAAATCGCGTACCCGAATGCGCCGAACGGGTTTGATAATCCATTGATTAACCCGTTTTCGAACGAAGCCCCGAGCTTGTCGGGGCTCCAGTGTTCGAGGTTGCTGGTTTGTGTTGCGGAGAAAGATGAACTGAGGGAAAGAGGAGTTCGGTATTATGATGCTGTGAAGAAAAATGATGAATGGAAAGGTAAAGTTGAGTTGTTTGAAGTTGAAGGGGAAGATCATTGTTTCCAGGTTTTCAATGTTGATGGTGATAATGCCAAAATGTTGATCAAACGTTTGGCTTTGTTCCTTAATTCATACCAGATTCAGGGGACTCTTGTTCCTTGATCAATAACACACTTCAATCTTTATTGCACTTGATAAGTACATAGTGAAAATTCCGTGTATATCTCTATATATTGTTTAATTGGTTAATTTCTTCAATGGATTCTGTAACTTTCATTCCTTCTCTATGTGTTCATGTATCTCAAATTGCTTTATTTGAATTGAAGAGTACTTTATGGTAACTTTCATACTTTTTATTTAGTTTAAAGTTGTAACATTACTGAGTTCTACTCCTTCCGGTCCTTATTATAAGACATTTTAATTTGCGTTTTTAATTGACGAAAAAAATCTTAATAATATTTTATAACAATCTAGAGAACACAGACGAACTATGTAAAATCTAGACAAATCAAAATACTTTATATTAAGGATCAGAAGGAGTATTTAATTATCGAAAGATAGATGACGAGTTTCCTCAGTTCATGTTCATTGTCGAACTTTAGTAACGACCGGTACCATGCAACTGCAAAACTTCCATTTGAACTGTTAATCAAAGAAGAATCATTCCAAGAGATTTGAAGGGTATAATCATAATCGAGGGAGTGTGTCTATGTGCGTGTTTTTTTAACTTCATCTTTTTCTCTATATGTGTTGTTTGGTTGTTGAATTGGGTAGATTTGGTGAGCAAATTCCAAGTTTGTTGGCTTTCAGTTGTTCCTTCTCCAAAATTCAACCAAACCGGCCCCTCGTGGCCCCTTCAAATGTTTTTTTCCCTTCCTAAGAAATAATAAGGGTGAGTAAATTTCCAATTTAATTTTCTTCTTTTTATACCTTATCAAAAATTCAAGATCAATGCATGAACTACCTACTTTTCGCAGAAAAAGGAAAAAAAAAAAAAAGGAGAAGAAGAAGAAGTGAAGAACATGCAAGAATGACAGGGTTGAAAACAGTTAAATATAGCAGTAAGAATAGAGTGTTATTTACTGTACTTACTTCTCGAAATTATTGTTCTGTTTGTATGTTATGTTTATAACAAATTGCAGTAAAAGTTTGAATTGGAATATGACAAACACTTTGAGATGGAACAAGTACGGAAGATTGATAATTCAAAATTTCATTTTTAATATTCTAGTTTTATCAAATCAACCAATGAAAAAGAAAAAAGAAGCAAGAATGACAAAGAACATATGGCCGACCAAGGGGAAAAAAAAATAATAATACGATCAGAATTTTCGTAGCATGTTTCCAGGCCAACAAGAGAATGGCTCTCCTTAAAAATTCTATGTCCCAAAATGAGTCCAAAGTAGGGGAAGGTGACACTGAAATTACCATTTTCTTGGGGTTTTCCATTTGTACTTTTGTAAGGCTAGATAGACGATTTCATTCTTGCCATAATTTGCAGGCCAAATCGGCTAAAGAAAGGGTATTTATCCAACTAGTAATGTCTAATTTCATCGTGGATAATGATTTGTGTTGGAAAATTTCGTAAAAATTTTAATGATAATGAATAATAATTTTTCATACCTTATCTTAACGATTTATTTATTTAAAAATTAGAACATAATTAAAATTCAACCACATCGTTATTTTTCTTGTCGAAATTTTCTTCCATATATCATCACTCATCATCATATGCAATCGGAGAAAATATTACGTGTAATAATTGTATGCTTTTACACTTCGAATAACAAATGAATAATATACAAATTGTTAATTAAAGCTACGACGACGTGATGCAAATGTCAGTTAAAACGTCATTGTTGTCTTCTCAACGTGCAAGCAATTAATTTTTGAGCCCTTTTTTTTTTTTGGGTGACAGATCAAAGGAATTATATAAACCTGTCATCGCTTGCATGGGTACTTTTTGTTTATATATATTCTTAATAAATGAAAATATGCTGGAATTGTTGAAAAAATGTGATTGATGAACGTGCATTGATATTCATTCGTCTCAAAAGTAAGACAAAAACCCAAATTTCAAAATGCACATTATACAATGTCAACAAATAGGGGAGACAAAATTAAACCAATCCTCACTTGGTAGGATTTACTCTCTCTGTCCCAAAATTATTATTCAGTTTGAGATTTTACTTTTACATGAAATTCAAACTGAAAATAAAAATTCAAACTGGACAATAATTATGGGACGGAGGGAGTAATTTTTTTTTTTTGTTCCAGAAAAAGTACTCACTTTATTAATTTAAAAGAACATAGCAAAGTAAATTATTATTATTATTTTTTTGGGTTAAAAGAAGGCATGAAATTGATATTGACCAAATTTTAGTGAGTTTCGTCATACGCGTTTACTCACATTACTTGAGAAAATTAGGAGACAAAAAAAAAAAAAGCAATGGAAATTTTTGAGTGTGTTCATCTCCAGATTGTGTAACACTGGGAGGAGTATCTTGCATAGATCGAATCAGTAGCTAAAAATTCACCAACTGACGAAACTCTCTGATAAGTATCAATATGAAATTGCTCAAAATTGCAAGCCCACAATAATAAAGTACAGTAAATAATTTTCTAGTCGTCCTATATAACCTTGACTATTTTTGTAAACTACTAGAAAGAGAAAATTCGGTAAAAACTGGCTCAAAAAAGAACATTTCAATAGTTTCGTAATATGTGAGAGATCAGTGAAATAGAACTTTGTCAAGGGAAAAAAATGACCAAAAGAAAGAAGTAAAGAACATAGGCCAAAAAATGAAAAAGGAAACAGGAGTTCCGCTAGAAGGAGGGCTTGAACCTCCGACCTTGTGGTTAACAGCCACACGCTCTAACCAACTGAGCTATTCCAGCTTCGTATTAATCAGACTACAAAATTAAGTCAGAATTTCGAGGTTTCCTTGCATTACGCAGGAAGGACCCAATGGATATTAAAAATTCAGAAATAAATACCCATCAATCTAACCGAATTTAAAAAAGCCCAGTCTAACTCAGAATATTGGATCCCTAAAGGCCTAAAACATCCCATAGCAAAAGGTTTCAAGTTCTGAGCAATGGAGCCAACAATGCAGTCATAGAACTCCTACCTTTCATCTCTCCATTGTGCAGTTTCCAGTGCTTTTCCCTCCATCCACACCCACACTCACACACACAGGGTTCTTTCAGAACATTCTAGAACTTGTACACACAGTGAAAGCATTCAAATAGCTGCTGCCCAGAACTTGGATTGGTTTCTTTTTTCTTTTTTGAATTCAATAAGGTATGCTATTCCTTTTTTTTTTTTTCAAAATTCAAAATGCTTTTGTTCGTATCTGGGTTCTAGGGCTTTTGCTCGTCTTTACTGCTTTGGATTTACGTTATTGGGAGTTACAGATTCTTACTGTTTTATCCTAATCTGGGTTTTTTCAAATTGTTTCCACGCCTTCGATCTGTTATATTTTGATTCTGACGGGATTATAGTTTCTCGGGTAGTTATTTAAGGTTGTAGTTTCCTTCATTAATTAGTGGAAGCTTAATGGCGCGGCTTGTTTTGGTTGGGGGTTTTATTAGTGTTGTGGAAATTAAATTGTTTATTAAGTTCTGTTTTGTTTACCTTGTGGTATTATATTGTTATTATATCTGGGCTTATAAAGATTTGATTTTTAGTCTTGTTGTTTGCACTTTCTGATTCGTCGTGACCAAATGGTTCCTTTATTTGTTTCAACTAATAAATTAATTAGTGTCTGAAGTTGATTTCATGAATCTGTGTAACTTTCTGCATTTGTTAACCTGAGCATGCCATGGCTTGGTAATTGGTATATATTCGTGGTGCCAAGTTTTAAGTCTTTCTCCTTAAGTAAGATTGCTGGGAAGACTTGTTTTGCTTAAATGCGGTTTTGTCTCATTTTAGGTTAGGCAACCATGGATTCAACATCCCCAAACCAACAACGTCGGCCAATCTCCATCAAGCTTTGGCCTCCTAGCCAAAACACACGGAAAACGCTGGTGGAGCGGATGACAAACAACCTTTCAGATCCGAGCATTTTCTCTCGCAAGTATGGCAGTCTCAGTAGGGAAGAAGCTTCGAAGAGTGCTCAACACATCGAAGAGTTTGCTTTTGCATCAGCCTCTCAACATTATGAAAGGGAGCCTGATGGTGATGGAAGTTCTGCAGTGCAGCTATATGCCAGGGAATGTAGCAAGCTCATCTTGGATGTTCTTAAAAAGGGACCACTGCCTGAGGACGCCGGTGATCTGAAACCTAAGCTAGTTGTTGCTGAAGACAAAACCTTTTTCGATATTTCTAAAGGGCATAGGGCCTTTATTGACGCAAAAGAAGCTCAGGAACTCCTGAAACCATTGAGTGAACCAGGGAATTCCTTTACGAAAATATGTTTCAGCAACAGAAGCTTCGGCATTGATGCTGCCGAAGTTGCAGCGCCTATACTCTCATCGATCAAAGATCAACTGAAGGAAGTTGATTTGTCTGATTTTGTTGCAGGAAGACCTGAGGCAGATGCTCTTGAGGTTATGAACATGTTTTCAGCTGCTTTGGAGGGTTCTATTTTGAAGTCTTTGAATCTTTCAGATAATGCCCTGGGTGAAAAAGGAGTTAGAGCATTTGGGAAGCTCCTGAAATCACAAACTAGTTTAGAAGAATTGTATCTGATGAATGATGGGATATCTGAGGAGGCTGCACGTGCTGTTTGTGAGTTAGTTCCTTCAACTGAAAAGCTTAAAGTTCTTCAGTTTCATAATAATATGACTGGAGATGAGGGTGCTAGAGCCATTGCAGAAGTTGTGAAGCGTTCTCCTCTACTCGAGGCTTTCCGCTGTTCTTCCACCAGGGTAGGGTCTGAAGGAGGCATTGCCTTGTCCAAAGCTCTTGAGACTTGTACTCATCTAACAAAACTTGATGTGCGGGACAACATGTTCGGCGTGGACGCCGGCATTGCCCTGAGTAAGGCTGTTTCTTCATTTGAAAATCTTACCGAGCTTTATTTGAGCTACCTTAACTTGGAAGATGAGGGGACAATTGCAATAGCTGATGCACTGAACAGTACAGCCCCTGCACTTGAAGTATTAGAGTTGGCTGGAAATGAAATAACAGCCGAAGGTGCTTCTTCACTAGCTACCTGCGTAGCTGCAAAGCAGCACCTTACAAAGTTGATTTTGGCAGAGAATGAACTTAAAGATGATGGCGCAATTAAGATTGGCAAAGTTCTTCTGGATGGTCATGACAAATTGAAGGAAGTTGATCTTAGCACGAATGCTTTGAGAAGAGTTGGTGCTAGGACGATAGCTCAGTCTGTGGTGAACAAGCCTGACTTTGTGTTACTAAATTTGAATGGTAACTTCATCTCTGATGAGGGCATTGATGAGCTGAAAGACATGTTCAAGAAATTCCCTGAAAAGCTGGCGCCTGTTGATGATAATGATCCTGATGGAGAAGACGACGACGGCGACGAGGAAGGTGACAAGGGATCTGGAGATGAAGGCAGTGGAGATGAATTGGACACAAAGCTGGGAAAGCTTGATGTCAAGGACGAGGAATAGATATTTGCTCTCTATTCCTATCTCTACTAGATTAAATCATTGGCTTTGCTATTAGCATGGGACTTTATGGCTCTGCTTATAGTTGATGCTAGCAGTCTTTTCGGTTGTAGTTTGTTCTTTTCATGTACTCAGAAACCTCCATCATAGTTCTATTAACCTATGCTGGAATTCAAGTAGTTGTTGTCTTAGCTTTGTGTTGTAGTTGGGCAATGCTGGATTGCTACAATTCTGGCTCGACTTTCCGCACTATACTATGAAATTTGTGGGCGTCTTTCTGCCCCTTGCCTGCCATTTCGGTCGTAATTGCAGCCATATTTTTGAACTTCTAATGCGGCTTGGACTTCTCTACAAGCATACTTTTCATACTTTTGACGCAGTTTGTTATAACCTTTTGGCACGGTTTTGTTTGGCTCTGAAATGGTTTCTTCATCCACAGTTTTGTTTGGCTGTCTACTACTTTGATATTTGAATTGATCTTTTTTTTGCTTGGCTGCTCCACCAGGTTCAGCAATCAGTAGACTCGTTTTCGTTTTGTAGGTTTAATCTACAACCAATACACTTACGAAATGGCAATAGAAACATGTTTAACAATACAAAAAACCTCCTATTTACCAAACTTTAATCAATAATGGTTGCCTCTTCTGGCTTACGAAACGGTCAAAATCAGCGACGGGGCAGCCTGCATGATTAAGGTAAAGAAGAAAAGAAGCAAAATACAAGATGGTAAACTAATAACTGCTAGCCTGCCACTATCACATGGGAGAGAGGAGGGGGGTTTACATCATATAGAGCACATCTTCAATGGCCCCTGATCATATCTTCCTATCTGCTGGTTAAGCAGATCTTTTATTCTCGAAACAATTACAACATCAGGGTGCCAAGCTCGACCTCTTCTTCTTTGCTGGCTTCCAAGTCAAGACCAACCCTCCTTTTTTTTCCTCACGCCCTTCCTCAGGAGAAACCTGAGCTTCTGATCGCGATCTCTTAGGGGTTGAGGTTGATCCAAATGTCTTGTTATTTCTTAATGTTTCAGTGGCGATGGGCACGGCATGTAGGCTGTGTGTATTTTTGTTGCCTTCAGCATCTTCAGTTGCCAATTGCTGATTTATTACTGGAATGTGCCCTTTCTTCTTTTTGCCTTTTGCCGAGTGTTTAGATGTGCCTTTAATCTCAACAGCCTTTACAAACTCTTGCTCACTTATTGTATCAGCATAAACTACCCCTTTCCTTCTCCGTTTTCCGCTGACATTAGAAGATTCACCATCATATCCATCCTCCTTGCGCTCATTTGCTGCAGTTCCATACACCCATTCTGGTACCTCATGCTCTTCCATAAGACGGATTCTGTACCCCTCCTTTCTTCTTCTCTCCTCATCCATCTTCTCGAAAAGCCAAAACTCCTCATCTGATCGAGCTGCAAGGCGATTAATTTCTCTCTCACTAGGTACATCTGTCCCTAATGAACTAGTACCCTTGCGCATGATCTCTTCCAGCAGCTCTCTCCTATCTTGAGCTGCAATGACAGAAAGTGAAAGGGTGAATACCATATCTTATTGATATGAACCCTGAAAATTAGAACAACATAGATCCCGAAGTCATATGTTTTTTTTTTTTTTTTTGCGGGAGTAAACACTTCCATTAAGGAAATTCCTGAAAGTCTTCCAGCACCAAATTATTTACAACGTTTGGAGGTTTACTCCATATACAGTCTCAATACCATCCGAGGACTTAGCAATCACATTATTAGCTCTACTAATCCAGGATTGAACTCAATAGCTTTATCCTCCAAGGATATTATTAGATTAAAAAAAAAAAAGAAGGTGACAGGATTAACTCATTAAAACATAATGCCAAAATTTATTTCAAAAGTTAAAACAAGAATGAGTAAACAGTCAAATGGAAAAGGCTATTTGCAATATCGAAACTAATACAACAACCTACCTGTGGAAGTCGTATTAAATAATCCTGCTTGAATAACTTTCGCATCTATCCCCATCTTTTGTTTGGCACGCTCCAAGATGACTTCTTCAATTGATCCAACACTCACCAACACAAAGACCCTGACCTCCTTCTTTTGGCCAATACGATGAGCTCGATCCTCTGCCTGTTGATCCATTTGTGGGTTCCAATCACTGTCAAACATTATTACTGTATCCGCTGACTGTAGATTCAAACCAAGTCCTCCAGCACGTGTGCTCAGGAGAAACATGAAATAAGGAGAATCTGGATCATTGAATCGCCGCAGTAAATTCCCCCTTTCCTCAGTTTTTGTCGACCCATCGAGTCTAAGGAATTTATATCCATGAATCTCTAAATAGGCTCCAAGAATGTCCATGAGTTTAGTCATTTGTGAAAAAAGGAGGACTCTATGCCCAGCTCTGCGTAATTTAGGTAGTAAGCGGTCCAGGAGCTCAAACTTTCCCGATGCTCTAAATATCTCATCCCCCTTGTCCCGATAGTCAAAAATATTATTTACAAAAAGATATGGATGATTGCAACATTTTCTGAGATGCATGGTAAGGTTCTGTAGGCTCTTTGCTTTTCCTGCAAATTCACAAAAAACAGCATGGATTAGTGGGAATTGAGGAGCCCATTTAAAACATCATGACAGCAGTGTAATGCTTCAAGAGTGATAAACTTCTGGTAGGTTCATTGTAAATCTAAGTGCATCGTAAGTTCCAAACTGTTCTAATATAAGCAAAACCGGTTAGTTAATAAAGGACATCACAGAAAACCGAAAGGACTTTGCAAAAGATACCATCAACTTGCAAATGTAATCAATACTAGAAATGTGGCCATTAAGTCTATTATTTTACCACTATCCAGTCCGACTCTCCCCACGTCTGTGACTTGCTGATAATATATCCTTTGCCATGCTGACATGTCACATTTTAGCACGACCTGTGTCTTTCCCGGAAGGAACTTCTCCACTTCGTCTTTCCTCCTTCGCAATATGAATGGCCTTATAACCTGGGACACGCACAAAATTATAAAAAAATATATATAAATAAAATAAAATAAAAAATTAGAAGAAAGATAACAGGTAGACAGGAAAAGACAAGAAACGAAAACAAGTGACAGAAACTTACTTGGTGCAATCGCCGAATAATCAAGAGTTCTTCCTCTTCTGTTAGAGCGATACTGGTTTTTTTATCCATAAAAGGGGCATTGAACCACTCCTCAAAATTTTCAATTGAATTAAAAATGTTGGGAAGCAGAAAATTAAGGAGAGACCAAAGTTCCTGCAAGCTATTCTGAATGGGGGTACCAGTCAGCAGGAGTCTCCTTCTTATATTGTAGCTGCACAACAATGGCCTCAGTCAGAGGTATGTTCTTTTCAAAAATTATTCTAATGTCGAAGATGTGCAATTCAAAGAAGATCAAATTTATGGAAGTTAAATCAATGAGCAGCTACCAGGCAGTAAATTGCTAATTTTGATCTAAACTGCTGACGGCTGTAACAAGACAAGCAGCAGAAAGAATACATAAAGATGGATAAGAGATTTAGTAATTGATAATTTAAAACATGGACTCAGACAAGAACGACCTGCAACAACAAAACAATGTTGTGCACACTTCTATTAAGATACAAAGTTGGAAGTGCAATCAAATATATTGAAACTTTGTATATGTGAACTGAATAACAGCCTAGACCCAAGTTCAATAACCACCAAGGGGGTTTTCCCGGTCCACCGGGGTGGATTTTTTTCTTAAAAAAATAGAAACTTTGTATATTATATTTATTGAAACATGAGCCTTCAGAAAATTTCTGCATAACTGGAAACGAGACTTTTGTGTTTGTCTTAATCACAACATACCCATTAACAATAGTTTGTGCAAGGACAGAGTCATGGTTTTTAAGTCGATGTCCTTCATCCACGACCATGTAGTACCAGTGAATTTTCCTCAAATACGTCTTATCCCTCATAATAAGGTCATAATGGGTAATCATCACATTAAACTTCCCTTCTCCAGAATACTCTTCTCTGATTGCCCTCCTTTCATCTCGTCGCCCATCATATAGAACAGCAACAATACTAGAACATGGGTGAACAATCTTATCAGTTTTAAATTACTCATTCATACATCAGGTAAAGTGGGTAAAGATGATCAAACAGGCACAAAGCAAGATTCAAAGGTTACCTTGGAGCCCAGGTTGCAAATTCATTAATCCAATTAGGTAGCACAGCTTTCGGGGCAACAATCAGGTGGGGCCCAGTCACCCCTTTATTTTCCATGAGATATGCAATCAAAGAAATTGTTTGAATTGTCTTGCCCAACCCCATTTCATCAGCTAAAATTCCATTCAGATTGTTATTGAACAAAGACAGCATCCACTGGAGCCCTTCTAACTGATATGATCTTAATTCTCCCCCCTGAAGCATGGCCGGTTGCTCTGTGACCTGCAGAGTTTGAGTTAACATTCAACTTCGAGTTAAAGGTTGTCCTCAAATTACTCAAGGTACAAAAAGTAAAGTTAGAAACACCAAATCCTTCTTCACCTTCTCTTTAATTGAATGGACAGCTGAGTTATACTGCCTTTGACCTTCAAGCAAATCACCTTTCTTTACTTCATCATCAGATTCATCAACAGCATCCTTTTCTTCCTCCGCTGGAGTTTCAGCCTTTGAAGCAGACAACTCAGGTATGCCAACATCTGAGCCTTGCAATTCAGAACCCACATTATCAGCATTTTTTTTCTGAAGCTGAACAGCAGCTCCCAGAGTACCTAGAAGCTCATTAGTTTTCTCAAGAAGCGCAGTCAATCTTTCATTCTTGCTCTCCTCAACCATTTTATAGTAAGCTTCTTGATCGTCATTTTTCAGAGCTAGGAATCTCCTTTGCTCTGCCCTTGAAGCTCTTTGCCTTTGTTTTCCATGCCATGCCTGTATAAAACAAAAGTTGATCAGATATAGAAACATAATCAACATACATTTCTGACTAACTTCATTAGTCATCGAAAACAGATGTAATAAAAAACACCAAAAGGGTTAATTCCATTAAAGGCCTCATAAGTTTCACATGCTCTTTTATTGGGATTGTTGGCCTACCATTGAAATTGCTACTTATCAGGAGGGAGAGGGATAGGGAGAGAGGGAGAGAGGGGGGGGGTTGGTTCTGTCTTTTCACAGCTAGTAGAAATGGTAAAATAAGATCCCTACAATAAAACCAAAGGATAACAAATTTAATGCATTTTCCAACATCACTAGCCGACAAAAAATTTCCTAATGCAAAATACTTGTTACTACCAGGCGCATGTCAATTTCTTTTATCTATTAATTAACTGTATGCAAAATTTAAAAACCAAACAAAACTTAAAGCAAAAACCAAGAAATCGTGCCTGAACACCGTCATTCCGTTGTTTCCGCCTTCTTTGAGCAGCCTGTACTTGCAATTGTAATTCACGAAAAGTATTCATTAAATCTGCAAAAAATTTACGAAGAGCAGATTCTTCAAGGACCTTTTTCTCTTCTTCAAACCTTGACCATCTCTGCAACGAAATCATGTCAATATATTAGCAACGAATACTAATCATGAATTGTTCCCGAACTAAAGGGCTAAACACATATTTTTACAACTTTGTGGAGTAAAGGGGTATTGGGTTCTAATCTACAATGTCATAATGTGTGAACATTCAGCCAGGGTCCAGGATCCTAACAGTTAGAAGTTTAGCTGAATTGTTTAGAGATGGTAGCATGTTCGTATGTTTAGCAATTTGTAACCCAAAATCTCACATTGTCAATCGAAAATTTTTATCTCTGTATAACTGTAAAAGATAGTCAACTTCAATGGTTTGAGTAAGTTGACAAAAAGGAAATTTAGATGTCAAACATAGAAGGAAAACATAAAAATCCCACCTCAACGTCACGTTTCTTTTTCTGGGGATCTTCAGCATCAATAGCAAAAGCATCACCAATTCCATATAAAGGACGACGTAATCGCATCATGCCCCAATCAAACAATTGATTCTCTGGATTGGCACACTGTAAACGAAGCCAATATTCTGCACTTACTTCAGTTCTTATTTTTTTCTGCAGGTCTGCTAACTGCATAAAGCAACATCTCCCATCAATTCACAGTAAAACAGATAAATTTACACAGTAAAATCATCTGTACCGATACAAAGGTGAAGCAGGGACTGATATCACGTGATACTGATGGAGATCTCAACTACGGACATGGTTAATAATACAAAAGATATAAAGATACATTGTTAAAACACAACCATGGTACAACTCAATAAGCCAGCAGGTTGATGAGAAAGTGATGTAGAATGATGCAAATGTTCGAAAAAAGTAAAGTTTTTTTTTTTTTAATTTAAGAAAAACAGAACTAGCAAAATGTCCAGAACAACATGTTAAAGATGCTTGGCAAAGTTGTTTCCACGCAAATAAGTAAAACAACAACAACAACAACAGGTCTTTTTCCCACTAGGTGGGGTCGGCTATATGGATCATATGTCGCCATCGTGCTCGGTCGGTGCATAAATCATCGGCAAATAAGTAAAACAAAAAAAATATTTAACCTCTCCACTGTCAGACTCACTAACCTTTTCTATTCTTAAACATCTACATCTAGTAGAAAACAAAAAGCAGTCGAAACAGAAAGGTGACAAACATCCCTTTAAAGCAAAAGTCTACCTTTAGTCCATATAGTTCGAGTAAGCACTTTGACTGCATGTCCTCGCCCCTACTTGCTGGGAGTTCTGGTCAAACATACACGGAAAAGGCAGTCTTTTAAAGTAAGAACGTGACAAGAGTCAATAATTAACCATTAGCTTTGTGGAAAAGAAAAAATATTAAAATCCATGGTTCAAATACTTTGGAACCAAAAATGACAATCTAGTCTCGTGCAACACGCTGCCAAATTTGAAAACTTCGTAACAAAATAAACCAACAAATGAAAATAAAATCACATTTCTTTTTAACACATCTCCTCAAATAATGTGCTTTACATCCATTTCACATGCAAGGACCCACCACAAGTTCGTTCCAACCACCAACCAACAACATTTTGGAAACCAGATTCCAATTAATTTGACACGTTGACAGTCTTAAAAAAGACAAACACATGGAATGAAGCCATAAGTACAAAATTAACTACAATTCCTCGAGAAACACAGGGTAATAAGATGTACTTAGAAAGAAAGGATTGATTACCTTCAAGTTCAATCAGACGCCGATGAATGTGGCTTTGGAAACGATTTTCTTTTACTTCAGCCAGTTCAGAACCTGACAGACAAGTTTGCCGCTGCTTTAGCACTGCTACCTCAAAGTCTGCCATCAAATCCCCATAGCTTGACATTCCAGAACCATCCTGCAACAGAAGTTTTTTATCTTTAGATCCCGATTCTAAAATTAAAGCATTTAGAGACATCAGTCCACTTTTTATCTTATCCACCAAAGCCTGTCAATTTGGCTCAATTCTTGTCAGCCAACAGTGGCTGTTACTTTATCTTTTGACAAGAATGAGCATTAGGACAGAAACTATAAACTTGGCTTGGTCTTTAGTTCATTCTTAATAGGTAAAAAAGAAATGGAGTTCTAAATAAAAATTAAAATCTCGGGGCTTTAGTATTTAGTACGATGGAAACTCCAGACAGAAATCTATGAATTGTAAATGATGATGACACCCAATAGCAGTTTCTGGAGGAATATGATTTGAAGAAGAATCAAGGGGAAAAAAAGGAAAAAGAGAAAGGCCGGATAGAAAGAAAGATTGCAGGAGATGAGGCAGTTCCACCACCCAAAAAAGAACATGACGTACAAAATATAAGTTGAACTGATCAAATCCTTATAATATTATGTCTTAGACCATGATGAGAAAGGAGATTCCGCAACAACAACAAGCCCTTTCCACACTATGTGGGGTTGAGCTATATGGATCATATGTCAATGAAATCAAATTCTAGGAGCATTGTGACCTAAAAAAAGAAAGATATAAGAAGAGACAGAAATACAGAACCCTCTGCAACTTCACCAGAAACACAGAAAGATAATCACGCCCCTATCCTTGTGCATACTTGCTAATGCACAAAAATAAGGCACAAGCAATTTATACATATAATGGAAATGAATGGCTGTAATCAGCACCTATCACAATGCACAAACATTCATGCTTCAAGAATAGCTCGGAGGTTCTACAACAACTGAAAAAAAAAAAAAAAGAGGAGACCACATAAAACAATTAACCCTAAAATTCCAAAATAAATGAAACGGTAATTTGCTCACTTTGGCCGGAGACTTCTCAGCAGCAACCGAACTCGATCCAACCCCGCCACCACCAACAACTTCGGAACCGTCGTTTTGATTGTTGACTTCACGCCCGGCAGCGTCATTATCATCCTCCACATCCTCCGCCGCGGCATCAGCGGCGCCGTCTTCCTCCTCGTGGTAGATTGAAGACACAGCCTCAAACACATCTTGCGGGAGGGGGAGGTTACGAGATAAGAAATTGAGCGCACAAATCAAAGTCCTAGTTTTCTCGATTTCCTCCTCCACGGTATCCGCGGAATTAGGGTCACCGGCAGTGAAGGAAGCATCGGTAGAAGCAGCAGCAACTACACCGCCGCCGCCGCCGCCTGCTCCGCCTCCAGCACCACCACCACCGCTCTGCTGCTGCTGCTGTTGATGAGTGGTCTCGACCTGAGCCGCCATAGCTCGGAGGCTGTGGCGCGAAGGAGAGGGACGTTATGCTGAGGTATATCGCGTTTAAATTTTTGGGCAGATTTTTGAAAAAATGAAAGAGGTTAAAAAAAAAAAAAAGGCTTTCGTTTTATATGTAATCTGCGGGTTGTGTGTGTGTGTGTGTGTGTTTTTAATACAACTGCTTAAAAAAAAAAAAAGGTTTAAAAGGGGAAAATAAAAATGAAAATTATGTTCATGAGAAGAGAGAGAAGAGAAAGAGATAGGGCAAATATGAAATTATGAATGGATCTGCCAAGTCCGAATCGCTTTGTCACTCGGGTGGGTATTTTAACCGGGTCGGTGAGGGTTATGCTTAATTACGTTGTAACCCTTTTGTTTAGGTTTTATAAATGACCGACCCAACCGCCACCATAGCTGAACATTTTTGTAGCATATGTTCAAGTTAACCCAAGTGTTTCCTTTTTTTTTATTTATTTATTTTTTAAAACCATCTGATATAGACAAATTATTTGCACAGTAGATTTTGCTGGCTTGAGGCAACTGATAGTGGAAATCCGTCTTCTGGTACGAATAGAAAAAACTAAAGTCTCAACGGTAAAGAATAAAATTGTCGAGACTAACGAGACGTAATTGGTACACGATAAGTGAGATACGTGAAAGATTAATTAATCACAGTTAGTAGAAATTATTGTTGACAAAAGGTAAAAGGTCTTGATTGCTCCCAAACACCAGTATCATGGTACAGAATAACCTATAACTCTCTATTAAGATGAAACCAGCAAGTACATAATTTACACAGTAGAAGTGCTGAATTGTATCTTTGAAGTTCCAACAACACAGCTGAGTTGGAAATGCGCAATCTGAAAAAATTTCCACTTAGGAGTTTGGACACATCAAAAACAGCGATCCATAGGCTTTTTGAAGGACGTTCCATAGTCTTTGAGGTTTCTTCAGAATGGCAGTTGGCAACTTTCTTCTCGCCAATCTTCTTGTTTGGATCTCTCTAACACTCTGCTTATTGGTTCTTGAAAATACTGCATGCAAATGAAGACTGCTTCCTGTACCAAGAAATAAGAGAGGGATACACCGGTAAAACGTTTGACTTACGCCGGCGTGATATTTACAAAGAATAACGGCATTGAGTACCTCTGTCCTTATTGTTCTGCTTCCCTGATGAGGACATATGTTCACGTATAAATTGAATAGTTCCCGGACATCTTTCCCCTGAATGCCGAATGAAAATACAGTATGTTCAGTGTTTCCACATTTTCCAAACAACTTAAAATGACATCAGTTTAAGTACTGAAAAAGAATCAGGCTTGCTCCAACACATTTCTTACCTTTAAATTATTGTCTTCTTCGACACACTCTTCCAGTCCGGCAAGTCCACCAAAAGCTATTAACAGGTGCCTATGTATTATAGATAGGTAAGGTTAACTAAATGAAAAATGAGTTAATCAGAAGAAATCAAACATCTGTTGAGATTAATTTCATACACTAAATGGAGGTACGTTACCATCCAAGACATACTTCAACATTCCATCACCAAAACCCGATGTTGCAGACAATGAAAGTTCAACATACCGAGTATCTACAACAATATAACTGAGCTTGCCCAAGCGTGCAGTGGTACCTGAAAGATGGCAGAGAAAGCTCGGAAGATTTGACAACCACCCCATGCTCTGAGGTTCCAATCATATGATCATAGCCTCCCTATAAATGAATTTCAAAGGGAACAAATGAGATATGCAGACAAATTTACAAAGGTAAATGAAGAGATCAAGCAACTCATCGTAGTTAGTATTAGAGGGAAAAAATAAACCTTGTAGGGGCAACCACTGAATACGCCACTAATGTTTGGAGCATATCTGACTGTGTAACCCCAGTATGTTCCCACTTCATCTCTGGGCCTGGAAGATGGCACAACTTGATACGTTAGACCTGAAAAAATAACATATTTCCAGGAAATATAATTAACATCTGCAAAAGTTGATTCTAAAATCTCATGTGACACTGTGCAGGACTAGCATATATAGGGCTGGAGTCCGATAAAAATATCTCTAAAGTCGATTTCTTCTTCCTAAATTGTGTAATAGATGAACTTTAACCACATCTGCTCCAGAAGCATGACAGACTGAAAAGGCAAAAAGATGCCAGGACACGGAAATAAGGTAGAGATTCAGTTAATTACCAGCATCCAGGTTGCGATTTGATCCTGTAGCCACGGTAACTCGTTTACCTGGTTCAATTACCTGGTCAATTATGACACTCTGCAAGGACAGCAATTTAAGATCAAAAGCAAATAGTGCTTCAACAAACTAAAAATTAGATTTAAAAATCTTGCCGCAGAAGATTCTCATATAACAGCTCCCTATGAAGACAGGATAAACCAAGGAGACTAAAGATTTAAGCAAAAGCAGAGCAATAACAAGCTCTAAGTGAGGACAGCACAAGCAAAGGATATTGGCAAAATATTCACAACCAAAACGGAAAAAAAAAAAAAAAAATCAAACTGAAGATATGAGTGCAATAGATCAATTATGAATTCCAAAAAAATAAAATTATGAATCTTCTTCATGTAATTCCTCAAAACAACCCAGACAAAGTAAATCAAAGAGGTAGCTATTTTAAAATTCCGCTTACTTGATGATCACGTGTTAAGGCGCAGCTATGCCATTTTGCAGGAAAATCAAACATATGAACTAAAGGACCAAATAACAGAATCAAATACCTTATTAAGACCTATGTCTACCAGTGTTCCTGTTGAATGAGGGCCTTGACCTTTTAACGTGACACCTGAAAGAGTGAGATGACAAGAATAGCTATAAGCAGCACCAAGAATAGCTATATGCAGCACATGCTTGAATTATGAATAAGAAAATAGAAACCTAGAATGTACATATACAAACTTTCGATCTACAAACACCACACCTTAGGACACTGTATGGGGATAAACTGCCACTTCTATGTGACCAAAAAACCTACAGCATAAATCTCAAGATTGCTAAATATAAGATGTTCCTCTAAGAAGATGATAAACTAAATTTTTTATTTTTTATTTTTAAAAAAAACCTGGTAGTAAGTTTATGGAAAGAAAAGGTGCAAAATCTTGGCATCAGAAATATAGGTTGTCAACAGGACTTACCTGAATTTCAGAGATCAAGTGTAAGCCATCATATGCCAAGACTTTGTACCAAAAAATTTTAAGATCCAAAGTATATTTGGGGTGATGATAGTGTAAGTTGAAAGGGCACAAGTTAAACACTTAATACACCACCAATAAATTAGAAATACTAGAGGGCATAGTAAACAACAGTATACCCATATGGTTTGCAATAAATAGTTAGTTTATGTACCAAGCTAGCATTAGAGGAGCTCGGTGGAAATGTAACTAGATAACTAGAAATCAAAGCAGGAGAAACAGTAAGAAGAATGCTCGGCCATCAATGAGGTTGCTTGTGAGTAACAAGATAAATCAATCCCACTTGGACTTTCAAACATATTAAGGAGGCATGCACTTTTCTCAATCATGTACTACGTTACCTATATAACAGTTACACGCTCTACTGGCAGTTCAAATTTTACCTTCTCGATAAGGAGCCCATTCATGCTTACGCAAATGATGTGGGGCATCAAGCGGCGGCAGCAGACCCTGCAACATAACATACAATTCTAAATATTACAACAACAAAAGCAAAGGACCAGAAAAAAAGACACTCCATGGGTAAACAATCGAAAAAAAAAAAGAAAATTTGAATTTGGTTCCAGACCACAAATCTTAAACTATTGTGTCTTGGGAAAAGACTCTTCCTCAGATATTGAGGTGTCTCCAGATATCTCAAAATCCTCATTAAGAAAGCCGAACCACTTTCATTCTCATCTGCGTTATTGTCTTCCATTAAAGTTGCTTCATCCATTGAGGAATTCTTATTATCAAATACAACAACCTGGAATGAAAAAGAAAATTGAAGTCATCAAACTCAAGCCATCAAAACCCAATAACCACACTACCACCCCACCAGATAAACTATTCGGAAGTGAATGTATCAATGTGTTCAATTAGTTACATTCAAATGGCATTTGAAATCATACATAAACCAAGAACATTAGGAAAAAAAAAAAGAAAGAAGACACAGATAGCTATAGACAAACCTCATCTACTCGAAAAATTGTTGCAGCACGAGCAATCTGACCAGCTAACTGAAAAATCAAAAGGGAGACAAAGAAAGATAAGGAAATGCAATTGCAACCAAGAATAATAATAGATCTTCAGGACTCACAGAAAGTCATTCTGCAACTTAAAAGTATTGATTTTTAAAATATATTTCATCTAGAGTAGAAGATGATAAACACACTGAACCCAACTACATCTTCACTCCCAGTCAAACATATCAGCAAATCCCAATGACAAATCCAAAAGTTAAAATCTTTTTGCGTTTTGCCCCATTGGCAAATGCAAAAAATCACCTAAAACATACATAAATGGAGCAAAAAATCCCATCTTCAAGTACACTAAAATAGATTCCCTTCAAAGTTGAAACAAATACTTAAAAAAAACAGGCTGCTTCATGAAGTAAAACCTACCCTTGTTGCAAGTTCAAGGGATTGTGCATTGTGAATTATAGAACCAGGAAGGGCAATTGAAACCGTGGGTCTCTGATATGAATCGACGTTGCCTTCCTCTTTGTTTCTCTTCTTTTTCTTCTTCTTCTTCTTCTCATTAGAATCTCCATTTTCAACGGATTGAAGCTCTTCCTTTACTTGGGCATCAGAGGCATAATCTGTTTCTGTTTCATGAGCTCTCTTCTTCTCCCTCTTCTCCTTCTTCCCCATTTTCAGCTCCCCTCAGGAAACAAAAAAACACAGGGTTTATCAAGGGTTTTTAAGGAGGAAGGAAACAATAGAATTTATAGAAATATGTTTTGCCTTTCACGTCCTTAACGATACGCTAAAATATAAATACACCTCAGAACGTTTACGAAATTTAAATACACTCCAATAATTTACTCTCTATTTTCCTAGTACAAATAGAGAATTCTCCTCCTCCATAATAATAACCTCTGTTTCTTCTTCCTGACCTGCATGGCAGCCGCCGCCGTCCTCTTTTCCGGCCAAAATTTGCTGAAAATCACTTCCTGAACGGCTTTTTTCTGACTTCCTCCGAAACCCACAACCTATTTCAGAGAATTTATTCCAAAAATGAACAGAAACAAAAACAAAATTAATTCAGCCCCTGATCCTAAATTGACAGCAGAAGCAGCAGCCTTGATCTTTGAAGGTATAAACCTACTGCTTCCTCATTGGAAACAACTCCAATTCCTGCTGAATCAGCGTGGCGGTAATGAACCCCAGAAGTTTGCCAATGATCTGTTTTCAGTTCTATCCAAACAGAACGTATGTACTGAAGATGTGAAGCAAGAAATCGACAAGGAATTGCGTTTTCTTGGCAGTAAGTTTGTGTTTTGAGGATGGAACTATAGAGGGGACAGCATCAAACCTGATGAAGATACGGAATGGATGTTTGAAAGGGGATTTTCGCGTCATACAGGATCTAAGGGCAAGAAAACCGGCAACAAATTCTGGCGCTTTTGCCGATCATGCTTTGAATGCCAGTAGTGACAGTGATGATGATGACGAGGACGACGACGACGACGACGACGAAAGCGATGATGAAATGATGGTTGTAGATGTTCAGCAGCAGTCCGGTTCTGGTGTGAATCGGGATGAAATGATGATGATGATTGATGATTTGAAGCCCCAATATGCTGAAGAATCTCTTGATGATGGGTGGACTTTGGTTGCATCTAAGCGCAACGGAGGTAGGAGGAATTAAATAAAGTTATAAAATCTCAGTGGCATTATGATGTTCTTGGAGGTACATTTCCCTAGCTTTTAATTTTTATGGATTTGATTTTGCATTGTTCATGCTTATTTTCAATGGATATTTCTTCAAGTGATTAAATTTTTTTAGACTTTTTAGAATGCATGATAAGGCAAGGCAATAACATTGCATTTATCAATCGAAGTGTATTGTACTCCTGTCCCAAAATTATTGTCGTGTTACTGGACGAAAGTATTGGTATCCCAAACGTTCTTTGCTCGTTCTGTTTATGCATTTTTGTGTTCATTTCTGGGAGAGGAGGAGGTGTGTAGAGAGGAATTAGTACAGAGTAGAAAAAAGTAATCTTTGGTGCAAAAAGGATATAAAATGTGCTTTATTTATCTGAAATTTAGTCTTATTAAGAAGAATCAATTCTGTTTGTATTGTCAAAGTCTAAGAAAATTATAGATGTGTTATCCTTTGTGCGCTGGGTTCTGGCTTCACCCAGCAGAATGTTTGCTATTTTTTCTGCTGAAGCATCTCGGTCGCCTTCATTTCTCTCCCTCGCCTGTGCAAACGGGAAGGATTCAATATCAGATGAATAATCCCAATTTCTGGAGATCAACTTAAACAAAACCATGGACCAAGTTTCCAATAACGGTACCTGGTTTACGAGCTGAACTGCTTTCTTCACATTTACAACATCCCAAAAGCCATCACTGCATCGAAAATCCCCAAACCCACCGTATTAAGAATGAAATGTAGATGTAGAAATTCAAATGCAGGTGATTTGCTGATCTCGAGCACAACCAAAAGGAGAAAAGCTAATGTATTAGATTATTCATGGCATTTGATGAAGGAATTAATAAATAGAAGATCACCTAGCTAGAAGCGCGAAGCTCCTGCTGGATTGATGTATATACAAAGCTTGACTGATATAAGGTTCAGAGCTAAACCGAGAATCCTGCTGTTTAAGAAATTTATCTCCAAGCATCCGAGCAAGGTTGAGGCCTGTTCAAGAATAATGAGGGTTGATAAATGCCAATGAGTAAATATGAAGTAATTCAATTGAGAATGGAACCTCAAATACCACAGAGTCGGGTTTCTCCGTCTCTCAAGGGTTCCCCTATGCCCTGGATGCGGAGTCTTTCAGAATAACTGGTTACTCTATGGTCTTCTGTCAACTTCACCACCTGGCCATCAGTGCTGCCAACATGAAACAAATTGAAATTAGAAGGCAAACATCATCGAAAACCATTTTGACCCCAAAACCCTGAAATCCAATAATTTGCCCCACAAAGAGGTTGTGTAAGTGTTAGGCCCTAATTGGGCAGAACTAAGGGTGTTAATTAAAACAGTATTGTGGACCAACAGTGGTAGCAACTGAAATGAACAATTTTTTGTAGGCAAGAAATCCCTCTTCTATTAGCAACTCAGATCCATTACTCTCTTTCTTATTCAGGGTAATTATATAATAGGCATCAAAATGAGCTTAGGCAATATGGCAGGTGAATGGATAAGGTCATGCATACAATTTCAACACAAGACAATTTACAATTTTGAACTAAAATCAACTAAGACACATACTGCAACCTGTAACATACTTTATAAAGCAAGCAGAGTCTCCCACATTTGCACACTGCACATAGAAGCTTTCATTATCGGCAGCCCAAACCAGAACAGCCGTTGCAGTGCAGCCCTGAAACAATTGATAGTGTCAGAAAAAGTAAACACTTAACACATTTGAAAATGTTATCAGAACTATGAGACTAATCCGGATTCAGTGTGCATGTACACAACTTCATCCTTGTAATCTGCATACGTGTATTTACTTCTCTTATATTTGAGCAATAAATGCAGCTAAGTTCATCAAATTATACATTGGAAGTTGCATCCTAAATTGTGTATATACTACTCCACTGTCCCAAAAAAATGCTCAAAATTGAGTTTTGAGTTTTGTGGGGCTATTTTTTTTGGGACAGAGGTGGTATTTCTTTGTATCAATTGATAATACAGCAAGTTTTCTGTTCCAACAAAAAAGAAGACTGTCGTTACTGATCTCAAAATTTAAGAATTTCAACCAGTCCAAGAAGAAACTTATTTAATACGATAAACATAATACAATTGTTTTCAATTTGCAGACTGCCGTTTTCAACCAAAAAAAAAAAAAAAAGTTGCAGACTGCAGTTAACAGTTAGGAATACATCCTAAAAGGGCATCTATCCAAGTTCAACCATTACAAAATCCGAAACATCCCCAATCCAAAGTACAAACATCGGAACATCTGGACATGCCACAAGAACAGGGAAGAGGAAATGGCAAAACCATTAGTTGAAACATGGCATAAGTGTAATCATTGTGAGAAATTTGCACATGTAGTACAATGCGTACAAGAAAATGAAATTGAAATTGTCAAGGATGAACCTCATAGTAATGATTTATACATGCTTCTGTCTGAGCAAATGCCTCTCTAAGAACATCCGAAGCATCATGATTTTGCAAAACGTTCTCTCTTCTAAATTGATCAGATAGTATGCTTGCAATAATCTCAGGCAGAATCCTGAAAGCACAATCGGGAGGACATCTGTCAGAACCATTTGTGGTCCCAGAATATAGAATCACGTGTGACACAAGGAAGAACATTATCAAGAATTTGAAATCGAATACTAACTGGCTAACAGAGATAGCAGCACCAACTCCGCCATGACCATCACAAATACCAAACAGCCCAAACTGTAAATCAGCCATTTAAAAAAATTACAATCCTGGCAGTAAGTGCACATGAGATTACTAAAAGTATAAGAACCTGTTCAGTCCCAGGAAGAGGCCAATGGTAAAAACAAACATCTTCCATCGGCAACTTCTTTGCACCTCTCCGTAAGGACATAGGATCTGATGCCAAACCAACCCCAAGTGGTATCTGGGACTCAGTTTGGGATGTTATGTGAACCTGGAGCAAGTGAATAGTTCAACAAGCCATGAAATAGAGGAGAAGCTGAATATCTAATGGTTTTGTGTCCTTTACTGTGTCCTAAGCGAAAAGCAATCACTATAAACCTCACGACCACATTGACAATGCACACTGGATATCCAATAGCCTAAAAGACAAAACTTTCCTGACATTGTCACTCAAGAGATTCACAGAAGACACTTACAAAAATCTCTGATGTTGTGCCAAGGGTTATTGTGTCTCCACTAGAGAGCTCAACTGGATCACCCCAATGCCTGCTTCCAGAAAGATGGTGAATGGCGTGAGAATTTAAAAATGTTCCATTTAGGCTCCCCATGTCAACCAGCTCCCACTTCAATTTCTGAAGCACAGAACAGTCAGTACTATTTAGATTCAGTCAAGAGCTAAAATCCAGCTACGTTGAAGTTACATATATTAAAACACCTTACATTGGAGTTCCAGCTTATCTGGGCGTGTTTGCCAGAAACTTCTGAATCCTTGACCACCAAATTACTAGGCGGAACTCTTCCAAGAGTTAGGGGCAAACCAGAAGTATCTGTTGACTTTACAGAATAACGATTTCCACGTGACGGCCCTGATATAACCTCTAGTATCAGAATGCTTCCTGCACTTTTAACAGAGAAATATGATGACTCATTTTATGTAGTCAACTATAATAAAAAAAAGAAGCATATTACGCACTTTAGACAATTGATAGAAAAATTACTTTGATCTGCTTTATATTTTTGAAGGAATTCTCTGTGGGTGTCTACATCAAATCTCGGGATAAACTTCAAATCATCTTTTCTACCAGCCTTTTGTGCTTCAACAAGTTGATTTGTCACAAGAGGACGCTTCAGTGTCTGACCAACTACATTTTCTTCTGAAGTATCGGGAATATCAAGAACAAAACTATCACCTGAGGAAAGCAAAGAACAAGTTATCGATTAAAAGAAACCGAACTCATATGAACGACTGATAAGATGAAAGGGGCAAGAGGTGCTCACTATGTGTTAGCTGGGGAAATGGAGAAGTTATCTGGTTAGGGGTAGGTTCCTGCGTCCATCGTGAGCTGATGCTCCCTAAAGTTTGAAGGTCTGGTTCTTGTGAAGCATAGATTCTGGTTCTCTGGCCAGAAGCTGTATTTGGATCTTCTGAAATTAGAGGTCTCTCAAGGTCATCAGCCTGCAGAGGAAGAAATTATTGGATGTATTTGGCATGAAAATATCATAAAGTAGGAAAAGAGTATTACCAGCAAAGGAAACGGAATAGGGTAATTTACGACATTGACTCTACTATATGAATGCAAAAATTTAAGTCAGTTCAACATCATCTTCATTTTAGGTTATGTTCAATTTACTCAAAAATAATTCTACTATGCAGCTCAGTCAAATTTAATTGCTTAAGATGCAAGAGAATTCTGATTAGCACTGTCCTAGCTTCGTCATCAAAGGTAGATAGCAAGACACAACATCCAAGACAAGCTTCAGAACCAGATTTCAGTCAAAACTCTAGTACTATTATGATAAGAAAAACATCTCTTATCATGATCAATCTTTGGAATTTTACGTCAACAGTAGCTGGTAGTGAAATTGACTATTAATGCCCAATTAAAGAGATATTATGCGAGTGCAACCTAATAAGTATGCCAAACTTTTTTATATTTCAAAATCCATTTCTAATGTAAATATCCTCGGCCCTTTATATGGTAACAAAAAAGAATACAAATGGGTCACTTTTACTTTCCATAGGCAATGGTTTTATCTGGGAGGAAAAGGAAAGAGACTGATTCCAGAGATAAATACATTAGAAGCCTTGGTTTGTGAATACATTCCTCATGAAAATTGCTCAAAGAGTTCATAACTGAATAGCAATCACTCCAGTAAAGTTTCAGGCAAACAAGAAGTAGTTTCTTAGACATTAAATTTATACATTTGCCATACTTCGATATTTTCAAGAGTCAAATTAGGAAACTATCCAAAAAAAGAGAGAGGATATCACAGCTGATTAATTAACTTCCTCGGGAGAATTACTACAGAGGATACGTGGGAAGAGCTACAAGAACTTAATAACTGCTTACATTAAACCTTCCAAAAAGGCGAAGCTTAGAAAGAAAATGAATCAAGTAACCTCAAATCCAAACTTCCATGCTCTACGCATTTGCGCATATCAACCTATTAGTGCTAGATTACATATGATAAAAGGTCGATGATGCCTTTCACTAATAAATCAAAATTGATGCATTCTGGATAATGGAACCAATAAAGAACCATTGAGTTCAGATAAAGCTCCAATCTTTCAGAAAAAACAACCATAAACTAGCAGTCTGCACCATGACAGGTTCTATCCCATATACAAGAGAACCAATCTGACATGCTGGCTGATACAAATGGATCCAAAAGATAAAAAATGTGCATACAAGAATTTCACAAACACTAAGAACTTTCCACACGTTGTTCTCTCTCTGACTAATAAACACCATTGATCCCCCCACTAAGCTCATTCAAGCAGCTCGTTCCCATGATTTAAGCTACCAACAGCTGAAAGAAACGGCTAGTCTAAAACCCCAAAATCCCGTCTTGAATTAAAAAATGAAAGATACTAATTCCCCAAGAACCATATTCCAAAGTCAAATCCAGATGAGAAACCCCTCCAAATATCCCCAAGAAATTTGCATCACAACCCTTTTTCCATGGCAATCAAACAAAATGTCCCACATAAACAAAAACCCATTTCTAACCACAATCAACCTAATCAAGATGAAAGAATCCCATTTCCGTCTAGCCATTTTCAATCCAATTAAACCAATGTTCATAAATCAATTACAGCTAAGAAAGAAATGGGACCAAAAAAAAATAAAAAATGTACCTTGATGATGCGAGAACGAGAGGAGGCGGAGGAGGAAGAGGGAGAAGAGAGAAAACGACGCCATGGCTTGAATTTGCAGGCGATGATGAAGAGGATGAGTAAGAGGAGGATCATAACAACAACAACAATGACAATGACAATAACACCCTCAACAGAGAAGACCAACAGAGCGTTTCTGACGATGGCAGCCGCGGTATCATCGGAAGAATGAAAGACATCAAGCATCGCCTTAGCCATCGGCGGCGGCAGCGGCGGCGGCTACGACGGCGTTGGCGGTGGCGGTGGAGGTGTTATGTGGGGGAATGATGATCTGATGGAATATAGAGAAAAATTCAATTAGCCCATCTCCACCATTTTGCATTTGCTTCACTAAAATTTTATTTTATCTTTTGTTTTTTTCTGACAATTAAAATTAAGAAACAACAATTATTAAATGTACTTCTTTTATTACAAGAAGATCAGCAATTGGCTTTGCGAGAAGAACGCATTGAGATTGTCACGTTCTTATTTCTTTCTGTCTTTTCTTTGTCTGAATTTTCTTTCCTAATCAAAGAATAAATAAAATAAAATAAATGGATAATTGCATCTTGAGAACCCAAAATTAGTTTGGATTAAGGCCCCAACATGTGATTTTGTCATTTTGAAAGCCCATTCCCCCTTAACTAAAGTCTCGAGTTCGAGTTTTGTGAACGAAAAGAATAATGTTACGCATATATTGCATATGCAAATATGCACAAATACAAAAAAAAAAAAAATCATTCTGAACTTGGGTTTTCCGATAATCTTAGAATTAAAAGAATATAATTACCTCATGCAGGTGATTGACAATATACTCTAATTTTATTTTAGACTAACCTAATCCTATATATTAATTAACTTCTAAGTAAATATGTTTTGAAAATCCCGATAAAGATGTGTTATCTCTGCATTTTTAAGGTCTTTTTATAATTTACAATATTAAACAAGATTAGTTTAGACCTAAACATTATAAATAGGTCCGGAGACTTTGATATATATATAGCTAATGATTATGAAAATTTAGAGAGGGCATTGTTCTATACAATATATAAAGAGTAATGATTGGTACAAGGAAAATAATGACAAGAAAATGATCTCACCCATCTATTGTTTGAATTTTTCCGAACATGGTTTATGCATTTAAGGTTAGGGCATAATTAAGATCTTGACACATGATTCCTTGTGATTTTTTCCTTGTACCTATCACTACTCATACATAAAAGCACGATGTGCTGGTTATAAAAAAAAAAGAAAAAGAAAGGGCATTGTGAGATAAAAAAATAAAAATAAATTAAAACTATCAGAAGAGAAGAAAAATTCCAATTGCTTATTTTTCTCTTTTTGTAATACTAAAATAATACTACTAATCAGTTACTTCCTCACTGAAATATTTTTTTCGGTCCAAGTATTCTTCTCATTTCTAAAGTCTCAATAAATCAGATTTTGAATTCACAACTTAAACAGGCTCGTATTTCACAGTTCATACTGGGCCTGATTTGAACATGAGACCACTTTACTTAGTGGCCTAGATTAGCATAGAAATCAGATTCTTTCAGACAGATTAACATAGATTTTCTCTTTAAGGATATGATGATTTTTTTTTAAAAAAAACAAATATGTACATTGAGGAAGCTTTAAAGCCTACTGATGATTTCAAGTTAATTTTCTTTATTTCATCTTGAATAGATAATATCATAACCTAGAGTCTATGAGGAAATATACGATGTAAGTGAGAAGGGAAAAAAAAATTGTCCGAAATTAAACTATCATGTACAACAAGCAAAATTCTTATTATCATTAATAATTTTTTTTTGGGGGAGGGAAGCATAATTAGTTTATGAAAAATTACGTATATAAAAATCAACCTGGTTTCTGAAGGAATTACAAGTACAATGACTCGTGGATTACATTAATTGAAACTATTTTTTAAAGATATTCTTTAAAAAATTAATGTCTAAATAATAATCATAGTACCATTATGATCTGTACGTAATTAACAAAATTACATTAAGTGAATGAAGTCAAAGATGCCGATCGAGTTGCCTGTCGCAACAATGCTGCAATGAAATGTTTATTTATTTCACTGCCAGTACTCTATTGCTATTAATCTATTTATTCTTTCTTGATTCTTGCATTAATTCTACAAAAAAACACCTAAAAAAGAAATAATAAAAATTTTAAATTAAAAAATTTACTTGTACTCACTTCGTACAAGAAAATATAATTCATTTTGCGACGGAGGAAGAAGTACAAAAAAAAAAAAAAAAAAGATGGAACAGTTGCAAGCCATTTTTATTCGTTGGCCATCATCATAACACCTTAGCTTGAGATATAACAGTCAAATGAAGACTTAATCAAGCTATAATTAATTGGGTATTACCCTAGAGTCTAGCTAGATTAATTTTTTAAATATATACTATGACCGACCATTTAGTTCTCTTGATTAAAGGGTGTGCCAATATTCTCTTTGTCTGTTGCTTTCATTCACAAAGTAGTATACGGGTATTTAATATACTTACAATTAGTACAATACTATACATTGTAACAATATTAATTTTCCTAGGAATGACGTAGGTTAACCCTTAATAGTAATACCCATGCATTCCCTTTGTTATTTTTGGCAATCTTAAACATGGTACATGTAGTACTACAATTGATTAACAAACAAAAATGCATTGTAATATCGATCGATCATGACCTTTGGAGAAAGGACTAGTACGGTTTATGCTCTAACTGATGCTCCTTCAAATATTTGCTGGCTCGTATGATGCTTCGAAATTTAAAATGTTCAGATGATCTTCAAAGACATCTTTGTGGGCATCATGTCAACTCATGAGCTTGAATAAAAGAGTATTACGGTTAATACTCTAGCAGATGCTCTCTCCAACATTATTGGCTCCAGTGATATTTCAGAATATAAAATGTCAAATAACCTTCAAAGACATCTTTGTGGACGTCACATCAAATTTATATTCCTTATATTATACAGAAATAGTGAAATAGTTATCCCAATAGATATAAAATCGAAGTACAACTTTAATAAAAAGAAAATACATGTAGACGTGATTAAAAATTTCAAATTGTTATATTTATCGTTCCAAATTTAGTGTTCCTTAACTTCCTTTCTATCAGTTTAAAAAAGTTTAATTCAAAGCACATTGGATTGAAATCTTGGCTCAAATGACAGTGGAGATTGAAGCAAAAGTTCTAGAATCAAGAGAGTCGTACATACGCAACTTGCCTGTAAAGCAAGCTAGTGAAAACCTAGGATGTGTTTTTTGGACAGAATTTGATGCTCTAAAAGCGTTTTCATGGCTCGATAAAACACCTATTATTCTTGCAATTTGCTTCGAGCTACAAGATGCTATCAAGAAGACAGCTTTCTTAACCAAAGGAAACCCTAAGCTACGATTCCTAAAAGTTGCAAAACAATTACTAATAATAGAAAGGAAAAAACGGCACTAACATGATGGTCAAAAGGGAGAGGGCGTGCTTTTTCATCAGCCTTATTTCATTTGGATTCTCTTCAGCAACAAAAAAAAAAAAAAAAAAAGTTTCAAAAAATTGTACAAAAGGTTCCTAATTTTAAATTATTCTAGTAAAAAAGGAGATGACGTTATATGCATTAAAAATTGCAAATTGAGGGGCTTTATTACATAAAGATTAAAGTAAGCACAGATGGATTCTGATGCGAAATTTGATACCCTTCTTGATTGGGTATCTCCAAAAAAAAAAAAAAAGAGGCTTAAATTAAACAAAAAATCCTTTGAAAAAAAACACGCACACACACACTAAGTGGGCTGACTTTGGTAATGCTGTCGAAATTAGCTTTTCATGTACTTGCAAAAAGGAATGGGGAAAAGCAACATGCTCGTTTAGGATCGCCAAGGGTTGCTTATACAAGCATAATATTATTATTTATATAATTAGGGAATTAATGCTATCATATGCATAAGTGAAGTTGTGGATTAGGACCACATTAACAGCTTAGCTTAGCTAACTGTTTCAATCTTTCAACATCCTCAAAATGTGAGGTAGGTCTTCTTCTTGATGATCAACCACTTCTTTCTTTCCATAGTGTTTATACAACTTTCACTATCTTTTTGTAGTAAACAACTTTCACTCTCGTTTACCTTTTTTTGCAACTATTATACATATTTTAATCTTTGCCATATTGTACATTAGCTAAGCTCTCTTGTTTTTTTCTATTGTTATTGGGGGAATGTTAAGTGTCTATTGGTTAATTAAGTTATTGATTTGCATCAACTTCCTGTAAGGAAGCTTAGTATTAGCTGTTCTTCATAATGATGCAAACAGTGATAATCCATTCCAAGTTGCATTTCCAATTCTTGCAAATCTCCTCATCAAAAAGTTTCTCAACTTCATATGATCATGTCATTTTCAACAAAAGTTTTAATCATTCCCTTATTATATATTCCGTCCGTCCGTCCCAAAATTAGAATCATGTGACATTTGAAGAACTCTTTCGTTCAAGCAAATATAACTCTAGTATAGTACAATATAAGGAATACAGAGGAGAATAATTAGTTTGATATTTGTTCAGAACATTCGTGGAAGAAAAAAAATATGTAACTCAGTTTCGTCCTGTAATAACAGTCATATTTATGAAATTATTGTAGATATATAGAGTATCAAAGATCTACCAGGGAATTGCTGATGAAATAACTCAGAAATGAATTTGATTAGCAAGCGAAAGAGAGCCACCATTTGTGGGAAGCATATTAAATAGAGTGCCAACTTTCTGTTGTGAGTCATGAATTAATTAATGTAATGGTTCAACTTGAACAAAACACACAAAAGCCAGATTCTTTGGGTTGTGGCGCAACTACAACAGTTTGATTGATTGTGCTTGTTTGTGTGCCAAGAGAAATTTAATCAATTTCACAAGATTATGTGAATTATGAAGTCATCCCAATCCAAAACGAACTTAATGAGAAAGAAATCAAAAGGGAATGTATATCCACTTAGAACATCAAACGTAATGACGCAAAGATGTATCCAACTCACCAGCACGGCCCCAGTTTTTATTGACTATGACAACATTGGTAGTTCTCATGAACTATTAATAGATTTATGTATATTGACGGAGTTATGGAACAGGCAAGTGTGATCGTACTCTCAACTGTATAATTTCGTAGAAGTTCGATAAATTTTCAGTGAAATGTTACATTTTTTTAGTTTAATTTTATAAAATATTATTATCATCATGCAGAATATCAGTAATTTTATAAATCGCTAACTTTTTTCTTTTTTTATACTCCCTCGTCTCATAATTATTGTTCAGTTTGAGTTTTCATTCGTATTAAAAATGACATCTCAATTTGGACAATAATTTTAGGACTGTGGGAGTATAAAATTTCGTATTTCGATACTGAGAATTTCCTGAATCAGTGTCACTGTAACGGAGCTAAGATGATACAATTTCAAGTGTCGTGGATGGTGATCAATTGCCTTTTGGTATGGTCCAAAAATACATGATTAATAAACAAACCCCTTTGAGCCATACAACTTTAAACATCCATCTAGCTAGTTTATAGGGCTGGTAAAAACTTTAATCTAACCTTGTTTTAATTAGTTTGGTACTAATTTAGTACTGATCATCACATGGCTTACAAAGAAAGCGATGGAGCCGCGGAGAAAAAATTTGATAAAAAAGTTAATGAAGTACTATGATGTATTCATCATTTCGTCCAATTTTGATAGTGTTGTATTGTTTTAGTTTAACAAAATAGATTATTAAAGTGGGACGGAAAGAAGTGTTAATCAAGTTGTTTGATACGTTTGTTAAATAAACAATGTTATGGAAAGGTAACAAAGATTGATTTCATAGGTTAACACCTAGCCGACAAATTAAAAAGGTTGTCTTAGTGGAAGATGATATCATAATTAGACCTTCATTTTAAAGGGCTTTTGTGTTCTTTTGCAAGCTAAAAGTCACCCATTTAACTAATTTACTTGATTTGTCCGTACGTTTAGTGCGATTTCAAATTTACGAATTGTAGCGAATTAGAATCCCTTTTCTGACTAGGACAACATTTTGGTTTTAAATTAAAGTAAAAATTGCACTAAAGGGAGTTCAGCATTGTCAAACTTTCCATTGTCGAGTTGATGAGCTAATTAAGCTTAATGTCCGATTAGGGCTAATTTGTTCGTCATTACCAGATATTATATACATAATTTTTTTATTATTGAAAATCGGCTAATAAATACCTTGAAATGAAATTTAATTCTTATAATTGTGATTGAGCACACATTAGGGTAGCTAATTACTTTTCATGAGACTGACTGGCCTATCTCCACCAAAACCAAGTTAATCACTTTCGAGAGATCGATTTATTATTCTTGTTTTTTTTTTCCCCTAAAATTCTTGGTTTACTCAAAGTTTTGGTTAAACGAAAACAACGGCTGATTGAATGGTTTGATTAAACAGTTCCAATTGAAGGAAGAATTCATGTGGGTGGAAAAATTAGAAAAAGAAAGAAGTAGGAAATTCCATGAGTACTGTAAATAAGAGTGGTTACTTAAAAGTCGTAGAGCAGTGAAATACAAAGGAAAAAGTTGAATTAATTCTTTTTTCTTAAAAAAAAAGTTGTAAGGTAGGAGAAGGAGAGTAACTACCGTTAATTTGAGACCGGATAAGGTATGAGATAATCAAATTCGCATAGTAAATCTTGTAGAATGCTTCATTTTTAACCCGGAAGATTATCAGAGGTTATTTGATCTCTCAGATAGGATTAAATTAATTATAATTGAAATACGATGTTGTTGGTGTATTTTATTCACACTAATGTTTTGAAATAATTTCTTAGATTTGTACATCAGCTATTTTAACCGCAGGAAAAACAAATAATCATAAGTTGTAACTATTTTTTTGATTCTGCTAACATATATATATATAAATATTACTTTATGCGTCTCAAAATAAAATTTAAATATTTTTTTCAATCAAAACATTATAACAAGTAGGACAGGACCCTTTTTATAACGGGTATATAGGATTTAGTTGCAGCGGCAAAACACCTGCAAGTGATCTAAGCAATGAATGTGACGTTTTTAGGTTGAAATCCATATTATATTGGAAAAGAAAGAAGGCCAACCATTCATGTCCATATTTTAGGTTGCTTAATTTAAAATTTTTTTTTTTGGGGGCGCGGGGGCAGATGGTCACTTTCTGGAGGAATCATTCATGTCCATCATGTAATCCTAAACCGATTACATTATACCTAACAAAGGGTTAGGGAAAACACGTTTCTACAACTTGGGATATTTTCCCACATGAAGGTAGCTAGCTTGGATGTGGATATTGTTGTAACATATAAACATTAATATTATAGCAGTTGCTTAACTTCGAAATGTAATCTTATTATATTAGATTTGTATGTTGCTTTCATTTTATTTTTTTTTGGGTTCAAATTTATCTAATTTAATAATTTATCTTGCTTCTTTTCGCCTTAATATATTATTTTAGACAAGATCTGAACAGCTATCTCACGGTTACAATTTCTCGCTCTTACCATCTCATGCAATGTTTTGGTTGATTTATACATATGATTTTCATTAAACTTGCATGTGGAACACATATGATCATGTAGTGCTTCAACTTGCATGTTCAAGTTGCATGCATCCGTATGAATTAGGAACAAATTGATATGATTGTTTCCTTTCTAGGATTCACAAAGGTTTTAGGGTGATCAGTTTCTTGAATATAATATAAATTTCGCAGGAAATCATCAGACTGAGGGCAAGTCTCTGACTAATAAATTTAAGAATAAGATTAGGGTTAGACACCAATCCAATAGCTGTAGACCTGTAGTATGGCGTCGAGAATAAGCTGTCAAAAATTAAGGAATTGGAATATTAGTCAATTTTTTTACATAATTATTAGTGCTACAAATCATCATCATCGATCCTTTTTCATCACTTATTACAAATTGGAATTTTCAAAAAACGTGGGCAGTGGGCTCAAAGCCTCAGATATATATATGTTCCGTCGTCCTTCCGAATTCGTAATCAAACACGGGGTTTTGACTCTTAAACTCTATATATGAATCATTCATTAAACTAAAAAAATTACATTTTCTTAAAAAGAAAAAATTCCCTTTCAAAAGGAAGTCAAATGCGTGAGGAGTAGTCACTATCACAAAATATACAGTTGCAAGAAGAATCAGATTAATCGTTGGTGGTTCAAAAATACTCATTTCGTTTCATCTTAATGTGAACTATTAAAATAAAACGGAAGAAATATTAATTGACAGATTCGAAAACCCTTTATGAAATCTGTTGAGATATATAAGGAAGGAAATCCGCCTTAAATTATTGAGACAAATTAGTACTATGTATGGCAGCAACCTTCATTGGACCCATTTGTACCGATTGTTTGTAAAACCTCGGCTGGACCCTTTGCCCTCTGCTGACGAAGATGTTTAAAAAAAAACATAAGGACATAAACTTATCAATTTTCTAATCCACAGAGAGGGTTGGTTCTTAGTGGTACAATATGGTATGTTAGTTGTCAAATATTTATATGTACATAGAATTAAGAAAAAAGTGGAGATTAAATTAATAATTCACCTTCATTCCATGAATTTTCTTTGTGTTCCCTTTTTCTCTCTAGTGTTTTGTGGTAGATCGAAAATCATCCAACAGTTACTTCAAGTGGTGCAACAAAGAAACCTTCCTCTCTTTCTTCCGTCATCTCCACTTTCTTTTTAAATGAGAATCATCTGTCTCAATTATCGTGTATCAACCGTCCGATAAATAAAAGTTGATACAAAGAATCGCCTTCTCTCACGGTCATTTAAAAACACACACCCCACACAAACATATACGTACTCACACACTGATACAGTACATGACCAAGCACTTTTTAGCACTACAAATTGACATCCAACCCTTCACATTTTTCTCATTCAACATCACTTGTGTTCCTTTTCTCTTGTTCCCTACTATACTCTCTCCTTCTCTTCCCTCTCTTTCTACTCTCCTGAGCTCCAAAGCCATAAACACAAAACCTTATCTACAAAAACTTTCCATAAAACACACAGAAAACTTCAATTTTGTGTTCCCAAATCTTTTGAACCATACTTTTCTTTTAAGTACTTAATCATATCTAGCTCCTTTCACTATGGCAACCCTAATACAATCATGTGTTGAAACACAATTCATTGAAACAACAACAGTGAGGCTCAAGGTTAATAATGCTTCACCACAACACTCCTTGGAGATGAAGAACAACAACAAGAAGGTTGAAAACCTAGGTGGTTGGAGCTTCCTCCAATCACTATCCAATGTTTCATCAAACAACAAAGAAAAAATGGAGAAAGAAAAAGCCTATGTTCATCCATTGACAACAAAGCAATATTCATCATTCTCATCATCATCATCATCAAGAAGACTTAGTGAGAAAAGCTTGGAATTATGCACTGAAAATTTGGGTTGCGAGACGGGTAGTAGTGACATCATGGCTTCCAACATTTTGTCATTGTCACCTTCTTTGTCTCCATCATCAAATCCTTCTTCTTCTTCTTCTTCTTCTTCTTCTTCTTCTTCAATATTGGAGAAAATTCAAAATATTCCTTCTTCCAAAATGGAATATTCTTATGATAATTCATTCCCATCACCAAAATCAAATAAGGTGAATACCAGCAACAATAATAACAATTCATCTTCAAGAAAAACATTTCCACCACCTTTGACTACAATGAGTAATGGTTCAAGCTCATTTAAAATCCGGCCACACCGGGAAGACGGCCGGTTAGTCATCACCGCCGTGGAGGCACCATTGAGACAGCCATGTTTCAAGGCCGAACGGAGTCAAGGCCGGCTAACGTTGACTTTCTTGGAGGAGACTAAGTTTGACTGTGATGATGACGTCACGAGGGATGAGGAAAACGATGAAAATGTGGATGGCGATGATTGCGAAGAAAGCGTGGAGCTTGACAACAACGACTTTAGTGTTGTTAATGAAGAAGGTGATCGAAATCGTGATCAAGATGGAGATGATGATGAAGAAAGCGGGGCGTATATGAGCAAGGTTATTAATGGAAATATGTTTGAGATTGAGGTTGAAATGGGAATGGAGAAATTTCAGAGATTGATCAACAATGGTTCTTCTTCTGGTGGTAGGTGCAATGACAAAGGATTATGTAACAGCTGGGAGCCTGCTTTGTGGGTGGCTACTTCCTAAAATTACCTATTAAACCTTCTTTTTCTTCTTCTTGTAATTTTTTTTGTTAATTCCTTTTTGAAAATCTCTAATTAATTAATTATCCGACAATTTTTTCGGTTGATTTTGTCCCTTTCCCCTTTCAATTGGTTTATTTATTATCCATGTTTGTAATTGATCTTTTCCTTGTGATTGATTTTGGATGATTATAATAGTTAATTCAGAATTATTATTATTATTTTTTTGGTTCTTGGTCTCTGTCTTTTGAAGTGAGATCTTTTGCGCAATTTCCCATGTGAAGTTTGGCACCTTTGTGATTTGAGCTTAAGAAATTAGTAGAAGAAGCAAATTCAATTCTTTTTAGACTGAAAAAATATATCCTTAGTTTAGGAATTCAATGAAGACGTAATAACTTAATAAGTACCCCTTCCTTCCATCCCATAATTATTGTCCAGTTTAGGTTTTCATTTCTAATTCAAATTATACTAAAAGTGAAATTCTAAACTGGACAGTAATTTTGGGACAGAGAGAGTATTATTTAGATTTCACAAATTAATCTCGATATTTCACCATCAAATGCATTTGTATATTTTAAGTCGTAACGGAAATAATTTCTTGTACACATTAACCCTATAACTAATGGAGTTGAGAATATATCATGAGGTTGTTATTGTAAGAGTTCAAGTAGTCTTAATTATGGTTTTTTTTTTTGTGTAGAATATACTCCTTCTGTCCCACAAAAATAGTCCACATTAAAGTTTTGAGTTTTGTACTGTTTTTAGTATAAATTTGAAAACTTAATGTATATTATTTTTGTGGGAGGGGGTAGCAGTTTCTATGAACTATGCCATGTTAGTTTCAACTGCCAAAACCAACAATATTCAGAATTTGGAAAAGCATGATATAGTTTCATTTTTGTAATGATTTGGAATGATGTTGTCCCACGACAGATTAGATACAGATCTCTACAATGTCAACTAACTGAACCAAGAATTTCTTGAAGAATATAAAACTATTGTTGACTTATAATGTTTGTTTCGATTTAGTATATGTGCTTTGCATGGTCCTGGGAACGAAGCCATATATCGAACTCAATAAACATGATTCATTACAGGAAACATTATTGTATTTTTCCATCCAAACAAAATTACTGACATTATTAATAACTACGTACACAGGACAATTGATTTTGCAGAATATTGAAATCTTAATATTATTACTACCTTTGTTTCTTTTATTTGCAACGTGCACGCTAGCTGAGATTCGATCTAGAAAAAACAATTAATGAAATAAACGTACGTCAAATTCGAAGTTTTATCTTTTTGTTTTTTTACCTAATCGCATTTAAGTTAGGGTATGATGGGGACAAACTATATTCCGGGATTGAATACTCCTTTCGTCCCAAAATTATTGTCCACTTTGAGATTTCACTTTTAGTACAATTTAAACTAAAAATGAAAATCCAAACTAGACAATAATTTTGGGACGGAGAGAGTACTACTTAAGTTCAATCAGGATTTGTCGGAGTAATTTACTTCTCATCATAATTTATAACAGCATATTACCGATGAACATGAGTTTATTAATTTATGACTATTATGATCTTAAAAAAAATGTTGAAATTGAAATGTAAATAGACACACTCATAACCCTGTTTTTTTTTTTATTTAAAGAAATTTTCCTAAAATGCTCAATAGAAAAATCAGAATGAAAAGAAAAAAGAAAGTTATATTCTAAACAGGATAGCAAACTGATTTTCAACTTAAATTCCTAAAGAAGGAAAAAAAAAAGAAGAAGAAGAATTAAGGGAAATAATGCTGGCTGCATGTGGTTTCATTAAACACACTTGTTTGTAGCAAGCCTAAGATTTGGTCGGGGCCTCTTTCTGAAAGGAGGTTTAAACAATGACACACGTAACGTCTATTCTTGATATTTTCTTTTTTTTTTTCTTGGTACTGTGAACTATACTTTTAGTAGAAAATTCGAACCATATTATTATTACAAAGAAAATGACAAGCACTATATGTTGTTGCTTGCCACATCAATTAATCTAAGCCTTTATTTATTGATGAAAACAAAAACCAAAAATTAAAAAAAGCCTTTGTGGGAAGAAGAAGAGCTAGCCAGCCGCCCTTAATCAGTTAGTAGTCCCAAGATTGGAATCAACATTCTTATTTTGAATTCAAGATTCTCGACATAATTGCAATCTTTGACATATTTGCTTCTTTTTTTTTTAACAATTATATAGGTCTGTAAAGCTAGAAAGTGATGGATGAGTTTTCGGTTATTTTTCGTGTTAATTTTGCCATTCTTATTCTTTTGATGTAAGCTATTCTTATAACACAATTTTAAATTACAAAAAACCTACTCCCTGTCCAAAATTATTGTTCAGTTTGAATTTTTTTTTAGTACAATTTAAACTAGAAATAAAAATACAAACTAGACAATAATTATTGGACGGAGGAAGTACTTGTTTATTTTGTCATGAATCTCTAATAAGAGCAACATATCGAAATTGGTGGATGGATAAAGAAATTGTAAGTACTAGTGACAACTCTCTGAAGTGGTCTGGAATTTTATTAAATTATTGTTTACAAATTTTCAAAACGAAATTGAAGGGATAAAACTTATGAATGGAGTATCCTCTTTTTTTTTTTTTAATTTCTATTTTGAGGATGGTAAAAATTTATGAGTGTAAATTATTTAGATTTTATTAGTATTTCCAGAGTCTCCTCCATCACGCGTTTTCTTTTAAGAAAGATTGTGGGCTGGCTTTTTCCCGCGAGTTCATCCGAGTTTAGAGAAAGCTGCAACTAGATTTGCGGTGATATATATATTAGTAAGATTACCACTTAATCAGCTTCAAATCTTGCACACAATAAATCAATTAAGTGTCAATTGTTAATACCTTTTGTTATAATTACTTCCATTTCTCCGTCTTCGAAATCAAATTCATGTTTGTTATACTATTTTATTTCAACAAATAAAATTCTTATTTAGATGCGAAAATGATACCGACAATCAAAGTTCACGGATATATTATTAGCTAAAGAGTGTTTTTCATTATATTATTTTAGTTCGATAAATATTTTTCTTTCTTAAGACAGAAAAAAGTATTCGTTTTAGTCAAAAGATATGTAATGCTTGAAAACAATGGAAAGACCCCTCCCATATAATGGGCAAGGCGCCTCCCGTACACTCATGTTCCCTACTACCTTTAAAATTCAACAACTTGGCTTTCCATATCTTTCAATAAAAAGAAGAGAAATGGGAAACGGAAAATATATATACACCTTTCTTTTGTTGTTGTTTTTTCCTAATATTATTTTTTTCCATTCCCTCCCCTAAACACCATCAACTTAAGCTCCAATGAAGATATGTTGGGATACGACACGTATCTTAACGATGTTGTAATATTCAGATAGAGTGAAATTAGATGAATTTTTTTTAAAAAAAAAAAATGAAAGCAAACGTCTTTTCAAAAATATAATTCATATTTAACTCTCTTATAAACTTAAAAATGATAAGTTAAACTCTTGAAAGATAAAATAAAATCTTTCTGAAAATTAAACGAAGATTAGTTTGAACGTTATATGGATCAAAACCCTGAAAAAAAAAAAGGGAAAAAAAAAGCGTGGTCTAAGCTTTTCAAAGGAGAATACAATTACCAATAGTAGTAAATACTAGATACTCGATATATATGGTTCACATGCAATGGTTTTTTTGACCTAACAACATATATATGGAATTTTGATATGATGTTTATAACTTTGAGGAAGGGCATATCTGGGGGAAAAAGATTTATAGCAGAGAAAAACCGTACACTATTTTCGAATTTAATTGTGTCCTGATAGGCGCATGTAGGGTTTGTGGGTGGTGGTGGTGGGGGCGCATGCAAACAAGGTGTTTGAAAATATTCGTCTTAGAGTATTATGTTTGTTGTTTACACTCTTTCAGTGCTCTGCAAACGCAGCTGCAGAAATTTTCATGAAGAAAACATCCATTTTTTTTCTGATATGGGGGGACTGCATATATATTGCTAATAATAATGCAAGGATCTGTTACATGTGAAATCTAGCAACTTGTCTACTGGCACAAAATCAATCTAGATTGCTCCCTCTAGTATAAGTGTATAACCTATCTAGGGTTCTAAATCCTAGCTAAGATCTTTGCTATATATGTAGTCTCTTTCATGATGACTTCATCACTTCATCTTTTTTCCCTTTGTTTTTCATTTATAATCTAGTTTGAGTGAGGTTGAGTGAGGAAATTGAAAATTTATTTAATATCTGTTATTTCCTTCGTCCGAAAATAAGAGTTTTTTGGTTATACTATTTCAATTTTAATAAATATAACAAACGACAAAAGTGTTGAATTTCACATTTTAAGCAGTATGATCAATTTAGGCGCGTACAACACATTAGAACATAAGTGATCCCGTTGAATAAATTTATTTATACTTCTTATGTTCTGAAATGATTGTCCAATATAGATTTTTCAATTTTAGTATAATTTAAACTAAAAATAAAAATTTAAATTGTACAGTCATTTCTGGGTGGAACGTGTGTTTACTTCTATTGATTTAGTTAACGAATTAAGGGCCATATTTACAATGGATGACGAGTCTGTTACTTTTATGTCCGTTATTTTGGGGGTAAAAAACTAAAAATATGAGAGGGGCAGTGAACACGCTTGAGTAATTGTTTCCGAAATAAACTACTCTAGGAAAATAATACACTCCCTGTGTCTTAAATGGCTTAAAAAATAATACTCCCTCTGTCCCATAATTATTGTCCACTTTGCCCAAAAAATTTTGTCCCAAAATTATTGTCCAATTTGACTTTTTATGGATCAAGTTACACATTTGTCCTTAGTAACAAACATTATCCATAAAATCTTAGTGGTTAAACAATTACTTATGTAGGAATATATCCGGTTGTTTAAGGTAAAATATAGTTAAGTTTGACAAAAAATAAAATCTTTCATTTTAGTAAAACTGGACAATAATTATGGGACGGAGGGAGTATATTTTATTATTTTATTTTAATTAATAAAATGAAAAAAAATTTGTGTCGGAGGAAAAATGACAAGTTAAAGAATACCATATGCAAATAAGAAATGACAAAATAGATTGTATGGATTGTATATATGGATAGAAATATGCTTCCTTCATTCAAGTCCAATATGATCTTACTCTGAATCTCATGGTACATTCCATTTGGTTAACTTAAGGATCGTGTTATTAAAAAAAAAAAAACCTGTAAATAATATAGATGAAACACTTATATATATATATAATATATATATAGGGTCAGTATAGGTCAGATATGTTTGAAAAATAA